TCGGTTCAGTAGATCCAAAGATTACCCCCTACAACTTCACAAACTCTCAATATCAGAAACTCAAAAATTTTACCTCTTTACAATATCAGTGTAGATAGATAAAGCAGGATGTTGGGAGAAATATCAAAGGATTATTAATATTTTCAAAAATCTTTTGTAGAAAACGTATTGTAGTTTTATGGTCAAACTCATATCGTAGGCGGATACTTTAAAACAATAACCTTGGAGATAAATATTAATATTTAGTGCAACTTCCTGTCTTAAAATGTTATAAGTACTACAAATAAAATAAATCAGCAAAAAACGACTGTTTCACATAAAGTAGTCCACATTTCTGTGGTTGGCTGTACAAATGCATTACAAAATACCATTAAACTATAGGAAATCATTATAAGTAAAATAAATAGACAAACATTCACAGATTAATGCACATACATATTTGCTTGAATTAAATCATAAATTATCGTAATAGTATGAAATCTCGTCAATTATCCATATGTTGCAGCTCTAACTAATAATATCGATTATTTTGGTTCAAATGAAAACAATAACAACGGTTCGAGTCAAAAGCCATTATTAGGTACTGGTTGAAAACATCTGTATTCGATACGCAATTAGGTCACATATCCGCTTAATGTGTTCATTTATAAAGTAATTTTAAAGATCAATCATTAATTATTTAACAAATCTTTTACTCGTGACTGCTTAAATATACATACATTTCATGATATCTTAATTTCGAAACTTTTTTTGTTATTTCTTATTTATTGGCCTTATATGTGTTAAGCCTCGATGTTTGTTCACTTTGCCGTGGTGGGGGGCTCATTAGCGTCCAGCAATCAAGCCGGGCGTGAAGTCAAAAGACACTAGGAGATAGCCCACTTCGGTGGGCGGTGTGCCATGCGAGTTGCTACTAGTACTTCTCTGATAGCAGTGGACCGTGGAAGCAAACTTTTGATTTGGTTGGTAGTTGGTTTGACGAGTCCCACGTAACCTCCTTGTAGGTGGGTTCGAGTGATATGCGTGCATTCCCCGTTAAGAAAAGGAAATATCAAATAAGCTATCTCCATCCCGAAATTCATTAAAATATTTTTAACAGTTACTACGTGAAGAACATATTTTTGAATTTGTAATGTTAGTGTGATTGTAATATAATTATTCTTATTATTATTATTCTTTCACCAGTTCTTCTCAGGTCTGAGGCTTCTTCTTTCCGAACTGGTAGTAGACTCATGACGTTCAGTAAAAAATTATAATATTTAATGCTGAATAAAATATTTTGAATTTGATAAAAATATGTATAAATATGATGAAAAAATAAATGATTTTTCTTCTATACATATAATAAAATTCTAACTAAGTCAAATCTGTACATTGAATAAGTATGTTTTGGAAAATCTTATTATAATACTCATTATTATCGATACCGAGGCCAAATCTATAGTTTTTAGAATTGTCTGTCTGTCTGTCTGTGAACGCATCACTAGAAAACGACTGGACAGATTTTGATAAAATTTGGTATGATGATAGCTGGTTATCTGGGTCAACATTTAGGAAACTTTTACTGCGGAAAAATATTTCATATCTGAGAAATCTATACTAATCTTAAAACGTAGGAACGAACCCTAGTGGATCGAGGGTGAGTCGCTAGTTTTAAATATAAACAAAATAGGAATCAGGTAGTTAAGATAAAAATCTTAATAAATATAAAAAAAAATGTTGATAAAACACCAAGCCTATAGTCAATAGTGACCTAGTTAATAAATTGCTCAATCAGCAATGACCCTCGGACAAATTTTTAATAGAATCCGTCCCTGAGATACTTTGCCTTGATAACGTTTAAGATACGGTAGAAAAAATAAAATTTTCAGAAATCATTTGCGTTTTGCAGTGGGATGTTAATGTATTAGTTAAGTTTAAAAAAAACTAATACAATTCAAATAAAATTTCCTCACTACGCACAAAATTGGATAGATCAGATATTTTGTATTATCAATAGTTACAGACTTATTTGACATATTTTTATGATTTTTCAACTATATTATATAATTGCAAATTTGCACTAAATTTTTGTATAATTATCAATATTTTAGTTCGTAAAAGCAAAAATTTGAAAAAATACATATTCGTGAGCCTTTGTTGTTATTGATGATATGAAAAAGTTGACACAGACTTCTTTATAGGATTTTAAACGTTCTACAAATTTGCCATTTTACATTTTTCTGTAACTATATATAACAAATCAAATATTGAACATAGAAATTCGACTCAATGGAACTTTTTGTAGTAAATTTAATACTAAAAAAGGTCTCTTCATTAATTTTTTTGAAAAATATTTTCGTCACAACTTGCAGGACAAAAAAGTGTTAAAAACCATGTTTTCCATGTAATTTGTATGGGAAAACTTAAAATTCGATGGAGAACCTCTCAGAATTGGAGTTTTGAGCTCCGCTTTTAAAGGAGCTTTGTTGGGACATTTTCTGAGATATTTTATAGGGTGAGAGCGAAGAAAAAAAAAATCTATATATTGCGAAGAAAATAATATGTATATATATATATATATATATATATATAACATTATGTATATATGTCTCCGACTGCATAATACTATGTTCTTTCGTCAACTTGTGCATCTTTTTAGTTCGCTTTTTACGCAGTCGGGTTTTTTTTAATTTTTGTAAATGATTTTTCTTATCAAACTGGCTGATTTGTACTCGTGTAAAAAGGAGGTTTTTTAATTATACTATTTTTTATCAATTTATACTATAACTATAATAAAGTTAGATTTATTTATAATTTGTATGCATGAACGTACATTATTGACCATATTTTATGGCATTACGTTCTTGATAATAGCGTTTTAATTTAGGTTTTATATTTTTCCTCTTATTGTATTTTTAAATGACATTGGTAATTACTTAATAAGCTTAGGTATAATATATCTTAATGACTTTTTTCCTCAGTATTATAATATTATTGTAATAAAAGTTTTAAATTGGCTATTCAATTAAGTTTTCTTGTTAATGGCTTAAAAACGACCATACTGCGAGTTATATTTTCTGGATTTTTATACTTGACATTTTTAAGATTGTCATTAAAAAGAACCTTTAGACTATGATAATTGATAACGTAAAGAAAAAAAAACAAGTATTTTTATATCTATACTTTATCAGCCTCTTAAAGTACGTAAGTTACTAGTAAATACAGTTTCATAATAATTTATATACATAGTGTAATAGCTTGTTTTAAGCATTATGACATTTTTATTATTAATTACTAATTAACTAAAATATAGGTACTTACGTAAATACGAGTAGATACATACATACATACATTGAATTCAGAAAGAAACTAAGGTAATATTATCCAATCATCTGTGTCTGTCATCTAGCGCAAATCGTCGGCTCTGAGGGTAATTTAAAAAAAAAAACAGAAACCCCCGAGCGCTTAAAATGACGACATCTCTAAAGTTTTGTACGGGAGCTATAGAAGTAACATACGTCGTTGGAATCGTTATGAAATAACCTAACACATTAAACATGGTTTATTCCAGTTTTGCCTTACAATGTATTAGTCAATCGACCTTGAAGTCAGGATAAGTCGAATTTACCAAAAATCTACCTAAAAATCTTTATAACTTAAAAATAGAACCATTATTTCAAATTTTTGTTTTTTTTATATCATAAAAACAAAAAAAATATCTCACATTAATAAACAAAAAGAACACACCTCCCCATAAATTTACAAAAACACCAAAGACAGAAAATTTTACCGTTTTTTTTTCACCCGCGCGCCAAAAAAAATCCTTTACTCTTAAACCGAAAACACTGTATCGGTCAAGCGGCTTAGGTTAATAACTTTTTATATAATATGGTCCACATACTTATTACAGACAGAGTTCCAAGTGTTTGATCGTTCACAATTAAAATTATTTTAAATGTAATATAGGTACATTATTTTATATTTAATATAACTAAATATATTTGCCGTTTTTTAATTCTTATTTAAGGCAAAGACATACACTCATAAGGCTAAAATAATGTTGTTTAACTTCAAACTATGGTATTATAAAGTCCATTATGATTTTTTCGCGAATTTATTTTGATTTTTGGTTCCCGACGTTTCAATGCTTTAAAACAATCATAGTGACGGGAGATACCAAGTCTATGAAAAAATAGTTTTATTTAAAATGTCAAATATTCGCGTCAATCTAAGAAAGTATTAAATCATTATTTCATACAAAAATACGAATTATTTCTTAGGGTAGATATACATACATACCTTCGATAGAAGTTATTTAGCAGAAATATGATTTCTTTCAATGATCTTAAAACACTTAAGTAAATCTTATTTATATATTATTACGACTATTTTTTTATGTTACGTGATGCTTAGATATTATTTTTATATAATAGTAGTTATTAATTAAATTTTGGATATGACAGCGCTGCCATTTTTTAATTCATAAATACAATTCATTGAAAAATGTACGTTGTATATTTTAAGTGTCTTTAAAGAAGTTCTTTCAAACAAAAATAATTATTCTAATTACTTGACTTTCAACTGAACAGCATAATGCTAACATTCTTGTAGAAAATATATAGAAAACAAAGTGATTATTGTTGCCATTTTTAATTACGTGAAATAAACAAAGTTTAATTTTTAATAACGACTATTTTGTCCTTATTTTTTAATCTACATGTACAATGACATGTTTATTTTAATATTTCATCGAATATTTCTTTTATATATAGTATATGTGCTATAATTAGGTAGATTGGGATGTAACATCCAAAAGCCAATAATTTTCAATACTACAATGTATGTAAAACTTATAATTTAACTTAACATTATTTTATTATAAAGGAAATTAATCCGTAAAGTCTTAATGAAACCCTTAAACTAGAATCACTTCACATTAAAAACTTTTCAAATCCCATAACTTAATTTAAACTGTTCAAAAGAAGTACACCGAGGTCTTCTTTATTAAGCCTGTCCTAGGTTTCATTGTACACTGTATTGTAAACTAGCTCCTGAATTTTCATTCTTAACATGAGCTTTTTAGCTGGTCCTAACTTCTTCACGTGAGGAATCAGGCTGTTGAAGAACCCTATGTCCTCATCCTTAGTAACTTCAGGTGTATCACTATTTGCTGCACTTTTCTGGGCTTCATCATCATCATCATAAAAATCAGTTTCCATGATTATAGGTTTTGTGTCGAATTCATCAAACTCGTCATCTTTTACGCTAACTTCATTTGTGGTTGGTTCTATGTAAAAACAATTTGTTTGATCCGCCGTAGTCGCATCGAAATCTTGGTCTGGGGTAAAATGGTCCTCTGTGGCGTCGTTTCCTTCGTAATCGTTGAATTGGTTCGTTAAAAACTGAAGTTTAGGTAAATACTCCCATTCAGACCCTTGTTTACGAACTTCTTTACGTGCTTGGTCTCTTAGATACTTCCATTTTAATCTCGCCTCGTCACCTGTAAGTGTTATTATTGTTTTTAATTAAATATCTCTAATAAAGATAAATTTGTAGGTATATAAAACAAAATTCCATTATAAACAATGACATAATAAAAAAGGTAAATATGTTACTAGCGCTCTAAAAATGAAGCGCACAAATAGAGGTAATAGTATCAATTGGCCTTGTCGCAATGCACTAATATTATAAAAGAACAATAAACAAAGTTTGAGTCATATAGTTTTATTTAATTATTGTATCTTTTTTTTGTTTTTGTTAAGTGTAATATGTAATTTCTTTTGTAAATGTGTTATACATTGTTGTTGTTGTACATTGTTATACATTCATCGCTCGATATGTTTAACTTATCCGTGGAAACTTTATTGATCTATGAAGTATGAACTTTATATAAGCTATTGTATAAATACTTGTAAATACTGTTTGTTTCCCCAATAAAAATAAAAGTAAAAAATAAAGTTCACATGATCACATACCACAGGTAAGTAAGCCGAAATTATTGTGATTTATTTGGTTTATAATCTTTTGTAAACGGATAAAGACCCCATGATTACGTAATTCAAAAAAAAACATAATAATATTATAAACAGTAGCTGTCTTTTTTTCTTATATCCCATTCACACCATTTGGCAATGTGGTGGTTTAAATAAAATAATAAATATGCAAGCATGTGTGCTGTGCCGCTTGATTCGGAACACTTTGCTCGCTAGTTTTGTGTACATAATATAACGTATCTATATTATAAAACATCATTGATCATACATGGAAAAAAGGATAACTATGGTGGGATGATACTAATAAAATAAAAAAGTTTTCTATTAACAATGTTACAACCTTACTTACCGATTATAAAAGTGATATATATATATATATATATATATATATATATATATATATATATATATATATATATATATATATATATATATATATATATATATATATATATATATATATATATATATATATGAGAAACTTTTATGTCATATTCAACCCTAACTAAATAATGTTAATTCAAACTACAACACGTTTTATATCTAATCAATTCCATAATAAACTAAGATACAAACAACATAACATAATGAAACTTACGCGTAACTCCTAACTCCTGCGAAACCTCTTTCCAGCTTTCATCTAATTTGTACCAATTGTGATGGCCTTTTAGTTGTCTGTTCCAGATAATATCTCTTGCTTGGACTAACTCAATCAGCTTGTTCATGTCGACATCTATAGTTCTCCTTTTGTTAACAAGTAATTTCTTACGCATCGTATACCCAAGTTTTGGTCGTTTGATAGATTCGTCTAAAGCATTAAACACCTCGTCAGTCGTATCTTCATCACCTTCATCCTCCGCTAAAAATTGATGATGAATGAATTTTAATTTTTGAAAATGTGGCCATTCTGAGTCGTTGGGCGATTTCTTCATTTCTTTGCGACATTGGTCTTTCAGGTTTTTCCATCTTTTTCTGCAATTTAGACCTGTAAATAATATAAGTTATAAAATTAGTAATCAATTTTATAAATACCTTTAAAAATGTCTAATTTGTTATCTCATATGTAAATACTTTTTTTTTCTTTCATTACTGTGTTGTTAAGGATTAAATGCCAAAACTCGCTTTTAGTAAATGAACGCCTGCACTGAAAACATTATCGATTCTCAGACTCCACCACTTAACGAATATTAAAACTAACCCACATTTAGATATTCTTAATTCCTAATATAATCATTATTTTCTCAAAATATCCGTGTCATTTTTCTCTCAACCATCGGAGTGTGTTGAGATTAAACTATATAAATAAACATCCTTATATAATACATTAATACAAGCTTTTACATCACACGAGAATCGAATTTGCACTGTTCTAGGAGTAAGCAGTGCCAATCAAATCCATGTTCCACTACGAAGCAATGGACGTCAAATGTTCAGTATAAATAATACAGCATATGGCAAACTATCAATTGTTCATTTGTTCCCAGGCTTTGTCCACTGCTAATACAAATCAAATGAGATGCAATTTAAAAACCAATTACACAAATAGGTTTGGGCGCTATATATGTAAATGGACAAAATTAAACTTTTCTCCCACATAATATTAATGAGTAAATTAATTATCATTTACGAGTACATAAGTCTGATTTCATATTAACTGTTATAATGTTACGCCAATTCTTTTGAATAATTTTATCGTATCATAGTTTATATGCACAATGTAATGTGAAAAACATTCGTTTATGTATTTTATTTCACAAGACCAATATCTCGACTACAAAATTAAAGTGTTACACTGGTGTTAACAGAAAGGCGTATAATGTATTATAAACAAACTAAACAATATTTAAAAATTGATATTAAAAAATATTTTTCTATCATATTTATAATGAAAGAGGATTAATATTTTAATAATATGCTAACATCTATTTATATACTGAACGAAAACGTACTTTATAAAATATTATCTACAACATTACCACAACACAAAAATTGATAAACGAAATCAATATAATCACATTTATTATCTATGCCCGATGCCCTATCATTAGCACAACAAACATGGCTGCCTTGTATCGCAGCGCACGGCAAGTGGCAAACAAAATGGCGACTCACTCGTAGTTCCGACTTCCGCTGCGACTTCGTTCCAGTATCTCTCCAGTTTAAACCTATTCCTATGTCCTCGATAGCTTTTGTCCCACAAACATTCTCTCGCTTGGACAGCCGCAATTAGCTTGTCCATGTTTTTGGCTCTAGCGCCTTTGACTTTCACCTTCATAGCGTAGCGGGCGCGGAAGCGAGTGTAGAGACCGACGCGCGACGTTAAACTGTAGAATACCGATCCGCTGTCGCTCACCGCTCCCCGCCTTCGCCCCCGCGACACGCCCGAGCTATCCGCTTTTATTACAACCCTACTTTCACATGGAATAGAAGATTCAAGATTGCTATTGTGGTTCTGGACTCTGGTTTATGGGATTTTGTATTATTGATGAAAAGGAATCGTTTTTGAACATCGATAGAGTGTTTTTAATTATTTATAGAGTAGATTTATATCTGTTTACTCTAGGTTTTATATTTCATCGTAATTCAATATAATTTTGATTTGGCTGCTATTTTGTATTAAGCAGTTATTTGTTAATTTTCTTTTTTAATAGTACTTTAAAGGTTAGATTATTTAAGAATTTATGTAAGGCTAGTTATTTCTTTAATTTATATGACATACTGGACGATTTTTCACTTATAATTTTTTTCGTGATAATCACGGCTATCTATACTACGAGTATACCTAATACTTAAATTATTTATAAAATAATCTAAGCTATAATATTATAAACAGGTAAAGTTTGTGAGTTTGTGACGTTGTAGGGTTAATCTCTGGATCTACTGAACCGATTTAGATGAAATTTGGTAAAAAGATAGTTTGAGACCCTGGGAAGGACGTAGAATACTTTTTATCCCGGAAATCATCCCTTAAGGGGGTGAAAACAGGTATGAAATGAGAGGGTAGAGAGGTATTGGGAAGCAAGCCAGGGACGAACCCGAGCGAAACGAGGGTGAGTCGCTACTAATTTATATAAAAGTTTAGATATATAGTTTTTTAATGATGGCTTATTTGACTACTTTTTTCATATACATTTAAAAGATAAATAAATAATATATACTTAGGTGTACATTTCTTTAAGGGAATTGTTGAAACGAATTCTATATTGAAGGTACAATTATATAATTCAAAACGTTGAGCATTTTTATTTACTCTAGAACATGCACGTGTGGAAAGCACACTATAATTAAAAAAATGTTATGATTACTTCTTTTCTAAATCTTCACAAAATTCCGTTCTCCGACGTACATATAGGTAGGTGTTCAACACAATGCTTACTGAGTATGGAAACCGAACTTTTGGAACTTTTGGAAGCCAACTGAGCTACTACTAGGACACCGACATATGTATAAAGCAATTTGAGTTTTAAATTTAAGGGTTTTTTTAACTTGACACCAAAATGGGATCCCATATTTACTTGTGAATTAGTTCCGTGTTGCTTTAGTATAAGAAAAAAGTGTGGTACTAAAAAATTATAAAGTATCTTTTAAATAATTTGTATTAAAAATATTCAGGTAGTTATATTGTTAACCGTATGGGATTAAAGCGGGCGTGGGATGTGCCGGCATACAAACTTACATCATTAATTGATTTTTTATTTACTTTATTGAATAGAATATTTTTTTTAAAACTAGGTACGAAATATAACGTAGTATTAAGATTATCTAGACTATTATTAAGTAAAATAAGCGCAGCTTATTTGAGCTTTTCAACCGACTTCAAAAAGGAGGAGGTTCTCAATTCGACTGTATGTTTTTTTTTAATGTTTGTTACCTCAGAACTCCGTCATTTATTAACCGATTTGGACAATTTTTGTTTTGTTTGAAAGGGTATACTTCCAGATTGGTCCCATTTAAATTTCACAAAAAAATACCACGCCTAAGGGTGGAAAAACAATTAATGATGAATTTAACCTACTTCTAATTGTCATATTGACTTGAAACTTTGCAAGTATTTCTATTTCCGTTGATAGTACAGTAGTTCGGTGTTGTTGACCTGATCTGATGGCAAGGCCAGAAGGTGGATAGGTGGAACTCTTCAACGGCTAATAGTAGATACTTTGAGTTTGGACTTATTTTGTTTGATTTGACAAGCCTAACACGTTAGAATCCTTACTTTGCTACTACTGTCTACACTAAAAAGGGAAAAATAAAAACTTTTTAACAAAAAAATAAAAACTGACTTCAAACAAAAGCACTAAAAAGTAAAAAATTACTGATTGGTAGTTTTCATTTACTATACATACCTAATCAAATATTTTCGAAGTCGGTGTGCTTTGGCTAAGTAATTAAAGGCTACCTATTAAATACATACCTAATCAAATATTTTAGAAATCGATGCCAGCCCATACAAAGCAAAGCACACCGACTATGTATAGTAAATGAAAACTACCAATCAGTTATTTTATACTTTTTAGTGCTTTTGTTTGAAATCGGTTTTTATTTTATTAAAATGTTATAGGAAAAAGCACTATCAGTTATTCACAAATTCAAGTTTTCAAGTGAGCACGTTATCACGGGGCTACCGCCGGCATTCAATACATATAGATATCGACGTAACACTCCCTGTGCAGATATAGAATCTCCGACCTAAGACATTGTAAGCAATACCAGTCTCCCCAGGCATCCCATAATGTCATGAGGATCGTCAAGTATTCTATACATAAATGTCCAACTCCTCACAATACCGTCACGGTGTCACGTGTGTAACACGCGAAGCCACTGAACTACAAATTATCGTGTTATTCCATCTTAAACGTATAATAACGCATTTGTCGGATAATAGTTGAGAGTGCCATGTGATAAATTAATTTGCAAGTTGGAATTAGTTTACTTTGTTATAATAAAACTTAAGATTGCTCAATGCCGAACGAAACAGAATAATGAACTTGCTGTTGCTTACTTTTTTGCCGACGTAAATAGGATTAGAAAACAATTTGGCTGTAGGTGTTTATTTTTTTATATGTTACGGGACATTTTTGCCAATTGTGAGCCGATTATTATAATTCTTTTTCTTTAAACAATTTAGCTATTTTTTTTAATATATACAATACTAGCGGCTTACCTTGCTTCTCTCGGGTTCGTCTTTAGTGAAAAATAATAACAAATCTATCCCACGCCAACCGAACATTTCATGTGATAAAAAGTAGCCTATGTGCTATTCCAGATTATAACCTATCTTTGTACCAAATGTCATCCAGATCTGTTCAGCCATTCTAGCGTTATTGAGTAACAGACATCCATTTAAACTTTTGTATTTATATAATAGTAAGATTTATAAAAAAAGGTGCAATAGTATGTTTGTTACTAGTTTGGGATGTAGGCTTATCTTTCTTTTATGCAAAAATAAAGGCACGATTTGGTATTATATTTATTGCTTTAAAATATTGCGAGGAAGTGACATATTTTTAACCTTATATACAAGTGGTTTCCTTGTATACGGTATATATGTAAGTATGATTTAATATATTGAAAAAAAAGATCGATATAATTTGAATTTTAATTAAAAAAATTATGTTATAAATCCCGTTTGTGGAAAGGGCTATAATATAAAATATTATTTTAACAGAAAGACTTTGAGTAAAATAATTATTTAAATAAAAAAAAACAAATTAAAATGTAGAGTATAACAATAGTTTACAGAAAACTATACAAAGAATAACTAACATTATAATTCTTGCTTAATTATTACCACCCTAACGAGTGTTGTATGTCAACATTCATTGTAATCTAATTCTTTAAGGGATGGTTTCCAGTAGCACACGTTCCCTTACTTGAAGGGCAGACGGGATTAAATGTATGACTATGAACTTACTCTACCTAGACAAAGATAGAGTAATATTTAGCTAAGGGTAGCTCCTAAAAATAAATTCATTATAAAATTTAAATTTTAAACCCAAATCACATAATAATAATAATAATAAATAAATATGTTGGGACATGAACACATAGCACCATCTAGTTGCATGGTAAGCTACGAGGCTTGTGTTATGGATACCAGATAGTTGAAACACTACACATATATAGCTTTAAATATATACATAATTGCACACATATTATAAATATATATTATACTAGCGACTCACACTCGCTTCTCTCGGGTTCGTCTCTAGCTTGATTCCCCATTCAAATTTTCATCCCCATTTTCACTCTTTTAAGAGATGATTTCCGAGATAAAAAGTATCCTATGTCCTTCCCAGGGTCTCAAACTATCTTCTTACCAAATTTCATCTAAATAGGTACAGTAGATCCAGAGATTATCCCCTTCAACGTCACAAACTCACAAATCACAAACTTTACCTCTTTATAATATTAAGTATAGACTATTAAATTAAAAATATGAATATCCTGACGAGTCTCGAAACTGAATCGACGGAGAGACTTGCCAGAAGTCAGGTATGCACTACTTAGGAGCACGGGTTCAACCGCATATTTTATTTATTATATATTTATTTTTTCCACTCCATAAAATCGGACTGCTATTATATGTATCAAATTTGTATCTTTTTGTATATTTCTTACTATTTTACGCTTACCAAAGACTTGGGTACGCACATAAATGAACGAAGGAAGGTTAAATAAATCACTTGTAGTTTTATACTAAGTACTAGCGACTTACCCTCGTTTCGCTCGATTGTACCTAAGTAAGTTTTAAATAGATATTTATTACAGTTGTACCTACCTTAAGAGAAAGACTTATGCTCTACAATTTTCTAGTTTTTGAAGCGTTAGCCATGTAAATTCCTAAGAATGACTCGATAGAATCAGTTATTTTGTTTTCCTTAGAACATAAAAGATTTTCCTGTAGTAACATGTATCCTAAATCTTGATCCGAGAAATAGGTTTTCACTACATAAAATTTAGTTGAAATCAGTTCAGTAGGTACTTTTTGCGTGAAACGCGCACATAAAAACAGACATACGTACAAACAAACAAAAATCTTAATACCTATTGTTTTAGAGTCTATATTCTGCACAGAATACGTTACAATCATTGATTTTTAAAAATATTTCATGTACAGATTTCACTAAGATACTATTTTATTATATGTATGGATATAAATAGATTAAGCCGGCTCCAGTCTCATTATTTTACTGTGATAAGTCAGTGAACGATTTCGCTTATTTACTCTATAGATTAAAGGATTTACATATACATTAATGTGTCGCCTATTATTAAGCTGTAGGCTCTTAGCAGTAAGACTTACATTACTGCACTGCAGTTTGCCAAATCTAAAACAATTAGGATTGGCTATTTCAAATGTTTCTAAGAGACTATTTTAAAATGTTCACTAAAGTATTTTTAAAATACTATATTATACACCATAATATTGCTACACCAATCTTAAGTTTAATAAAACTTCTTTACATAATCTTTATAACCACTTAGGAAGTTTAATTTTCTTTTTAAATAGATGCCCATTTCCCTCCTCCAGATTCAACATCACATATAGATATATAAGATAGTTAAGAAGATATCGCTTTTATAGAAAAACAATAAAAAGGCAGTTTAATTAATAAGATAGTTGACCTTCCGATCTCTACCGATAAGCCAAACGACAGTATTACTACCGCCCCATAAAATTGTGACGACTAGAGCAAACTAGATTTCAATATTAATTGTTTGTTAGACTTAGACGTATATTATTGATTTTAACTTAATACATAATTAATGAGATGAACTTATACGGTAAAATATATACTTACATTACAAAAAGGTAGAGTTCATTTGTTTGAACGCGCTAATCTCAGGAACTACTAATCCGATTTGAAAAATTCTTTTTTCATTAGATGGCCCGTTTATTGAAAAAGGCTATAGGATATATATCATCATACTACTACTCAAGGGAACGGAGCAGTAATCATAAATGTCAATAAATCGGGCAGACTTCCATACCTTATTGTAAAGGGAAGAGTAAGAAGAGTTTGTTTTTTTTTGTACTTTTAACGCGGGCGAAGCCACGGGTTTTGCTAGTGTAAATTATAAACTTTCACAATTTCCTTTAAATAATAAAATTACCAACTCAATATGTTTTAAAAAAAATAAAACTACATGTTTTATACATAATATCTCTATATATTAAAAAAGTATGTAGAGATATCAAACTATAAACTCTAAAAAAAAACAAAATATAAATGAATTTTCTTAAAAAAACATCGTAAAAATATTAATTATATCTTATTTGTTGTTCCAAAATCTACAGTGTGTACCAAACTTAACACTAAAAGCCAAGGAGGGTTCTTAAGACTTCGAATATAAATGCTATAATATACGTGAAATGTAGAGTTTTACATAATTAAGTTAGTCGGGCAGTGCGCATGAGTCAAGTCGAGAGCGGGTCAAGAGTGCTACAGTCAGCAGTCAGTAGTCAGTCGCCGCCGGGCGTAATCTAATTAATAGAAGCCTGCTATTGTGTTTCATGTAAGATTTATAATAACTTCGCTCTTTTACATTTTATAATCGTGATATGTGTTTTGTGGATTTTCCTAATTAAATTAAAGTTTAATAGAGATCATTATATTATATACAAACTGGCAATGCGAGTAAAATGTGATTTTTATACGTTTTTGAATGATTTGAGAAGCGTTTTTCTTGAATTTGGCATTCCTTTAATATTGGTATGCTAAAGTGTATATATTATTGATTAAAAACTGAATTCAGCACTAGAAAATAAATATTTCGTAGTATTTAAAACCCATAAAATTTGTATTTATAAAGGCAAGTAGTTAAAGTTTATTGTAAAATGATATTTTACAATATTAGGTCATTATGAAACATTCTCTACCACGACAACCACTAACCAATAACTCAAAATCAAATGCTACAATGTTTCATTGCTAAATCTTCAGCATATAAAGTTACTAATAAGAGGTTTCAGAAAAACTTCATTTTGAATAATTTTAAATATAAGTATCATTTAAAAATTCTTGTACCCTAACAACAATTTAAATTTCGCTAATAAAACTACATTTCTTATGAAGTTCACTATATATGAAAATTTGTAAATAATTATTTAAATTACTTACCCAGTTTAAATAAAAAAAAAATACCCCACCATTTCTATGGGAATGTTATTTTATTATATTTTATAATAGTAACGTTATTAACCTCTTAGGGATTGTCTTTTTAATATTACCACATATTACCTTCCTTAAACTACTGTAGAGACGTTTATTGTCAACGCTATTGTATTTCGTAAATTAATTAAATAATCAGATTATTGATTTCCATAAAACATATTCATTATAGATCGTTTTCGTTATTACTATGGTTCGTTATTGAAAAATGACGTTGTAATCATGGTTCCATATAGTAAGGTTATTTTGTTTTCAAAATCTATTCGTCTGCTCTCAATCTTGCCCATGTGAAATTTAGTCTCTCCCGTGACCATATTTACTGTAAAGCATTCGAAAGTTCGGGAAACAAAAATCAAAATAAATCTGCGAAGAAATTCGAAAAGATTAAGTTTTTTTAAGATGTGAAATGTTGTTTTTTTTAATAATAATTATATCGTCATATGGGCACTAATAAATGTATGTGGCCAAAACTTACCTAAATAACAATCATAACGCATCGTGAATATACCTTTAATGTACCTTGTCGCGACCCACCCTCAATTCGCATTATAGTCTTGCCATATGACACGAAGAGTCAAACAAGCCCATCTCCTACCCAATAAAAAAATTCATCGTCTATCCGCTTATGAAAGTTTCATTAAAATCAACTCGGCTGATTTAGACATTACCGGGTTCGAACTTCGAAGAGGCAGACTGAATGTACCTATAATTATTCAATAGTTATTTTAACTATAAGCTCGTGCCTGTTTAACTGACCATTTGAAAGCTCTATATTTTGAAATTGCACATATATTTTAATTTTCATTAAAATTATATGTATAATTTATCACACTACTATCATAAATGCGAAAATTTGTATGTATGTACATACATTGTCTTATTTTATCTGGCCGTCTGTTTGTCAATTGTTTAGACCCTGGTTAATGTGCTGTTGACCTAATAGCAATAAAGAAAACAATACAACTGATGTGCATAATTGCTTTCGTGAATAAATAACTTCGTGAATGAAGAGTTTAAGAGGGAAAGATTGCTACTTACTTCTTTAGTTATTATATTTCAAATTTTGACGGCGGCTTACTGATAATGTAGAAAGGTATATCCTGTATGTGTATGTGTAAGTGTAAGCTTTTTACTTCTTCATTTAAATTTAGTACACTGATAGACTATAATCTGTATATCTCTCTGTCTATATTATATATATATATATATATATATATATATATATATATATATATACATATAACCTACTCTACAGTACATATACTACGGCTAGGGAACTAATCACGCATTAAAGCGAGGGTAAGTCAAGAGTAACTAATAATCTATAATATATAAAACAGAGTATAATATAGAGGTTAATTTATTATAAGTATATACAATATAATAAATAGCAACGTCGGGCAATCACGTGTAACGTCACATTTTTACAGAAGCGTCAAGCGTGTATACTGTGTCGCGGTCACGTGCTTCTAACTTTAAGCCTTGGTTACGTCACTAATCATATTCCAGGCAGTGGGGTTAATTTGTAAAGGATTTCCGCACAAATGCCCTCTGTGAACTTTGGTATTGTGTTGAATACTTCCTACTATATTGATCACGTACCTTCACTTCACTCGGGTGCGTCCCTAGATGCCTAACAGTTTATGTGCTATTTTAGCTCATAGTCTATACCTATATGTAATAGATTTTATCCAAATCCTTCCATTTTAGCGTGAAAAAGTACCAAATAAGTTCATATAAAAATTGCACGGAAGGTATTTTGTTATATTTTCTAACCATACGTAAAGCAGTGCAAAGTCTAAAGTTAAATGTTTTTGTAATTATTAAATAGATAAAATAAATCATTTACCACCGACCTGTGGCCGACTCACCCTTAAGCCCTAATTATACTTTGCGTGCTATTGCATGTGTAGCAATATACAAATACTTATAAACCAACATAACAAGCCATGGCAAAAGTAGCCTGTATTACTCTATTATTACGATTTTACTAAAAAGGAACACATCGGTGTCCTTTTTCAGCTAATTCAGTAGGGTTTGCGTTTAGATAATTAATTAGGAGGTGAGTACTGAGTATATCAAAAGCCATAATTAAGGAACCACTATAGTCCACTTCTACAATTTTTAAATTATTTTTTAGTTTATTCATTATATTAAGTCATGAAAATCGGTTCACAATTTATGAAGATATCGCATAATGTACACACAAAAAAGCTCTATATCTGCGTAAAAGCAGAACAAATCGAATAACACACCTTTTCAATAATACACAATTACTAAGTTTAACAGTTTTCATAGCAAAAATTTTATCAAAAATAGAAATATATTTTAATATACATAGATAAAATTTTCTTCAACTTTTTATCCAGAATATAATAATTCAACTATAATGAGACTCTTGCTGCCATAATATAGTTATCACACATTTGAAGCATGGAAAAAAAATTAACGCAAGGATTATATGGGCCAACGACCACTATACCGTGTACATAGAAGGATCAAAACGTGTCACCATATATTCAAGCCGCACTTATTTTCCCGCAGTCGACAAAACTTCATACTTCATAGTTCATACACAATACCGTCGTCGAACTTTTAAGAGAAAGAAGTGTTCTCGTTGTCCAGTACTTTAGTCTGTTATTTGTTTATAACGTCATTAAATGATCTATTTAACAAATTGGAAATAATTAATCAGGATTTTTAACAGACTTCAAAATAAAAAATATACTAGATATCAATCTAGTTTTATAATATACCTTATATATATTATTTTTATGTATAATCGTTCATAACTTCTACGTCTTTATTCTTTTTGGGTTCGTGTGGCCTTTATTTAATTTCATTAGCATTAAACCTGGGTCTTTGAAGATATATCAAAAAGCCTCTCAAAATTATTGTACAGTGACTGAGTAAATGTCACATATATAATACTAGCATTGCCCGCGGCTCCGCCCGCGTTCAGATGAAAAAAAAAACAAATTCTTAGGTTTTACATATTAGTATACACTAACATAGCAGTTTTTGTATTTTTCTCAAAAATGAGACATTCTCCCGTATCGTAAAAGTATTCTATATGTTGACCCAGATAACCAGCTATCACCATACCAAATTTCATCAAAATCCAGAGAAAAATTCTAAAAACTATAGATTCGGCCTCTGTATCGATAATGATGTTTATTTCAATAAGATTTCCCAAAAAAAATATTTAATGTACAGATTCGGCTTAGTTACAATTTTATTATATATATAGATATGTAGATATTGAGAATATCCCCAAAACAAGGTCAAAGCTAGTACATTAACATGTTGGTCTAATCTAGACTTGGACTAAGATTCCATATAACAGAATAGCAGAAATAATTAGATTGAATTACCATAGTAAGTGGTATTATTGGATTATACTTTTTTAAGTTTTGTTCCTATATGTACTGACTCATGATTGATTGATTGATGATTATTTTGACAAAAATGTCTCTCTTATAGGTGTTAATTGACGTATGGAGGGGCGGCATCATGTCGAGCGTGACGGGAGCGAGTATGCTGCGTACGCGCAGGAAAGATGTCAACATCAAACCGAACCGGAAGTAAGTACCTATAATAATAGGTATATAATAAAACAGTTTAGTCATTTGTATTAAAAAAAATCTCTCTTTTCTTAATATTATTATATTTTAACAACTGTATGTGTTCATCATACACCGGGTTTTATATAAACTTTAGTGTTCTATTTATCCTCGTTATGGATATAACAATTACATATAAACAAAGTTATATACCAACTCCATCACGTTTCAAGCTAGGAAAGGAACTTTCCTTTATTATTGATTTAGGTTGTGCTGGGCTCTATGGGAATAAATGAATGTAAAATTATGTAATTATCTTTCTAAATTAAAGAAGAATGGAAATACATTTAAAAAAATTAGTTTCGAATTAACAGAAATTCTAATTTAATGTAATCCTTTCAATATATTATTTGTGCTCAGGTTGGACAGAAAGTCGTCACGTGGTATGCTCTACGAGAACGAGGAGCTGCGCTTACGCACCATCAATATAAATGCAGAAGTTGAAAGAGGTCGAATTTGTATTTTATTATAAAGCATATTACTAAAATTGATTAAATAGAAAATCTAAGAAATGATAGTTTGCTTACTAATCTAAAAGCTTATTCGTACATATAATAATTTCATTATTCCACAGGCCAATCTGATATAAAAAAGTTGAAACGAGAAAATGAGCAGCTCAAAAGGGAGATATCAGCTCTCCGATACGAATACGACAGGCTCGATCGAATGTTGCGCGAGCGCAGGTCCTCACCGGAACATTCGGACGTACGTTGCAAATAACATTAATAAATATTGTTACAAATAAAACTTACAACTTAAATTATAACCTAAAAATATTCAATTTATTATATTTGATGCATGAAATACTATATATATCGCCTAATAGTACTGTTTTACATAATATTTCTTTTATTTTTTATTGTCATTGTGATGGCCAATATGCCATTACAATAATGAAATCAGAATTTTTAAACATTTTTTTTTAATTTTCAGTTTTTTTCGCTTATTAATTTAATTTATTTTTTCTGCATAATTTAAATGTTTAATCCTATATCTATTACCTATACTCTATATCTATTACATCTGAAGTTCTTCCATATGATGTTCAAAAGTCTTTGCCTTGAGATAATGCACGCCTCTTACAAACTTAGATCTAGTTCAAGAATATGTTCACCTAGTTCTAGAAAGGTTTTTATACTTGCTAATGTGCTTTTACATGTAACGATGTCTTGTTAAACCGAATAATTATTTTATTTATTATATAATTTTTAATTATAAAATTAAAAATTTCCATAGGAATGTAGAAACTATTGTATGTAAGCTTTTAATATTTTTTAAATCAAAAAAATATTTTATGAGTTATATATTTTTTTATATAATTTTAATCATTTCTTTTACTAATTCTGTTTTTATATATTTAATTTATTTTATTTTTTACGCGACAGTCTCAGTCTCAACACGATGCTTACGATTACGATTCTGAATATCCTAACGTGAGTATGAAGTATGGACATAAAACTATGTTTCATTAAAACTTCATAATAATAAAAAAACATCTAAGTAAATAAATTAATAAATTTAATTAATTCATTAGAAATTTTCATATTAATGTTAAAAAGAAATGCTATATTAGTATTACCTGTACATTTTATTTTGGATTTCATTATAATTTTTAGTCTTATATAGTAATATGATTTAAAATTATTATTTTTATTTTGCATGTATAGTGCGAACCTGAAAATTACGAACCAGCCGACCATAGCGTAAGTGGCACTATATGTAGATTAGACTATTTCATTAGTTTAGAAACACGTGTTCCTATACATCATACTAATATCATAGAGGTAAAGTTTTTCTGATTTTGAGTTTGTCTGTAGGATGTAATCTCTGGTACTACTGAGCCGATTTAGATGTTTGGTAAGAAGATAGTTTGAAATTCTGGGAAGGACATAGGATAGCTTTTATCCCGGAAATCATCCTTTAAGAGGGTGAAAATGGGGATGAAAATTTGTATGGGGAATCTACCATAAACTTTAATCTTAATATAAAATATGACTATCTAATAACAATTTTATTTCTTCACATCCATAGAAAAAAAACTTACTTAGCTTTCTATACATAAAAATATTAAACCATTTCAAGATTTAACTAATAAAAGTTACATTAAATAATAATGATTGACCTAACAAGTGAATAGTGATAGTGCAATTATTCTTAGAAGCGATTTAATTTTATGGACTCTACAATTATCTACATATTTATAATCCATACTGTATGTTTTTGCTGTTTTTTTTATATTTGTTGTGTATCACCTAATTTATATGTAATCTAATATCTCGAATTATAAGGATCTCCTTTGTGTAAGACATATATGTATGTATAATACTATAATGACTAAAATATAAAAATATATATTTTATCAACACACATTGTATTCTGAATGTGCCATTGAATTTTTCTACGATAAGTATTTATTTACAATAAACTAACGCTTTTAAGTTCATGTGAATTATAATAAATTTACTTTAAGATTTTCGATTCGATTTTTACTTACTTTACATTATTACAAAAGGAAAGAAGTTAATTAATGAATAACTAAACTTAAACTTTTAACATTCTTTATATCTACATATATCTTTCTAATATCTCTGAAAAAAATATTTTTATCAATGACAACTAATATTATTTAAAAATTGGCGTTATAGAAAACTAGACATTGTATTGAATGAAAAATTAGATAACGGACTCATCATATACATGTCTGCCTCTTAAGAAATAGACCTTAAACTTAATACGTTATAGGATGAAGAATCAATTCTAGTATCATGTAGGTTAAATGACAATAATCTTAATTTAAAGCTAGTTAAAGCACAGTATCGTTTGGCAGGACAGCGTGTCAGTGTGCAGCGCGTGCCCAGAGTGCGCGAGCGCAGACGGTTCTGTGCGCGCTGTTGCGTTTCATGATCTCAGTGTTGTGCCAGAGGAGGGAGAGCAGGAAAATAAGGTAAATATAATGTACATGTATAAATAATATAAGCAGTGGTAGCCTAGTGGTAACTTCTGATATTTTCATGTGCAAATCATTTCTAACATGATTACCACTTGTCTTACGCTGAAAGAAAACATCGTGAGGAAACCTGCATGTCTGAGAGAACCTAGCAAGTTTTCGAAAGACATGTGAAGTCCGCCAATCCGCCCTTGGCCAGCGTGGTGGACTATGGTCTGATCTGGTATTTTAGAGGTTAATTTCATATATATATATATATATATATATATATATATATATATATATATATATATATATATATATATATATATATATATATATATATATATATATATATGTAATTTAAGCACAAAGGCAAAAGTTGTATCACTTACCAATTAAAAAATGATGTTTTCTCGTGAATGTAAATTATATCCATCTAGGACCATAGATATCTCTCGTATATGAATATAATAATCACGTTTTATACATATAGTATCATGTACTTGTATATAATATAAATGCAGGCACTTATATTATTATTTTAATGTTCGGCGTATTTATTTATTACAATAACTATATAGCATTGATATTATAATTTCTAAAGTATTAAAGAAAAGCAATTAAATATTTAAAGTTAAATTATACTATGGTATATTACTTTACCTAATCTTAAGGGTATAATTCAATTATACAACTCAAAACATTTTCACGCGATCGATACTAATACAAAACAGTGTACGATCACAAATACCTACGATTGACGTATCAATCCTCACCATGTAGCTGTGACTGGAAATAGATCCATTACAGGCTAAACTTCAGAAAACTGATCGAAGTCTATTAATCGAACTGAGAAGGTCCAAAATTGAAATGAAGTAATCTGAGTCAAGGGCGGACGTTACACGGTATGAAAATATTGTGGCACCTAATGTAAAGAAATTATAAATAAACTCAGTTCAGTCTCGCCGGTCGTTTGTACCGCACTGTGATTCGTGGGATCGGTAATGTGGTGTCTTCAGACATGGTTTGTTGATATTCAATAGTTTTATTGTGCTTTTGGTGTTTTTCTGGGTTGCCTTGACTACTTGCTAGGTATGTATTTTTATTTGAAAGTAATTTATTCAATATAATTTCGATCTTCGTGAGTATTTGCTTCTATTAAAATGTCATTCACAATTTAGCATGTAAATATGCTCTCAATAATCTATTTATATCCGATACTGTACCTAGTTTCGATGTTTTCTTGTTAATTTTGAGTCAGAAAAGCTAATAATCTACTGAAAACAAATTTATTTAAATGTAATGCAAAATACTTTATCTTTTATCTGCTAAATATTATCAGAAACTAATTGCTACTTAGTTAAAAAGAAAGTTTATCTAATCTAAGAAATTTTAATGACTAAATTAAATCTAAATCATTTTCTACTGTAGAACCTACTTGCTTTAACTTTTATTTGTATTCTATATTGAATGTAGTACAAGTATAATATGGTCATTGAATTCTGTCTATAACTTAATCAATGCACTATGATCTACGGAACTGTGACGCACGTCGCGTTCCAAAATCATAATAACGTGACAAATCTGTCGAGGTGACGCTGCTCCTAATTCTGAAACGATCAAAGAACAGATGGATTAACCGCACAAGTGTCATTTCATTTACTCATAAACACTTAATTTTAATCACCAATAAGATTTTTGGGGCAACCTCAAGGTTTATGTTTATATATTAATAAGATGAAAAAAACCAGTTATAAACTTCATAATAAAATTTCGTAATATTTTATATTTTTAAAACTTCTTATAATATTGTATTGGAAATAATATTCTATACTATATGAGTCCGTAATACTGTTCAGTGCATGCAATTTGCATTGGAGAGAAAATAAATAACTCATTAATAAAAAGTGCACGTGTATGAGGCATTAAAATATTAAAGAAGGATTATCTTTAACCAACAATCGCTTATTGTTCCAGAGTGGTGCTGCGACTCCCTGCACTTGCGATGAATGTCAAAAAGATACTAAACGAGCGGATGAGAATAACCAAGCGAATAAGAAGGAAGCGATAACACCCAAAGAAACGACTCAGTCACAAAACAATACGCAAACGACGCCAAATAAGGCAGACAATGCCTCTGACCGAACGGTCGACGTCCTAGTTCACGATGCTCCCAATATGCCGAGATATTTCCAATCAATGACATCACCTCCATTTCATGTAGCGGGTCCAGCTCCACCGGGGTTTGTCATCGCCCCCTATCAACCCCCTCGTTTCCACACAGGAGGCAACGTGGAAGATTTACTTGGAGATATGCAATCAACAGCAACGATACAAACTACATATATACAACAAAATTCCATATTCATGTGCAATACAAGAAATATTGTCCAAAATAAGTGTTGCTGTCAGAACCGCGATTCAAACACAAAGACTGAACCCTGTCAAGACCAAACACCCAAATGTTATGTTACAGAGAAGAATATAGAACTAACGTATGATTATCCCAGAACGAGACCCATTCCAAGTAGTCCAAGTCAAAAATCAGGAGAGGAAGTTCAATCAACCACTACAGAAGTAGCAAGCACAGTCGTGTTTGTAGAAAAGAAAATGCCGGTCAAGCCAAAGAAATTTGACTTCTTCTTTCGATCACGATCTGCGCCAGTAGGTGAAAATGAGGAGCCCATATATGCCACAGTAAACAAACTACCCAAAAAATTAAGAAGAATGGAACTTGCAAACCTAGAAAAGGAAGTGGCGTATAAAAACGGTGAAATAGATTCGTCTACACGAACCGAAATTACCGTTAAAACAGACACAGAATCTCAAGCGCCTCCTCCAGACGATGATACGAGTAGATCAGAACGTGAAAAATCAACGGTACCTCAGCGACAAGAATCTCCAAAAGCGAAGAAACGAAAGCGATTTTCACTAACATTCAAAAAACGTGAAAGAAAAAGACGTGAAAAGAAAGATGTTAAAAACGGGGTAAAGAATGGAGTACCAGTTCAAGTGGAGAGTGATAATGAAAGGCTGATAGAGGAGCAGGACGCGAAGCACAAACACTGCACAAGGCATCGACCGGTGCCGCGGAACACCGTGTCGTCTTCGAGCTATAGCCCGCGATATAAGCGGGATAGCTATCAGGTACTATCAAGAAATTATTATACCTCATGAGGGCTAACGTTTTGCAACCAGTTTTTTAATGATTGGATGTTTTTTTTGATGACTCTTTAAAAATAATCATTAAAAAAATATACATATATATCTTTGTTAATAGATAAATGGAATCTGGTTTACATTGTTAGCCTTCATTGTTACACGCTTATTCACTCTTTATATTAGTTGCTTTATGTAGTACTACTCATTGTACACTCATTTGTATTGTACGATTGTTATATATGTATATTATATTATTATATTCACACATAGTTTGTATTATTACACCACTACCACATCTCCATTACGAGTTTACCACGTATTGAGGCTATTGCGTGTGATGCCCGCTCATCTCCCTTAGTGCTAAGGCCCTATAAGGTCAGACACAATATGGCGGTTCACTTTAGGTAATTTAATATAACATAGTTATCATATGCACAGTAAAACGTATACGATTATTTTTGCCTTAGAAGCTAGATCTGTAGATTATAATTAGAAAATTGTCTAAAATATCACATAAAAAATTACCGTAAAACATGAATAGTCAAAACGAGCTACTTTTTCAAATGAATCTTAAGTATATATTTTTTCAGGAGATGACCACATCACACTCAGAGCACGAGAGGACTAACAGTGTATGTTCGTCTGTCAACTCCTTAGGGTCAGCCTGTACTCACAAATCTCGGAAACTGTCAGTGGCACCGCAGGACGGATCTATACCATGGTGCGGGTGTTGGGGGGCGGGGTGTGTGTGAACTAAACTGTGTGAAGTGAAAACGTAAAAACTTTGAACTATTATAGCGTTACCTATCTTTCGATAGTCCTACCAGGTATATAGAGGCCGCTCCACAATATAGTGCCGATCACAGTCCGTTTAATACTTACCAGAATAACAATACTTTGCCAGACGGAGAACGGATTGTGATCGACATTATAGTGTGGAGCGGTCCTAATTCAGTTAAAGAGCTCTTTCGATTGGCCTAACAGATGTAATTCAACTAAAGTGCTATTAAGCTCCTGTTAATTCCCATCTTTAGAAGGTCGTATAATGAAAAGATAGTTTATTTTGACTGTTATCAAAATTGCATATTAAAAATGAATTGTCAATTTTAAATTGTGCCAAACATAGACAAGATACTTTTAATATTTTTGCCAAACCCTACATAATAAACTCTCACTTAGCCAAGGTTAAATATCATTTATTTTTAAATGCAATTTTAAAGAAAGGTTCGAATGTTTAAAATATAACTGGCCAGTATTTGCTGTGGCACTTTGTAATGAAAGACCCATGTCTAAATTAAAACAAAAAATTAAAAAAAAAACAATTCTAAAAATTCTTATCATGTTATAATAGTAAATAAAGGTTCTATTCTATTATGGAATAATATTTTCAAATGTATTATTAAAAATAGTACAGATCCATTCAGATTGAATATTTAGTATGTTGAAGTTAAAGCCATGTGTGTTAAATTGTTTCATAGATTTTATTGCTATGTATATTTAAGTGTAAATAATGTATCAGTGAATGTCGGAGAGCGGTAAATGAATAAATAATTTTAATTCCTTTAAATAAATTATTACCCCGGTGGTCCCGTTCTCGAACTGTCGACTAAACTGTAATATATCTATACTAATATGACAAAGGCAGTTGTAGCCCAGTGATAACGCTAGCTGGAAACCGAGTGAAGCAAGTTCAAATCCCGGGTCTCGCACCTCTGATATTCATGTGCGACTCATTTCCGAAACGATTAACACTTGTCTTACGGCGAAGGAAAACAGGAGTAACTTGGGCTACTTTTATTTTAATAAGGGATTTTTAATTAGGGTTCCGCTCAAAAAAAATTATACGCAACCTAGGGAGTAGGGACGCACCCGAGCGAAGCGAAGGTAAGTCGCTGGTCTAGTATAAAGATAAAATTCTATTCAATTCTCTCGTTAACGGCTTCTAAACGTGCCATTCTAGCACAAATTACTTCACCAATGGCAAAAAAAAACAATAAATTATTACATAGATGGTTATTTATTATAAAATATGACACATTCTTTTGAACTGTGTTTTACAGTTATTCGAGACGCACATAGCAAAATTGTTTATACTGACCCTTCAATCACTTTTAAGAATAATTTAACAAAAAGTTGATACGTGTTTTGTATAATTATATATAGAGGTTCAATAGAAAAAATCCTATAAACAAATAAATACAAAATTATTTGTGAAACATAATAATTGCAATATTTTTTTGTAATTTTATAAATAGTCATTGAAGTGTCAGTAAACGAAGCGTACATTGATTCTACTTTAGAACATTCGAGAACCTACCAAAATGAATTAGGGACGCGAACACAACTCAAAACCACATTGTATAGCAAATACGTTCGAAACGAAATAAATGGCACAGATAAAAAAAAACACGTGCTGTAAAAAATAAAATCTTTAAAATAATCGCATTAGTCAACAAATATATGGCTTTGACAATAAAAAAAAAGAAATAAATAAATAACTCGAAATCAATCAATGTACAATATTTACATCGAATATTTATAGGAATTACATTTAAAAAAATATTAAAAGGGGACTTTTAGTTGCGTTGGAAAGCGAAAAAAGTTTAGAAAACGACGATATATATACAAGTAGACAAGTTAATTGACTTCATTAAAGATAGAGAAGGAGAATGGAAAAGTGTCTCTTTCTCTTTTTATCTCTATACTGTGGAAACTATGTAATTCTGTTATGTAATAAAACCTAGCTATTTTGACGATCCATTTATATTATTTTTATGGCTATTTTTTTATTTAATGATGGCGACTATAACGTCTTACAATAAAATAGTACATTTTTAGATATATGTTGTTAGTTTTCAGATGTAATATTACTTTAAAAACAAATTGTATAAGCGTACGCTTAAATGGTAACTTCTTTAAATGCAAAATTTACACGAATTAAATATAAAAGTGTACCGAATAGATTCCATAGACAAAGAGAATTATGAACTTTTATCAACAATACACATACAATTCATTCAATAACTTGCCTATCTATATATATATAATCTGTAATAAAGTAGGTTCTGTCTTTTTTGATTTATTAGTAAAATATAAAAAATCCCGCATCATTCCCCTATTGGACACGATCGTGCGTCTCTCTCTCGCGGGTACGAGACCACGCGCGAGAGAGAGACGGATATATTGTTGTAATCGTTAAAAACTTACGTAACACCTTACCTAACTTAAGACGACATCTAATATATTAAATACTTATGGATAGTTTACATCGATTTCACATTTTAAACGCAAACATAATTATAGAAATTGCATTTCTTTCTATATATAAGCTTCAAATAGGATACATTTTACATTATGCGATATTGAAACAAAATAGACACTTTTCAAACATTGCACTGGATAAAATTCATAATTTTAACTTAAGAATAAATTGTTGGAAAAGAACAGAGTATGGTCTAATACAATAAACAAATTGATTAGACAATAAATTAAAATTAAAGAAAAAAATTTAATCACTACTATTTTTTTTATAAATAACTAATTAAAACGACTAAAAAGTTTCCATTTTTAAACTAGAATAAAAAATATAAAAAAAATTACGTATTAAATGATCTCATCTATACTTCTCTAATAAAAAATGTAACAAAACATGATTTATAACCGTCGAATTGAATTTAAGTGAAAAATGTAGTGACTAAATTTTAATCTATTTTACAAAATCAATGGAGAAATGTTAGAAATAAATATACATATAAAAATATTTTTTTTGTATATAAGAACATAATATCTACCGTCAGTCTATTACAAACCACATAATAGGCCATCCGCTTCATAAACGGACCCAAACGTTTCGCCTAAGTATTCCAAAACACTTAAAATTAAATACAATGTGATGTGCAAAAAAGAAATAAAAAATATACGCATTAAAATGTTTAAACGCTTCCATTAATATTACTGGACGTTATAATACGATAAAAGCAAAAAAAAAATGTACTGAGATCGATTTTTCTCTAAATGTATATAATAAGTAAATAAGCATGTTGGTTCTTAAATCATTTTAATATAATAATTTAAACATCGAGCTACATTAATAGGCAATATATTTTATACAACCAAGACATTTGTCTTTACAGAAAAAAAAAACAAATCATTATTTAAAATTGCAATTGCAATTTATAATTATTACATTAATTATAAAAAAATCAGTCTCACAAAAGATGAGATATTTTCGAGCTGCTATGACGAATTAAATAAAAAAAAAGTGAATTGATATAAAAACTAAAAAAAACTGAATTTTAGGAAATTTAAACAGGCAAGACTGTGCCAGGCTAAAATGTAAGCGTTTCTGGCAAGAATATAAAACTGAACAATCACAATAACGCCATTAATAGAACAAACAAAAACACCACATTGAATGCATGGAAAAAATATCATATTTTTTTATACTTTCATACACAAAATCCCATATACGTATCCACTATATTAACATTATAGATAACCCGAATGACTCGGCGGAACGGAATGTGCACGGTGTTTCATACATACCGACTTACAATAAAAAATCGTCCCGTTAAATATTTGTGCAGTTCTTATATATATAATATAATAGCGACTACATTTTAAAATACTGTTCCAAATTTAGTCAATACTCCCAAATCTAGCCCACACTCGAAATTTAGTCCATTCATATAAAAAAAGCGCTAAATACGGAAGCGACGCGGTCTAAGCACAATATGATATGACTTTAACGTGTTGCAGTTTTAAAAAAATATAACCGACTTCGCATAACAGTCAACTATCAATACAGGAACTCATCACAAGTCCACATTGACTGTTAATTATTAGTGTAGTACATCAAGATTTTAACATAATATAAAAATCCATCTCGAGTAAACCTGGAGTATATAGACTTTCACCAAAAAAACCCCAACAAAACTAGCTCTATACATACGAATCTACATACACCATATACATTAAAACAATCAATTTTAAGATTAATATACGAGACATAAAATAACTCGATTTGTCGTCTGAAAACCAACATGAAAGACTACACCCCCAAGTGTACTACAAGACAGACAAACATATATTCCGTCTCGGAAGTCGGTTAAGGTCGCGGACGTCAGCATTACGCACTATCACTGGAACGGTACAACCCTATATAGTCCAAGACGAGCGCACTTCAAACGTCGTCCATCACGAATGCAACGTGCATTGTGGGTTCCTGCAAATATATACCAAATATACTTTAAATTAACTAAAATGGAACATTTAATGTGTTTTTTATATTGATTCAGACCCGGAATTGTAAATCTGCTCAATTTTTGAAGTTATAAGTACACACAAACTATCGCATTTATAATGCTCTTCTGACCGATTTCGGCCATTGCGACCAATTTCAATGAGACTAGCCATTGACGCAAAAAAAAATTATATTCTCTATCTCTATTCCTGTCACTCTCATATTCCGGTGGGACGGTGATTCTACATTATCAGTGAGAGATCACGTTTAGTACTGACGGCTTTACATACTCTCCGAAGCATGAGTGAAATTCCACTGATAACCTAATTCCGGACTATTACTGTCAATTTCTTGATAGGAATTCTCAATAACTTAGTCCGAAGCGGGGCTCGAACCCAATACCTCCATACCGCAACCGTACATGCTAACCACTAAGACCACCAAGGCAGCTATATTATGGATACCTCATTATCGTCATAGATAGCATGTTACATACCCATTGCCCTCACACCATAACAAACGCCTCCTGCCCCCTGAACAGAAACGGATGCTGGTCGATCATCGTCTGCACGATGTCCTCGAGGTATGGGCGCGTCATCTCGAAGCGGCCCATGTCGGAGAACTGAACCGGCAGCAACGTCGGCCACCAGCAGATGGCCAGGTTCTTGCTGTCCATTGAGTTCAGCTTGGAGTTGTCCGCCACCCTGGATACACAGATGTTTGTGTTAGATTCTAGATAGTGCTTGGGAAAAAAAAATGTATTTACTTTATGTTTTTTTACGTATTTTACTTTATTTAAATTCAAATAATTTCAATTATTACTGTTTACATTAACACACTTGTGTTATGGATACCAGAGAGTTGGATACACTACACATATAGATATAGCTTTAATTACATACATATTATAAATAAATATAAACACCCATGACTGGAGTACGAACATTCGAGCTTATCACACAAATGAATGCGGAACCACCAGCGGGACACAAGCCTGCGACCGCTTACGTTACCGCACAGCAAGTAGGATAACTACAAACTCCCCCCCAACGTGCGTTCACCTTGTCGTGGTGGGGGGGCTCAGTAGTGCCCGGCAATCCAACCGGGCGCGAAGCTAAGAAACGCACAGGGAGGTTGCCCACTTCGGTGGGCGGTGAGAGGTGGCCCTCTTCGGGGGGCGGTGTACCATGCGGGTTGCTCCTGGTACTTCTGATAGCAGAGTGGACCTTGGAGCAACCCCATGGTTTTGGTGGTCTGCTTCGGCAGACCTGCTGTCGGGGCGTCGTAGTTGAATGCGTAAGCGATCCTGCGACGCCCCATTAAGACGGGGGAAGGTTTTGTTGGGTTTTAGTGGGTAGTACTGGCTGTATTACGCCGGTGAGTCCCACACGTCGTGCGTAAATGCATTTCCCAACGTTAAAAAAAAAAGGATAACTACAAACTCAGCCAAACGTGTCGTCATATTAAAGTTTTATTAGAAATATGTACGTCTCGTTTAAAAATTGAAAAAATAAACGATTAATTACTTACCATTCAAATTTTCATAAAAATGTTACATTCACAGACAGATTAGAAATGGTAAAATTATTAATTTTTCAAAAGATTCCATGAAAACATTATTGGTATAGTGAGTGACCATGACCATGACATGACCGTCTAATAAAATGAAAACAATATATTAATTCTCATAAAAGTCTATGTGATTATAAAAATTAATAAAATTAATATACAGAGATATCAAAATATAAACATTTAGTCAGATTTTTTTTTCTCAATATATAAAATCATTTAATATAATACATATGTACATATATCATTTAATAGTCACAAAGCTATTTACTCTCAGAACTCGCATTGATTTTTTTAATATCATTTAGTACTATAAATATTTTATAATGTATACTAATATCGAAGAAACATGTCGCAAGTAAGTCTGCACTCATTATGTCTGTATAACTATAAGAGTCGGCATGTCGACAAGAGCACTTCAGTAAGTCAATATATCGGCATTTTATTATGTCATGTTATATGACGGCATGTTAAATAGTGAATCCGTCAGGGAATCCTTATGTCAGTATGTCATAATATTGGCTTGTCATCATGTCGGTCAATCATCAAGGCGGCATTTCATCATAACATAATGTTAATAAATGATCACGTTAGTCATGTCGGCATTTCGGCATGTCAATATGTCGGCATAAGTTGGCAATCGTCGGCCTGTCATCATATTGTTATGTTAACAAGTAAGCACGTCAGTCATGTCGTCATTTCGGCATGTCAGCATGTCGGCATATACCGGCAATTGTCGGCGTGTCATCGTGTCGGCGAGCCCAGCGGGGGTGTGAGGTGTACCTGGCGAAGTGGTGCAGCAGGTAATCGAGCGTGGCGCGCGCGTTGGGCGTGAGCGCGGAGGCGAGCAGCGCGCGCAGAGCAAGCAGGCGCCAGCTGCGGTCCTTCAGCTCTACGCCGCCGGCGATGCATCCGCGCATTGCTACCACAGACATACATACGTTAAAAACCATCTTGTATACATTATTATTATATTTTTTATTAAGTCAAGACATTTTTTTATAGTATATATGCAATGAAGATAAGATTGATCCGCTTTTACACAACAACACTATATATAAAACTACTCTTTATGTGACACAAAATAAAATACTAAATTCCTATTATTTTTATTTTATCATATTTCTTATCTATCTATTGTGTAATCTTAAAAAAAATATATCCAAAAGAAAAAAAAGAAAAATTACTTTCAAAGTAATATTTAAAACAAACAAAATATTTTAAACAAAAATCAAAATTACTGCAATTAATAAATTTAAATATTAAACCATTATAATATAACATACCCGCAATATCCTCTAACTGCGCCATACTGGCCTCGTCCAGCAACGGAGGTAGTTTCTTAGAGAAGAAGTCCTTGAGGGCGGTCGCCACCGCGTTCACGGGGATGTCTAATGATTCTAAATCTATGTTGGGATCTGTAATATTAAATTAATATTACAACAAATGTAATGTAAAATTTACGTGAAGGAACAATGAATGTTCAAAACATTACAACAAATACTACTAAGTAATCACTTATATATATAGAAAAAAAAACATATCCTATGAGAGACTAATTCAGAACGCTCATCACATTCAAATAAAATAATAAACCTTTAGTAAAGTTTATCCTGACAATTTTATAATCACTAACGTTAATACCAAACAGAAAAAAATATATAATATGTCACTACGTCTGTTTATATTTATTGGTTATCTATTAGCAATATAGACTAAAGAAAATTAACACTTTACCTTCATAGAACTTATTAAACAACATGTCAACATGAGCCCTGTTGCCGGGCACTCGGTACAGTCCCTCTGAGGCAAGTCCCTCTCGCTCTATGAACTCTATACATTTCTCCACGAAGAGAGGCACTCCGTGAGGGCCCTGTGAGAAATGAACAAAATTATTTACAGTGCTAATATATAAAAGAGAATAAGTTTGCAAGTCAGTGTTCTCTTTGCTCTTGTCGTTGCTTTTTGTAGTGTTTGTTGTCAAGGTAACATTTTATCGATGTAAGTGAACTAAGCCAAGCCAGTTAGTTATATGATTGCAAATTTCAGATTCTCATACATTTTATTTTCATTAAAGTAATTTATATAAAACTTTAATGGATACTTTTACCTGTGGTCCCCAATTTTGTATCGAATTCGTATTTTGTATCTGTGAGGAGTTCTTCTTGTCTTTGCTCTTTGAAAATTCCTGAGAAAAAAAAAGAATTTATAAATATAAATAGAAAGGTTCTCAGATATATTTATAGTTTTTTTATAGTAAGCTCATATTCCAAGTATCCAGAGAACTGATAACATATAAACGTTCAATTATTAGATAAACAAAAGTTATTTACGATAAGTAACCATAAACACAAAATCTTTAATTTTGAACTAAAAACATATGTACACAAACATCAAATTAAATCTAAAACTAATTAAGCACATTACTTTTCATTGAAGATATTTCTCCAGGTAATTCATATTAATTAACAAAGAAAAAGAAAACACATGAATCGAGCGCCTCCTTTTTTCAAAGTCGGTAATTAAGTAAATAAGATACAGAATACAAACATACAAAGCACACCTTATGCCTCCTGTCGTGTTTCCCGAACGCCTGCCGCCGCCGCGAGTCCGCCGCGCTGGACGACGAGTTGTCCTGGGCGGACGACGGGTATTCCCCGGATAGCATCTGTAAGTCAATGAAAATATAGTCCGTGTCTTAATCTCAGAGACTAGATTGGCACCTGTAAATGTCAAATTTTCAAATAATGCTACCAGCTCTTTTGTGCAGTGTTGTACCTACGATATCGGTTTGTTGAATCTTTATTAGACGATTCGCTTCAAAGTTTTATATTCCAAAGTGTATCACTAAAATTCACATAATTTATTCTAAATCATTAAATATCATATTTATTAATTTTAAATCATTAAGTATCATTAAAATCCACATTACGAAATTTAAATTTGCGTTATTAATTTTTTATTACTACGTTTTAAATCAGTACCTACACATTATATCGGGATAACTTAGTACAAAAAAAATAAACTTATTATAGAAAAACGATACTTGATTTTATTAACGTTAATTTTTGATAGTGACTCATCACTATTTTAGAATTACAATAAAGTGGCAACCCACGTAATATCAGTTTTATCTCTGAGATTAAAAAACAGACTATACGCAGTTTCATATAACTACTTTTACTTGATGTAGCACAAAACGATATTGGTTGGAGGTCTAATTTAGAAAAATATTGCTATCATGTGATTGGGATTCCCCGTTGTAAATATAAGGTAAGTTAAGTCCTGGAAGAGCAATTTCAGCGTATACTACATGCTGTGTTGTAATCAGCCCTTTTTAACGTACAACTGCTGAACGCGTCTCCTTTCAATACGAGAGGGATCAGGCCATAGCCCACCACACTGGTCAAGTGTGGGTTGGCGGACTGAGCATGTCCTGCTGATCCTCGCATACACGTATATTTCCTCAGGAAGTTTTCCATCGCCGTAAGACAAGTGTAATCATGTTACATGCAAATATCACAGGCACGAAGGAATTGAGCCCGCTTCATTCGGTTTCCTAAGCGAGCACGTTACCACTAACTAGGCTATCACTGTCTTCACTACAGATACAGATACACGTTTAATTTATGATGTATATAAAATAATAATTATATATACATCTAAGTTTATTATCGTATATTACCTTATGAGTGGGCTCATGATGCGGGGGCGGCGGTAATGGCCGCGGTCTTCGCGTCTCTCCGTCCGAGCTGCCTTCGCTCGAGTCACTTGGGACTGTTGACAATAATTATTATAAATAAATTATTATAATTAATTACATATAATATGTTTAAATTAATGATATTCAAACATTAAACATACCTATAGTCCATTCGCGTTAAGAAAATAGTGAGTCATCAAGTACAAGCAGAGAGGCAGGTAAAGGTGTATACAAAGCGAGAGTAAAAATTCAATTCAAATTCAATATTTCAATAGATTAAGTTTAATGGATAAAAATCAACTTCTTTATCTAACTTATCTCATATCTTGATTTAATAAACTTAATTATCTTAAATCAAAATAAAGTCATTAATAATATATTTAAGTCTGCCTTTAACTGGTCATTGTGAACTTGACTTTTATAATTTTAAGCAACCTAACTGATCAGGGGGGCGTGGCTAGGCCGGTGGACACCGATGACTCACTATTTTCTTAACGCGAACGAACTATAATACTACATATATAGAGTTATGCGAATATTTGACATCTATACTTATTATAAAAATAAGTCCCCCGGCCGCGTCTTTCTGTCCTCCTGTCTGTCCTCCTGTCTGTCTGTACGCGATAAACTCGAAAACTACTGAACGGATTTTTATACGGTTTTCAACAATAGAAAGAGTAATTCTTGAGGAAGGTTTAGGTATATAATTTATTATGCTTTTATGTAAATTAGCTGAAATACGGCGACAAATGTTGAAGAGGTCGCAAAAAATCTCGCCAAATGGGAACTTTCCACGCGAACGCCGCGTAAACTAGCAAAGATACAGTTAAGTAATGTACTAGAGAATTCAAAATCTATAAAAATGCTACAAAAAAGTCCGCGATAGCATATCTCTATCTCTTACGGTTGACTTACAATAACCACTTTTATGTTAACATTTTTAATTAAAAACATTACGTTATTTTCAAAGTTATTTTCTTTAGTTCGGTATTAATCCTTATCCAAATGAATATTTTAGTTAGCTTAGTCATTTAATGCAGATTAAAATTGCTCTTTACACTAAATCAATCAGATGAATAGTTTTTGAGATATCGTTGTTAGAAGTAATTAGTAGCGAAACATTTTTAATGCTTGGCGAGCATTGAGATGCCTACGGCGAGTCCATCCCCTCTGCCCCGCATCGCTCGACCGCCTGCTCAAGCTATATAAACCGGGCGATGTAGCGCGCGATCCTAGGATACTTTTTACCGCGGGAAAATATCTTATTTCTGAGGAAAAATACAAAAACTGCAATGTAAGAGTATACTAATATGTAACACCTAAGAATTTAGTTTTTGGTCATCTGAACGCGGGCGGAGCCGCGGGCAATGCTAGTTTTAAATAAATGTAGTAAAAAGCTACTCATTCTAGCATTAGTTTTTATATAATAATAAATAAAATACCTTTATCCTCCTGCGTCCTCGCTCTGTACCCGGTGGGCAGCTCGGGCGGGCCGACGAACATGCCCAGCTTGGGCACTCTAGGACTTTGTACCGCTACTAGGTTTCCCAACGACCTGGAGATAGAACAAAATAATATTTATTTCCTCTCACTTTGTTCTACGTTATGGTTAGTTAAAGGCTAGAGACGAATACAATCATTTAATCCGTAAAGAGGCATCCTATAATTACATAAGCTCAAAATGTTGGTGAGTCGGTCCTGCGCCTCAACTCTCACCGGTCGTGTTGAAGGGACATTCCATCGGACTTTGAAAGTGAAAAGGAATAAAGAGTGCACTTGTTTCTATGCGAACACTGCACTTATGTCTGTGCACTATAATATCTCCTGCTCAATAAGATTGGCTGCCATGATCTAAATCGGCGAAGAGAATATCTTCATCAATATATAAATGAACTAAACGAGCGAAGCCAGGACTAGTATTACTCTATATATATAAAATTCTATGATGTATGTATGTTTCCTGTGGACTCCCAAAACGGCTGGAGCTATTTTGATGATATTTAGCACGCCTTATAGGCAAATTTTTGATACCTCAGGTTACATTATTGAAATTTTCGTCACGATCTCTAATTTTATTGAAAATACAATATAGCTCGCTTTTGATAGTTGAAAGAATTTTTAATATTGGTCCATTAGTTTTTTAGTATATCCATTACAAAAAAAAAACATATTTTTTTTTCTCTTTATAATACCAATTAGTATACAGGGTCATTTTTAATTTATTGAAAACCTTTTGGGTATACAGTATTTACAACATAACAACAACATCTGTAAGAAAAAAAATCTTAAATTTAACAAAAATAAAAATATTTTTATTGCACCTTCTAAACGGTAATAGTCCAGCATTAGCAAAAGAAAGTGCGTGTCCGGTGGAGGGGTGTAGGAAGCCGCGTTTATTCATTTAAACTTGGCCAGATGCTAGAACTTTAAAGTTTAGAAGGTGCAAAAAAATATTTTTATTTTTGTATGAAAATAAAAAATTTAAGTAATATTATTTTTTCTTGTTACAGGTGTTGTTGTTATGATGTAAATATGTAGTATATTCCTAAAAGGTTTTCAGTAAATTAAAAATGACCCTGTATACAGTGATCGCATCATCGTTGAAAATCAACCATGATTCATTTTTAATTCAGATTCACTTTGATCGACATTGAAATTCTTTTTTCAAAGTTATATAAATAATAAATAGCCTATAAAATCCAAAAGAATTTTGAAACAAATTACAAACAATATTAATCTATTCTCAATTTGACCACAGACTTTAACAATAAACAATATATTATACAAATACATGATAGTGTGATGATTTTTTTTATGCACAATTTAAAAAAAATATTAGCATTCTGTACTCCTTCTCTATATAAACTGTAAGTGTGGCAAATTTCATACTCCTCCGTCAAACCGATTTTCGTAAAAAGGGGTACAAAGTTTTTGCTTCAAGTATTAATATATGTATTACCGTTTCTTGTAATGCCTCGGCGCGTGCGCGTGGTGCACGTGTCGGCGCCGCACGTGCGCGCGCGCGCCGCCCGACGCCTCGCTCGACCCCGAGCTGTCCGTCTCGGAGAACGCTGCCGAATGTATATACTCTATTTAGTATCTAATTATGGCCAAGGAAAACATCGCGAGGACACCTGCATGTTTGAGAGAAGGTAGCAAGTTCTGAAAAGATACAAAGCCCGCCCGCACGCCCTCGCATCAAAGGAAGACCCCTGCCCAAGCAGTGGAACGTTAAAAAGGGCTGAATACATATGTGCATATATACAAAGTATGAACTATTCTTCTGTGTTGTGTAATAGACAGAACTAAGATTCTTTGGGATATAGTGCGATCACCCTGTTTGTGAAATGGAAGGCAATAATTTTTTATTTTCCTGTTTCCGCGTGTAGCGCTGCTGTTCCATATCAAGGTATTTCGTTCAATTTGGCTCAAGTTTGTGAGTTTCTCTAAGACTATAATATAAATATGTTGGGACATTATCACACAGCACCATCTAGTTACATGGCAAGCTACCGAGGCCTGTGTTATGGATACCAGATAGTTGATAGACTACACATATAAACTTTAAATACATACATATTATAAATATAAACACCCATGACTGTTGTACAAACATTCGTGCTCATCACACAAATAAATGCACTCAGCGGGACTCGAACCCGCGACCGCTGGCACAGCAAGTAGTGTCACTACAAACTAAGCCTACCGTGTTAAATTGATACAATTGATCGCTCTTTACATGAAAGGCAACTTTGGACAATGTTTACACAAAACAACAAAAAATAAAATATATTTATATGAAAAATAAAAGATTGTGCTCACTCACATGGTTGATGTAAAGGTGCTTTTTCATGTCTTCTATGTCTCCGGAGTCTTGTCATAGAAGGTGCTTCCATGTACTCATTTGTTTCTTTTATCTGTAATAAAAATAATATAACGGTTTTACATAATAATAAAACCGATATTATGTGCCGAGAGGGAAAACATACAGCATTGTATATGAAGAAGCAGTGTATACTTTGCCATTTATTTGTGGTCTGTGGAATATGTCATCTACTTTTCAACTACCCTATACTAATTGTTAAATTGACGGTAGTAGAAAATCCAGTTAGGACACGGCTAACCGTTGTCACTTTGAATATCATAGTCTTCACCAGGAAGGACTTCCTGCAATGCTGTATGTTTTCCCTCTCGGCACATAATATCGGTTTTATTATTATGTAAAACCGTTATATTGATGTGCCTCCGGAAAACATACAGCATTGTATATGAAGACGTGTTTGTTATCTGCTGGTGAAATATGTAGATTGTAGGTATATAAACACAACGCTATGATGAATAGTAAAATGAGAATAATAAAAGTTTAATATGAAAGTAAATAATAAGTTTATTTATTTATTTATTTATTTTAAAATATGAACTTGTATATAATTGTTACACCTTTTTTATTGCAAATCTCTTAATTATTTATTATTAACTAAATTAAATCATAAATTTATAATGACATGAATGTATTGAAAAAGGAGTTATGGTCATTTTTAGATACTTTAATTACTTTACAGTAATGATTAAAAAATGTAGTGGAAGATTTCCAGTTACCCCGTGCTAATATATCATCTAAGGGTTGATTATCTAACCACCCCAGTGAAGCTACAGCTGACCTACAACTCCCTGGGGAAGCATCAATGCCACTGTCTTTAAGAACTGCGCGCACCTAGTTGCCTATTACAGTACGGGAAGCAAATTTTACTTTATTACTAATTGTAATGAAGAGGTTGTCTAAGTCTCTAATATCCGACCTTCTTTGTTTGGTTTTCTCTATTAAACACCTAACTAAACTAACTGGGCAGATGTTCTTATCAGGATGTTTAGACAGCTTCCAAGCAGATTGGCGGCAGTCATGTCTGTCAGTCTTTGAACCAAATGCCGGTATTAAATAGATGTTTTGTCCATTATCGAGATAGTTGTCTCTGGAAATTCGCAACAAGGTAATATCGTGGACTCTACGTCCAGAAGCTAGCAATAACACTGTTGCTGTTCTACGCGATATTTCAAAGAGCGTATCTTTAGGTGAATTAGCTGAAAGCCATTCCAGAACAACATTTGGGTCCCAACTAACACATGACCTAACTGATTTTGGTTTAGCTACCCCAATTGCCTTAAGGGCATGTTTTATAATGAAGTTTGTAAATGTCTGTTGGTCTACATAAGGCCCACAGAAAGTTAATACAGCCGACTTGTGTACCAAAATAGTGCTATAAGATAAGTTTTCGTTAAGGAAAAGATAGATTAAGAATTTAGCAATGTCCGCAGGAGTAGGTGATTTTGGATTTACTTGAGTACTGTTACACCACTTCAACCATCTTTTAATGGCAGGTAGATATGTTGCTAAAGTAGACTTTCGCCAGCTATTTCTTAGCAGCTCCTTCTCTTGTGTAGACCACTCTTTTATATGGGAACCCCACCCCCAATTTTCCAAACTTTCAAGGTTAATAGATCTACTTGTGGAGGTGGCTGTGACGTTGTCATGTCGATCATTGTTTTCGATAGATTTTGAATTTCGTGTGGGTGAACCAACTCTCTGGACTTCAGATCTTGAAGCCAGAAGACTTGAGGCCACTCCGGTGCCACTATTAAATAAGTCCCTGTCGCGTTGTTTAGGTGTGCCAAAACTCTGGGTAATAGGCTCGGTGGAGGGAATACCCATGCTAGTTGGTATTGCCAAGGTCTGCTGAAGGCGTCTATATAACTTGCTGATCGATCTCTGCAATCTATTGATACGTAGATTTTTACTACAGCACTTCGTTGTGAAGCAAAGAGATCTATTTCCGGTCGACCCCATTTCCGGAAGACTTCTCCAGTTGCTTGTGGTAAGAGATGCCATTCCGCAACCTCTTTCCCTCGTGACAATCTGTCTGCAATTGTGTTGTACCTCCCTGGTAGATAATGTGCCGAAAGAGTTATCTTGAACTTGTCTGTTTAGTTTGTAAGTCAAACTTAGTAGTGTCAACGATCTCGTTCCGCCCTCTTTTCGAATATACGCAATTAAAGTTCGATTGTCCGAGTGGATGAGTACATGGGATTTGCTTAACGCTGCAGCGTTTGTTCTGATCGCTGTCATTACTGCATATAGCTCTTTTTTGTTGCTGTGCCATTTTTGTTGCTGACGAGACCACGTCCCCAACATTAGATGCCCATTTAGATGAGCACCCCAACCCAGATCCGAAGCGTCCGTCGCTAGGAAATGAGTAACCGGCTTTTTGTGTATTAGCGAAGAGTGACATGTGGCGCCGAGCCACCATCTCATCTCTTGATATACCATGTCGGGAATTAGTTGCCTCTGTCGTGGTTGCCTCTTGTTGAAATGCCGGAGAAAGATTTGTGCTTTCCGACAATGTAACCTGCCTCGGGGTATGACAAAGCTGGCGAAATTTAGCTGTCCCAGTAGGCTCTGTAGTTCGCGAAGCGTGATATGGCCTCTTAATAACGAACGATCTATGGTTGCTTTGAGACTCTGTATCCCCTTTTCTGGTAATGACATTCTGTTCCTGGCGGTTTGCCAGCGGATACCAAGATATTCTAGGTCTTGAGTCGGAGTCAAGATCGATTTTTGATAATTGAGGCTCCAGCCCAGATATTCCAAGTGCCTCACGGCCGCCGAGGCCTGAAGACATAACTTGGATTGGTCTTGGTTGACCAGAAGGTAGTCGTCTAGGTAGACTAGTACACGACATCCCTTGGTACGCAGGGTCTCCGCGACCCAGCATGTTATGGACGAGAAAAGATGTGGCGCTGATGCCAGGCCAAAGGTAGACAGGTCATCTCGTACAGTTGACCTAGGTAACTGATTTGAAGGAATGGGCAGTGAGATTTTGCTGCAGCTACATAAAAGTATGCCTGAGAAATGTCTAATTTTATCATCCAGTCTCCCGGTTGGAGAAAATCTGGCACTGAACTGTGAGAAATAAGGCAAAAACGCTTTATCTTTACGAATTTGTTTAATTCTCGTAGATCGAAAATAGGTCGCATCGATCCGTCGCTTTTCTAACGCAGAAATAGCTTGGAGATAAAACTGGGCGTTTCTTTTGTAACAGGCTGCAGTATTTTTTGATCCAAGAGGTCTTGCATTATTTGAGTCATGGCCGGCGACGGTTTGGTTGCAAACCGACTCATAACAAGCCTTGTTGGCATTATTAGAGAAGGTTTCTTGTAAAACGGTATTCGAAAACCAGTTATTGCCGATATTATAAATTTGTTCGCGCCAAGTGCCTGCCAACGGTTTTTGAACGTCTTTAGACGACCTCCCCTGAATGGTATTAGATAGTCATATTTTCTTGTTTTTGCTTCGAAAGGACGGGTTTCCTTGTTGTTTGTAAGCATCAGTCTTTCCTTTGTACGTTTTTTTAGTGTTTGATTTTTTGAAGGTATTTTGAAAATAATTTTTATCTTGTCCTTGTGGCCTAGATTTGGATGTCGACGGTATCGATTCATGGTATTTCCTTTTTACTTGGTACCTATTTTTAGAGGTTTGTGGGGGTGATAACCAATAATGAGGCCCGCCGAGGGATTGCACCAGCGACATCAATTGTGTTTTCTCGAATAGAAATTCCTCGCTAGGAGGTATGTTAACGAGAGCGGCTTGAATACTTTTATCAGAAATTTCGCTAATTAATCTTTTACTCCTAGTTTCTATACACTCCGCTCGTTTCCCGCAGACGATTTGTAATGTTTGTTCAGATAATTTATAAGATGGCGACGAATTACCGAACATTTCGCTTATTTTATTAAAAAGGTTATTAGAAGTTAGTTCTGTAGGATTATTGTGAGACCAATTAACAATTTCTTGTAAACCTGATTGTAGTAATTGCCTTTGGTATAGTAAAGCATTGGTAATTGCAGCCATAATTTCCTCCGTTGAGGCCAGGAAATCTTTGCCCTTATTTAAACAACATATTTCTTCATTAATTTTTAAGTTACAAAAGCCTGGGAACGCAAGCATGTCTGCCAATGCTTTTTTATACCGAATGTGTTGCCACGTAGATGTATTAAAATGTTGCAGTTTTATCAACTGGTTTAAACGTTGTTCATCGGCTGGTTTAAGAACTTTTTTCTCATCAAAATCAGTTTTACAAAAACCTAAATCTAATGATTTTGGTGTAATAGAGCAAGGATTGGTCAAGAAATCATCATTATTCTGTTCAGGTTGTTCAATCACGTCAGTGGTTTTCGCGGTCACATTTGTATTTGATGATGACGCACATTGCTGATGCATAATTAAATTTGTAAGGAAACTGACCTGTTCGTATAACGCGTCGATCCGGAGATCGACCGTTACCTGAGCATCTCGTTTTGATTTCTTGCGCGGAGGTTCCTCTTTTTCAGGCTCGCTGCTTGACGAACTGCTGGAACAGGAAGAGTCCTCTCTCTCTTGCCTTTCCCTCTCGATCGTCGGTGAATTAGAAACGATGGGTCGGTTTGCCTCGATGGCTTCATCGACCTCGCTAGGCGCGCGATTCATTACGATACACTTCCGGTATAAGAACCCGCACAAACACAAAAATACAGATAGATATTGATGTAATATTAGTTATGCTAACACTTTGTAAAATTATTTCTCAAAATATTTAACGGATTATTCTAATATTTTTGGATTTCGACCGCACGCGGCGAAAGTACACAACGCTATGATATGCAAAGTGACAACGGTTAGCCGTGTCCTAACTGGATTTTCTACTACCGTCAATTTAACAATTAGTATAGGGTAGTTGAAAAGTAGATGACATATTCCACAGACCACAAATAAATGGCAAAGTATACACTGCTTCTTCATATACAATGCTGTATGTTTTCCGGAGGCACATCAATAATTAAATATTGTTGAATAATTATAGAACCAAATTAAACATTCCCAACATGTTATCGATCTCACCAAATATATATGGTATAATTACAAACATAAGCACCGGGAGTGTGATCCAAGGGAAAGAATACATGAAGGAAATATTAAAAGAAAGTATATTTTAATTTGATTTTTATATACCTGTGCGTACTGCGCGTCTAGTTCCGTCTCAGAGCTGACGCCGGAGGGGTGGTGGTGTCCGGGCTGCCCGCCGTGCGACCAGCCAGAGCGCTGCGACTGTGCCACATACAATATATAGAATACCTCACTTTTAGGGTTCCATACCCAAAGGGTAAAGCGGAAACCTATAACTAAAACTCCGCTGTCCGTCCGTCTGTCACCAGGCCTCATGTACCGTGATAGACAGTTGAAATTTTCACAGATGATGTATTTCTATTGCCGCTATAACAACACATACTAAAAAATATTTAAGGGGGCTCCTATACAACAAACGTGATTTTTATAGTTAATGGTAAGAAACCCTACGTGCGAGAGTCCGACTCGTGCTTGGCCGGTTTTATATGTATATATTCATATATTTGTTTAAACACTTTATTGTACAGTAGAATGGTACATAGAAAAAAAGAAATACAATTAAAGGGATGTGTAAGGACGGCCTTGTCACTTATCATAAGTGATCTTACTTACAGGCAAAAGGCAAGAAAAAAATTTATTACATGCCACTCTTTTCCAACATTGTTTCATTAATCTATTAGAACAGCGGTTCCCAAATGGTAGTCCGCAGACCCCTACGGTTCTGTGGAAGGGTCACAAGGGTTCGAGTTCCGTTGGAGAATTAAATAATACTTTGTCAGACATGAAGCCTAATTTTAGTGCTATTATAAATAAATATGTGAAAAAAATCCAGTCATCACTTTAAATAGTTTATATTTTAGGTACAATAAATATTTTTCATTTATAATTTGTTCTTTTAAGTCAAACAAGAAAGTATCCTAACTAAAACACAATCAGTTTAGATATTATGAAAATGGGGATCCATAAAAAAAATTATAATCAATTAGGGTTCCGTGGCCAAAAAAAATTGGGATCGGCTGTACCTTCTACATAAGCATTTGCATAAACATAATTTCTCAGTGACAAAAGTGAACAATACCTTTCTCTCCCTGGGATGAGGCGGGCCAATAGTGATGTGTTGTAGCGCATCGCTCACCATTGTATAGTTGTTCATATCCAGTTTGCCAGGTTGCTGCAAAAATAAATATATTTGAGAAAAATATTAAATTCATCCTAAACCTACAACAGGCACTCGCTATAAAGCATCTAGAAACGTCGGGAATCAAACATTAAAAACAAAACATGAAAAACTATCCAATACCTTTTAAAATAGTTTTTAATACAATTTCAAACTTACACGTAAACCTCAGATAGTATTATAAGAATCTACCATAATAATATAAACAGGAAAGATTTGTATTTTTGTATGTTTGTAACGAATAAACTAAAAAACTACTGGACCAATTTAGATGAAATTTGGTAAAAAGATAGTTTGAGACCCTGGGAAGGACATAGGATTTTTTATCGGAAATAATCCCTTAAGGGGGTGAAAATGGGGATGAAAGTTTGTGTGGGGAATCAACATAGGGACGAACGCGAGCGAAGCAAGGGTGAGTCGCTACTTACTTATATAACGAAAGTTATCAATAAGAGAAGATGTAAAAAATAATCCCCTAGGTTAAAAAGAGGATAAAAGTTGATCTTTTAGATAGCATGCTATGCTAAAAATCCATATCGAGACTGGCACAATAAAACACAATAGATGCAAAAGTAGATTGCTTTTGTATACTCGCAAGGTTTATATAAATCGTAAGAAAGATAAGACGATGAGAGAAGGTCTATTTTATATTGTATTAGCAGCATTCAAACTACTAAAAAACAAAAACTCTTTGACACACCGACAGCAGCGCCACCTGCCGGGTCCATTTTTTTTTAAACCATACAGGAGCCCATTGAAATATACATACCAAATTTCATCCAAATCGGTCTAGCCCTTAAGGAGTAAGGTGTAACAAACACACGTACAGAAGAATTATATATATTAAGATAGTTTACTATTACCTTAAGTGTCTGCGAATGCCTCAACCTCTGATGGTGAGGAGGAGGCGCCCTCGCACGGCCAGTAGTGAACGCTCTTTGCCCGTAGCCGGCTGGCTGCCAAAGTCCACCACCATCTAAATTATATAAAAAACCATTAATATACATATCTTTTCAAATTGATCTTATTAATTGTATTAACTAAAGTCAATAAAAACTACGAGTACACTCATTAACTGTCTTTGGTTCTCCACTAAAGTGTTTTTTTTTTGATAAAACATGCTTATTTAGTTTTAGGATCTACAGTTGAATTTTTCAAGTCGCTTTGATACTTACAAAAGTTACTATCAATCACTTACGATTATACAAATAACGTATTCAATTTCCGGGTTATAAAATTATTTTCATTTAATTATTTTTCATATATAGTATCGATTAGTATTTTCGCTACACTTATAAATATCGAATTTCACTATTCAATATATATCACTTGAAAAATTCATCTTACAATCTTATAATAAAAACTATAAAATAAAAATCTAAACTTATTCTACGTAGGTAACTTAAATTGTATTGTAAATACTCTTAAAAACATAACAGTGTACTTGATTAATGAAATCAAGAATTTCAATAATAATTTGTGTATGAATTTAAAAAAAAATCAATGGAGCTAACATGACATTAATGTTAGTAAATAACTTCAACGAAGCCTCTTTTAAATTATTATTTATCTAACATGACAAATGCAAATTATTATGGAATTGATCATTTGAAAATATTTATAAGTACCTAAGAATGTATAAAAAAATATAAAACTAAGCAACTTTTACATATTATAATAAAATTGTAAGTGAGCCGAATCTGTACATTAAATATTTTTTGGAAAATCTTATTCAAAAATGGACATTATTATCGATACAAAGGCCGAATCTATACTTTTTAGAGTTTTTGTCTGTATGTGACCGCATCACGAGAAAAGCACTGGACAGATTTTGATGAAATTTGGTATAATTATAGCTGGTGATCCGAGTAAACATATAGGATACTTTTCACTGCGGGAAAATATCTCATCTCTGAGAAATCAATACTAAACGTTAAAACGTAAGTAGGGACGAACCGGAGCGGAGCGATGGTAAGTCGTTATAAATATATGTATTATTCAAAATATATTGATCACTAATACCATGTTAACTACCAAACTAATCTACATAACATAATACATGCAACAAATTATAAAGACAGCTATCCACATTTTAAATTTCATATAAATATTTTTATTTATTAATAAAATATAATATACATAGTTTTATGCATAATACAAATCTCAAATGACACCAATATTAGAAATTCCAAAGCTTTTAAATGTGGATGGATATATTTGTTACTTCTGTGTATTGGTTCAAAGAATTTAAGTAAAGAATAGAGACCGTTTCTATCCTGAATGAACATTAAAAACATTGGCTATCTTTTATCGAAGTATCAACCATACGAACAGAACTGCGGGCAAAATCTAGTTTTTCAACCCTCCACAGGCATATTGTGCGTGTCTCCGTTTTTCGAAAATGGGCTTAAGGAGCGTTTTTAAGTGAGGTTGCTTTCTAATTTTATTATATTAGGTATAAAAATGCGTTGTCACAAAACAAAACAATATTGAGGATTGGACAAATCTTCTTTTTTAATATTAGGAATTTATTAAAAAAATGTATATTGTATATATAAACATGTGGATAGCTGCAGTAACAATTACAAAATCTCATCGTAAATATTACAAAAAATAAACAAACAAGGCATTCCGACGGACAAACGGACAAATATCTATCTATAGATATATCTAACAATCTACTCGTGATATGTAACCGTCCCAAGTAACGCATGCAGTCACCTGACTCGTGCGTGCTCAGCGAGTCCTCGGAGCAGTTGAGGTCCGCTGCGTTAAAAGTTACTTTGTTTATATGGTGTTTACTTATTTTGTAGTTATTTGCGTAAAATTAGACTTATGTTCTAAGAAATACTTAATTTTTTTTTCATTTTGTAAACTTTTTCTTACAAAAATATGTAATTCGACAATAATCTAGTTTTTTCTATTAATCGCCTAATGTAATGTAATGTAACTCGACAAAAATAACTATCATAAATCGAGGACGTTGAGAGAAATTAAACTAATAATATATTATGATATAGCAGGTAAAGACTACAATAGCCTAACACATATCTTTCCCAATTCCCATAGCTGTAGTCAAAATTTCTAGGAAAAATTCCACTCCACAGTAATTTGAAGTCCTTTGGGCCATTTAAATTATTTATTTCCTACTAGCGATAACAAATGTATGGGACAACTAGCCTAATTCCAAAATTTCAAATTACATATAATATCATATTTAAATAACGTCACAACTTACGTGATAGATCTGCGTGCATTCTATGATCTGGCGGTGCGGGTTCCGGCGGCGTGCTAGGAGGCGGGTAAACACTGAAACCTGATAAAAAAAATATATTAACAACATGACATGATAATAACATGATATTAATGACATGGTAATTTTAAATAAAACCGTTTTTTTTTTCATTATGATTTTTGTTTACCGACGATTCAAATGTTTTATAGCAATCATGGTTAAAGCATTCGAAATATAAGTGAAAATTCGAAGCATCAAATATTCGCAAAAACAGTATAATAAATTAATTAATTTAAAATAATATCATTGTTTATGTTTATATTTTATTAAGTAGGTATTAGAATACTTTCTATGTAAGTTCCATTTAACGCATTTAAAATTGACAACTATTAGAAAATTTTTAACGTACAAAAATATACAATCTGTGTTAATTCATATTATATAGTTCACGATTTTAGCGCGCGCCTACAGACCGATGGACACCGACACCTGCCTTTTATATGTAATATAATATACAAGAATATGTATACTGACTCGGATGGAATTAATACTTACTAAAATAACACTTTGAATATACAGATATATTAGTAAATTAGTATTGTATTTAGCCCTTTTTAAAGTCCCACTGCTGGGCAAGTCAAAAGGGCTTATCGCAATATGAGAGGGATCAGGCCATAGTCCACCACACTGGCCAAATGCGGGCGGACTTAACATGTCTTACGAAAACTTGCTAGGTTCTCTAAAATAGTAAAAAAATGTGTTATTTAAAAAAATATACCAATAAATATAGTACCTTTCAAGAAACCTCTATTCTTGGAGTTATTTATCGTATCGCTATACTCCGAGTCGATGTCGGCGCGCGAGTCCGGCCCTATTAGTAGGTCCAGCGAGTTGGTGAGCTTGTGCTCCATTCTAAATAACAAAATTACATATTAATATTTGTATGTAGAATAATTTATTTATTAAAAATAAAAACGGGTGTTGTTATTTTGTATTAAGCAATAAATAATGAACCCATATTAATCTTAATTTAAAAGTTAAGTAAAAATTAGTTAACTGTGAAATGGTCACATATTTAATGGTATTTTAAAAGAAATTATAAAGTTAAATATAAGTATGGGAAAAGCTATGTATTGTGTATATTTTTCGCTAATAAGAGTGGAAATTATATTTCATTTATAATTGAAGCAGAGCAAATTAGATCCGCATAACGACCTTATCTATATAATATAATAAATTGCATTTTTTTCCAACCTTTTTTAAATATATGCCCCAAGCGGGATTCGAACCCGCGACCGCTGGCACTACAAACTGAGCCAAACGTGTCGTCCTATTCAAATGTAATGTAATCTAACTTATGATCCAGATGGTACGAGTGCAGCCGCGGCGGCGGCGCGGGGCGCGCGGCGGCCACGTCCGGCAGGTTGTGGTGGCGCGGCGCCTCCAGCCGGAACGCGCGCTCGATCTCACCCTTGCGCTCCCACACCTCCTTGAAGAACGGCGTGTAGAATGCCGCTGGAGAATTGAAATTAATATTCTTTATTGCACTAAACAATTGATATGAAAAAAAAAATCTCTTCCAATCAAACCATGAATGTGGGAAATAGTGTTCAATAGTGGGACAGAAATAGAAAGTGCAGAGAAACTATATATATATATATATATATAAAAGCATTAGTACAATAATCAAATATAATATACTTAGGACATGAAGAAAAAATATATATAAATAATTAATCATCGCTCATATTGGGAAGAAATGCATTCATACCATCTATACAGTAAGTGGGGGACTCACCGACTAGTAAAGCCACTATATATATTACCGACCAAAAGCAAACAGAACTTTCCACCTCTTAATGGACTTACATACTCAACTACAACAATTGGTCTACCAAGGTAAATCACAAACAACAACCGGTATTGTACACCAGAACCTAATATCATAATAAAAAAGCCAGCTTCCTCCAGAAAGCGATAAATAATAAAAAAAGAAACCGAAAAAAAAAATTTTAACAAAAAAATAAAAACCGACTTCAAACAAAAGCACTAAAAAGTATAAAATAACTGATTGGTAGTTTTCATTTACTATATATACCTAATCAAATATTTTCGAAGTCGGTGTGCTTTGCTTTGTATGGGCTGGCACCGATTTCGAAAATATTTGATTAGGCATGTATTTAATAGGTAGGCTTTAATTAAAACAAACAAAATTGTCCAAATCAGTTAATAAATGACGAAGTTCTGAGGTAACAAACATAAAAAAAAATACAGTCGAATTGAGAACCTCCTCCTTTTTGAAGTCGGTTGATAAAATTGAATTAAAGCCACAAACATAGGATTCTCACATTTATTCTCAGCACTAGACGTGTACGTAGTGAAGTGTGCTCCGAGTCGGTCGGCAGTAGCATTGCCCTCCGTGATGAGCGCGTGTCCGAGGTCTGTGCCGAAGAACGCGTTAGCCGCAGAGCCGCCGCCGTCCGTCACCGCCACCATTTGTATTGGTAAGTTTGGTATATTCATCGAGAATGCACTGTGAATTATAATAATTGTGAAGAGTTATGTTTTATATATACATATTAGCAAACACCACGGCTTCGCTCGCTCTAAAACTAAAAAAAAATCTCTAAAAAGGTACAAACTTCCATCCCCTATTTTACCCCCTTATAGGATGAATTTCGAAAAATGCTAAAACACGTCTTTATTTAATTTTATTGAAGTGCATTAATACCGAGTTTCAAGTAATGCTGATGATAAATGTTTTTTTTTTATTGTATTATAACGCGTTTTCCCGTGGGAATTAGATAATTTCCCGTGGTAAAAAGTAGCCTATGTCACTCTCTAGCTCTCTAACTATCTACACACAAAAAATAACGCCAATCCTTCACTCCGTTTCGTCGTGAAAGAAAGACAAACAAACCAATAAACAAACACACTTTCACATTTATAATATTAGTATTGATATAAAAAATGGGTAATGTATGTTCCCATGTACTCCAAAACGGCTGGAGCGATTTTGATGAAATTTTCAGGCAATGTTTAGATTAGCCCAGCGGGTTATCTTGTGAAGTTTGGTAGCGATCGGACGTTTAAACCCGGGTGAAGCCGTATTATAAGTGGGATTATTTCTTCAGTATAAGCCTTTTTTTATATTAAGTAGGTACATTACACTCTATAGACATATTGTACGTTTTTTTGAGAATTCCTTTTTTTTGCTGTGAATATGAATATAACAATTACGCTCTAGCATCTTGTTTAAGATTTTTAAATAAATTCAATTAAAAATTTATTGTAATTTAGCAAATACCTTAAGCCATTTAACAGGTTGTAATTGCCATTCTGTTTATGAATTAATATTCAAAGATTTACAGTAAAAATGAATGATTTACAGAAATAATGTATACCAAAAATGAAAATAAATCAAATTTTTAAAATCACACAAGCAACTATAGTTTTAATTATAATATTTTATTTCATTATTTCTAAAAAATAGTTATACCAATCAATATTATATACTTTAAAACAACGTATATAATACTTACTTGAGAGTAGCTAAACTTGCTTTCCGTTTCGCCGAATATATTAGGATAAAACCATGTATGAGCTCTTCTCTAAATTGACTAGCGCCATGGAAGCTTGAAATTATTACCTGAAACGAATTAATATTAAAAAATGAGATAAAATAATAATAATAAAAACGATAAAAAATCTATTGTCTATAAAAAAATTTAAATGTCAAGGCACTTGCCTTTACTTAAATCCAGAAAAAAATGTCTAGAAAGAAACCAACATTACTAAAAAAATCATTACAACTCTTACTGGGTCTTTCTTTAGTTTATGTACATTTTTCACATATATCTGATGTGTATATAATATGAATGAAATATTTTTATTGAAAAAATTCAAAGACATTACAATCGAGCAGTGGGAAGCATAGTGGTAACATACTAGCTTGGAAAAACGAGTGAAGCAGGTTCTAATCTCGACTCTCGCAACTTTGACATTTTTATGCGTGAATCACTTTCAACATGCTTACCACTTGTCTTGCGGTGAAAGAAAACATTGTGGTGGACTATGACCTGATCCTCTTCGTACTGAAGGGAGGAACGTGCCCAGCAGTGGGACGTTAAACAGTACAAACATATTATATCTCAACATATTTACTCACTTCGACTTTTCTCTTGGAGTCCCCAAGGAAGGTCTCTATGAGTATGGAGCGGTCGCCGGTGAGAAAGCAGGCGCGGTGCAGCAGCAGCGGGCTCAGCACGCGCTCGGGCGAGTACGGGTCATCGCAGAACATACACACCATTATACTGTTAGATATTAAAAATAATATTGTCATCTTTATATAAATTAATATTAATATTATTATCATTTTTATATAACAAATTAATAAAAAAGATCAAATTACAATTTTGTATAAGTCTTATTGAATAAAGTTCATTTTCATTTTAATAAATTATACCAATATGGCATTGTTAGCGAAATAACGTTTTTAAACCAAAGGCGCCTTTTGTAATCCCATTCATTATCTGTATAGTTTATAAATGCATTCAAATATACATACGATAACGTCTGGGCGACTTTATTACATAATAATTTAAGTATTATAAATAAAAGTCCCCCGCCGCGTTGAGTTTGGGTTTGTTCAAACTAATCTCAGAAACTACTGTAAATTTACATACTAAATTCATTAATAGAAATACGAACTATCTAAAACTATATGAACATTTTGCAAAAATGATCTACCGATATAATAATAGTAGTTTTATTATTTTTTTATTTAATCCTTTATTACACCAAAAATAAAAATACAATATAAATGAATATATAACTTTACAAATATTAGTGTAAAGGCGGCCTTATCACTAAAGTGATCTCTTCCAGGCAACCTATATTATAAAGAAACTCATAGGGTGACATGGATTATGGTTGGTGCAGAAAACAAGAACTAGTCAATAATAAACATACTTAAACGGTACATACTATAAAGTACACACAAGCTTACATAAATAACGATACGGACATACATAAATAAATATTATAATCTTCTTCTTCTCCCTGCCCATTTCCCAAATCACTTGGGGTCGGCGCAGTACATCTTCAGTGTACTGCTGATAGGATTTGGCAAAAGTTTTACGACCGGCCGCCTGCCTGACGTCAACCCTCCTTGGGAATGCTATTGTCTTTCTTTGTTTGAATAAATATTATTTATTTGAATAAATAAATATTATAATATATAAGTATAAACAATAAACGTATATATTCTACAATAAACTTACATAAACAGGGCTTACATAAATATACATAGATTTATAGCGATAAATAGTAGTAGGTCAATAATAATAAAAAAATATTACAAATGCAATAAGCATTTAGGGTAACTAGCTTGTTATAAATAAAGCTATAACAATAGAACATAAATGACAAAACCCCCATCACATACCGTATATCAGCATCGAAGCAAACAATGAGATCCCTGTAGAGATGCGCATAGCTCGCCTTCTCCCTGTTGGCTCTTATCAGCTCCTGTACAGCATCCGCCGTCAGCGCCTCAGTGCCGAGCTCGTTCACTGACGCCTCCATATACGAGCAATGGAGACTGGAAATGTTTTATTTGATTTGTTATATAGAGATTACTTTTTACCTAAAAGAATATACTTTAATCTAAGGACGAACCCAAGCGAAGCGAGGATGAGTCGCTACTCGCTAGTTATGCAATAATTAAAAAATACTAACTTATCAGCAAGATTTTGCCCCTCCTCTTGAAGCCGTGCAATTTCTTTCTTATCCATTCCCTCATCTTGGACGAACATCACTACCAAAGGTAAGCCCTGAAATAAAATTATTATTAATGTTATGTACTTTTATGTACATACTATATTAGAATTAAATATTTATATACGAATAATATTTTACCTGAAATGGTAATTTATCCTCTTGTTCCAGACTAGATAAAAGCGTTTTCTCAGCACAGCCCCTGATATATTCAAACGATTCTTGATCTTGATACACACAGAAATATCCTGCAATCAAAGTTATTGTTATAACGAATATTATTCTTAGTTTTGTTTTACTTTTTTTTTTCATGTCCAGAAAAAAGTTAGCAATATTGTAGAACTTTGTAAAATATATTAAAACATATACAGACTTTTGCAAAATTTGGGTTAGCTACTTCTATACCTTTTTTTTTTAAACTCATTGAAATGTATAATATATTTCCTACAATTATTAAATATCTAACTCATTATTTATCTCCGTTTAAGAAAAATACACTGGATATTATAGTGAGATAGATAAGGAATATTAGGGACGTAGTCTTATGGGAGTTTCGACAGCCACGCCATAGTTCTTCTCAATCTATTTCACAATATAAGTATGCGTTAGAAAGAGACGGATAACAACCATTTGGCGCGAAGTCCCTCGGCGCGTCGGCGGCGAAGTCATCGGTGCGCAGACGTTGCTCCACGCGCCACGCCGTGCCCGCCACGGTAACGCGGCGCTCGCTGTCACAGCCGGCCGTGAGCCGCTTGCCGAACTCGCCGGCCACGCCTTCCACCTGCCGACGTTGGTTTGTTAGGAATTGTCGATAAATAATGTCAGTCACCTTGGTTGGTCTTGTCGGCAAAAAATTAGCTTCTTTTTTTATAATGATTGATTTAATGTTGCGTGATATTTGTATTTGTATAATTTAAAATTTTGTTACTGTTAGTTTTACAGAAATATTATTTTTGCAATTTATTAAAGATTAAAACGTACATTTTAAATATCCTACATCCGATTGGATATTGCGTTACTCCTTTCTTCTTACACGGATAGGCCGAATATCAATTTCATCTCTATTTAAAATATAACTAGCGTTGGGAAAACACGAAAAAAAAACAATATTTATTAAAAAAAATACATCTGCTAAAAATTAATTAACTTGCCGAAGACTGTTCATAAAATATTTTATTTATAAAACTCTGAGTACTAAGTCACTTACATATTATATACCTAATATTATTATTAAAATACCCAATACTAACCCCAAGTATGATGATGTTGATTTGCGAAGAGTCGGTGGTAAGCGCCCAAGGCGCCGCGGGCGGACCCGCTTGGCACTGCGACTCGTTCGTTGATGTTAGCGACCTAACATTATACAATAACTTATTATTATTAGATTATAATATTATTATTATCGTAACATCTCAGCTGATACACTTAAAAATTATTATGAAAGCATTGGTATATTAAAATATGGATACACAATTCCTAACAATGATCTATTCAAAAAGTGGAGTCAACTTTTTTAAACAAAACAAGACATAAGGAATAGTAGTTTCACTACCAAAAATATATGTAACGTTTGCTTTTTCAATAACATACACATATTTGTAATTAACGTCTTTAATCCTAGGTACGCCGATTTTATTCACAATTTCAAGGGTTTTAATATATTTTTTCGCGGAGCCCTGATCCTTTTTCTAAAATAAAAGTATCCTAAGGTACTTCTTATAACGTCAGCTGTCTGCCAGTGAAAATCTCGTCAAAATCGGTCCAGCCGTTTTGGAGCCGTTTGTTAGCCAATCAATGACCATGCATACTCACCCAACTCTGGTGTTGAGTATGACGGGCAGAGTCGCATCGAGGCAGTTGGCTGCAGCAGGGCAGTGCTCGCGCATGGGGCAGTGCACGAAGCCCAGGTGCTGGAACAGCATCAGCTTCCTGTCTTGCTCCATGCGATCCAGCATTTTGTATCTGTTGGTTAGTGAGTTGATTTGAAATTATAAAATTATTATTTTTATGGATTCATATAATATGTATATGAATCGTATCGTCGAATCATAATATTCATTCATAAACTAGAATGTTAATACGCAATAAGTAAACCATTTTAAGATTGAATAGATAATTTTCGAATTTCAAATGATGAGAAATATTTACTAAATAATAACAAAGAAAAGTTAAAACTCAGGACAGTCAAATCAAAGTCCCAGTAACGTTTACTAAGAATTTACAAAATATTGTTTTGCTTACCTAAAATCATCCTGCAATACATCAGTAATCTCCTTGATGTCTTCTTGAGTAATAGTGCCAGTGGGCGATATCCTCTTGAAATGGTAGAACAAATCTGCATGCTCTAATAGAAGTTCCTAGAAAAATGAACACATTTTATTTTTCAATTTGTATTTATTACGACTTAAGTGAAACAAAGACGTAAGAACACTTATCTAACAAATCGGCACCTACGAAAAATATTATAACTCAGTAGTGAGATAATTTAAATATACCTTCACAATAGTCTAATGGCAAGCTGTACGGCTGCATCGGAGGTCATTGATTCGACTCCCGTCTAATAACTAGTATATACGATTGGATTGGAAGACATTAATTCTATTCCCTGCTCGAGCAATCGCACTATACTATGCGCAGTTGACCAGTCCTAATGAGACTGAGTGACGTGGCCGCAATCGTTTAAACAGACATTATTACTTAGTCTTAAACTTGAATTACACGTGCCCACATAATAATGATAAAAAAATTAACCTGCAAATTATGCTTGGCTCGTCTCTGTATCTCCCTTTGGTGTTCATCATACACCCTCTGTTGTTGCTCCTCTGTGAGGGCTTCGTAACATTCTCGGCCCATTAAAAGAACTCTCACTTCGGATAATTGCTTTCCTGGTGTCACATAACCGGTTTCTTCTAGAAGACGCTTGAACTGCTGACACCATCTAAGAGGGAAGAAGGAAATTTATTTGATACTCGTTATTGTACTTTAAAATTAGTTATAAAACTTATACAAGCAAAGATGTGGACTTAGACGTGGATGTGAAACGGAGTTATCTCTTCCAGCTAGTCCTATGGGGAAATATAAGGTGTATAAATTACTTAAATATTTTTTTTTACTTTGTATGTATTTTTATTATAATTTGTAAATATGCGTAATTAGTTAGAATATAAATCACTCATAATATAGTTTCATGCAATAACGTAGCTTAGTCAATGTAGAAATAAATATTCTTTGTGATATTTGTTTACTTAAGAAATCACTTCAATCAAAAATCTATATCAGGAATACAGCACTCAAAAAGGCTATAAATATTTGCAAACATTAGACAACACTTACTCATAATTTCGTTGCTTCTCTTGCGCTTCATGGAGATAAGTCTTAAATATAGCTGCCGCTTCGTTAGTTTCTAGTATTTCGTAAGGAATTTTCTGCGATTGACCTAACGTCTGAAAAGAATTATTACAACTATGTAAAATGCTATATTTTTTGCAAAAAAAATTTTTTTTTATTTCTCAAACTAGTTTTCGAAAAGCATGTAAAGTCCGCCAACCTGCATCTACTTGGTCAGCGTTGATGAGTATGTCCGAATACTCCGTATTGAAGGGGAATCCGTGCCCAGCAGAGGAAAAAACTGCCATTGTTAAAATGGGCCTAATGGGAATAAACATACGTATACGAGTATATAGCGGAGAGTATATATATAGTACAGCGATAAAAAAAAATCTTAGTTTGGGGGTAGAATTTGTAGCTTATAAAAAAAATTTTAAAGCCTGTTATCTGACAGCCCTGATTTGCATATATACATATATATTTGTGTGTGTGTGTGTGTATAAGTATCGTACCTGGTACCGGGCGCGCTCGCCGACGCGCAGCGTGGCGTCGTCGGCGCGCGGGCTGTCGGGCTCGGAGGCGGAGGCGGAGGGCGGCGAGGCCGCACGCGCCGTGAAGTACACGCCGAAGTCGCGGTGCGCGCGCAGCTGACGCACCACCGCGCACCAGTCACTGTACACACGTTATTGTTGTTAGTAATGATACAATCGATTTGATTCAATTTGAATAGTATGCAGGAATTCACTTCAATTCTCTTAATACTTTTTACTTTTAAATTAAAATAAAACTAATATATTTAATTTGTTATAAAATTAAAACTATCCTACTAATATCATAAATGCGAATGTTTGTGAGGATGTATGGATTGTTTGTTACTCTTTCACGCAAAAACTAATGAATAGATTTTAATGAAACTTTAACTTTAACACAATAAATCAATTCTCTTGTTAATGCCTTTAAAACGTACCAGTTATGCGCCAATTACTTAGCCAAGGTCACGTAGATTGGAGATGACACGAAAATATTATTGTTTATTAAAAAACGTATTGTTAATAATGACAATATATAAGTAAGAAAAAGGTATCACATAAAAAATATTTGTGAGTTTGGGAAGGTAGTGTTTGTTACTTTTTACGGTCAAAGCGACGGAGGCGTATATTAGAGTCAGAAAATGTTTAAAAACACGCCATAATGGCTACTAACAATAACATTATAACACCATTTTGTTTGTGCTCATTTGATTCGTTTTAATAAGTTCTATATATTATAGAAGATGAATAAAGACCCTTGTTTAAAGCCTTATTAAAACGTTAACACCTTCGAATTTCGAGTTCATTTGATTAATTTTGACACCTATATACCCACACTACATTTTTGATTGAGTGTAATACTCAATCAAAAATATATTTAATTCAATCATAGTCTAACTTTCCAGGTCCAAAAACACTTACTTCTCCTGCAGCTCGTCGGTAGGCAGCTGCATGCGCGCCAACACTTGCGGTAACTTGGCTAATTGCTTGCGTAGTTTCTTCGCTGACCGTTCCTCTTTCAATCTCTTTATGTGACGTCGAAAGACAACCTGTATGGCGACGAAATGCATTATAATAAAGCAAAAAAAAAATTATTTATTTAAACATCCTACTAATATTATAAACGCAATGTTTGTGAGGATGTATGGATCGATGTTTGTTTGTCTTTTATGCTAAAACGACTGAACGAATTTTGATGAAACTGTACAGTTATATAGAGTATAAGCATCTAATCTTATAAAGATCAATTCAATAAAGCTTCTTCTTTTTAGTAAAATTCTTCTTAAATTATTAAGGTTATTATAAATAATATAATAATATATTATGTACAACATCCTAATCGAATATCATGTTTTAGTTATAAAAAAACAATATTATATAATTATTTTTGTTTTAAATTTTTGTTACAAAACAATAACCTATTTTTGTAAAAAATATATTGTTGTAATATAAAAAATATATTATTATATATTAGGTTTTATTTCGATAAAAAAATTAATAAAATATCAGTAACATAGCGTATAATCTAACAACACACACCTGTGTACCATCATTGCCGAACTGCTGGACGAATTTAACCCATTCTGGATAATGACACAACCTTTTGCTAACTGATGACCACATTTCCCTGTAAAATGTATATTCAAATTAATTAATATACATCACACATAATATAACAGATATAAATATCTACAACTATAAATTATAATTTTTTTTTTAAATCATTTTAGTAGTTTTGTAGCCCACTGTATTATAACAATTATATAATAACCTTTGAGACGTTGAAAATCTTAGTCTCTCCCGTGACCATGATTGTTGTAAAACATTCAAAACCTCGGGAACCAAAAATCAAAATAAATCCGCGAAATAATCCAAAAATATAGTTTTAATTAAAATTTTAGCGTACATCTAAATAAGTATAGTATTAAATGCATCAACTTTAAATTCGGCAATTATTCGTCCCGTGTCTGTAAATATTGATTTTTTCTTTACATTTATTTAAAATCACACTAAAGGGTATGTATAACGGGAATTATGAAAATAAATTAACTAAAAATAAAAATCCAAAAACATACATACATACATACATACATTTTAAATAAGACTCTTCTTTTCGGATTTTGTGGGGTTTTATTTAATATTTTGGTTCCCGACGTTTTGAATGCTTTACAACAAACACGCTTACGGGAGAGACTAAGATTGCAGACCTCTTAAAAGTCTACATATAGTTGTTACAGACAGTATCTATCCACCACATTTGTGTGTTTTTTTTAATTTGTGTATTTTTAAAATTAAAAAACAAATATTTGCAAGGTAAACAAAATGAACATAAGAAACAAGCTTACTTGTGATCCTGGACGTGTATTCTGATGAGCTGCGTGAAAGCCTCAGTGACAAAGTCTAAGGCCTCTCTTCTTATTCGTAACGCCTCTGCATAGTTAGCAACCTAATAAAAAAAATATAATATATTAAATATAGGCATTGAATATATATTTTTAATGAAGCTAATAATAAATTATACATATTTTGGGACGTTAACGCACCGTCTGGTTCCATGGTAAGCTACGAGGCTTGTGTTATGGATACCACTAGACAGTTGTTACACTACACATATAGAACTAACATACATACATGTTTTAAATATAAACATCCATGACTGGAGTACAAACATTCGTGCTCGTCACACAAATAAATGCCCCAAGCGGGGCATTGAATTGAATTGAACTCGAACTTGCGACCGCTGGCACTAAGTAGGGTCACTACAAACTGAGCAAAACATGGACACGTCAATTTCTTTATTAAACACCTTCAGCATATATACATGAAAAAAAATACAGTCGAATTGAGAACCTCCTCCTTTTTGAAGTCGGTTGAAAATAAGAGGATTTGCTACCTATTTGTATATTACAAATTAATCTATGTCCCTCGTCCAATCTTTCAAAGAACTAAATTAAAAAAATAAATAAGTGGGAATTCTTGATTTTTTTAATCCAGTTAAGAAATAGTAAAATTAATATTAAAAACACGATTAATGATTTCAATTTACGCTTCAGAAAATATATTGCATTAATCATCATTTTAAACAGATGATACTTCTTACAATATTAACTTATCAAAGTCAACTCTCAAGGATGGAGATTAAATAAATTAATTGTATCAAGGGAAGTATGTAACATTTTATTTATAGCGATGCAAGTGAGTGTACAAAACTTAGGCTAACAAGATGTGAGTAATGAGAGTTACCGCGCTTGAATTCGCCGCAAGAGGCGCCAGTGTAGAGTGAGGTATCTAGAATGTCAAATGACACTGAATGTTTATTGTTTGGGAGCTTTTCATCGCGTATCTTCACTAATTATTCATGATTATTGTAAACATTATGCCATTCCTGATTAATTATGGCAGACACGGTATGGCTCAACAAATGTTATTGCTTTAAAAGAATAGCTAAGAAAAAGTCAATATTTTATTTATTGGGTTATTATATATTAATTATTTAAAACAAAATCCTGACAAACTGGTGCCGCGTCAACAATTATTATTATTACATTATATTAAATGTATGGCCTTGCCGCACTAACAAATACTTTTTAACGACAGCAATAGGACTTTATTCACCAGTGGCGCCAACTGGTGCCACTACAAACCATCTTTTCAGGAAGCCCTTATTTATATTATGATAAAAATATTTTGTGGATTGAGAAGCGTACAAAATTAATAATATTGCAGGTTTTTATAAGTTTTTACTTAACCTACAATTTTTGTTCGTTGATACGTTTGTATGGTTCAAACCTTGCAAGATAATTAGAAATACTTCCTCTTATCCCACATAGTTGACATTTTACATGTTGGTTCAGTTATGATAACAATGACTTTTCATTATAATCATGAACTGATTATATCCATCTTAAATTTTCTCCAGACGAAGCAACTTCTCAACAATCAGCAGTACAGACACGAAATTATATATATGCATTGGAATTCAGTATAACCCGCTCTAAAATCCGCCATGTCTTGGCGCATTAAAATGAAACCTTATTTAAAAAAAATATTATTTACTATTAACTTATTTCTATAAAGTATACTTGGTAGCATGTCATTGGTTTAATTTTTCAATCAATTCGGTAATTAAATCTACATAACTGAAAAAAGATAAAGAGCAACCCACATCAAGCAATTCAAATACGTAGGTCAAAACTTCTTGAAAAAGCTTACATTTATAAATTGCAACTTAATTTAAATCAATTAAAACCTATTTTCCAATTGAGATAATAGCTTGTTTTATTAAAAGGTCAATAAGAGTACAACAATGGCTGAATAAGAAATACAACTAAGTAATTGTTAGCGAAAAGAGAACACTTGCAATCAGACATTGCCAATGCCTTTATGTGGGTAATACAAAAGACATTAGCTTCAAGTTACGTACTTTTTGGGCTAAACAAAGAGAACATAAAGATTAGGAGTGTTTCGATTCTCATAATTTCATTACAGTGTAAACAATGCGTGTTGGGTTATGGTCCCTGACTAGGAATTTTGCAAGTGGCCATGAATAGCGAAACATAAAACGTCTTATTAGTAAGATTGAAATAAATTAAAAACTTTCCTTTTAAAACATATTCGTTTATTTTAGAAAAAATATATAGAAATTTAACTCTAAAAAGTGACGACACACGATAAAGTAAATGGGAAAAGACAATTGAAAAATATTTTTGAACATGTCCGTGAAATGAAAAAATTGTTACATGTAGAGGAGCTAAGAATGACATATAGAGGAGCTAATAATGTACATCCATACTAATATTATAAATGTGAAAGTTTGTTTGTTTGTCTTTTTTTTACGTCGAAACATCTTGGCGGATTGCCGTGATTTTTTGTGTGGAGATAGCTGGGGGACTGGAGAGTGACATAGGCTTTTTACCGCGGGAGAGTATCTCTTTCCCACGGGAAAGCACGTTATAATACAATCCAAAAAAAAAATTATGATCAGAATTACTTGAAACTTGGTATAAATGCTCTTCAATACAATTAATTAAATACTGATTTTAGCATTTCTCGAAATTCATTCCATAAGGGGGTAAAATAGCGGATGAAAGTTTGTATGAAACCTATCATTTTAGAGTTTTTTTGGTACTTTTAGCACGATCGAAGCTACATACAAAACTTATATAATGATATACTATATATTGTACATTGATAAGAATAAAATTTCCACCAAAGAAATGCATAAGAGAACAAGAAATCACAAAACCTAAACAGGAAGGCAATGTTTACTGAAATGAGATATGATGATAATCACCTAACTACGTCTTCGTTACGCTTTGTTAGCCTTGTACTAACAATGAGATGACTCGGAAAATAGTAAACAATGACGTTTTTTATTATTACGGAACTAAAGATATTCAAGGGAATTGGATTTGGACAAGGGAATTTAAAATACAAGGTCATGTGAAAATTGATTAATAATAATAATTAGCTGATAACTCATGTTTGTTATTACAAATGTAGTTTGATAAGTTTTTAATCTTTTGTTATCGATACATAATAATCAGCAATGTACATACATACAGTACATCTATATAAATAAAAAATGAATGTTGGTAAACGCATAATTCAAGAATGGCTGGACCAATTAGGCTTTATTTTCGTATGTTCCTTAAGGTCCCCGGTAGGTTTTAATAAAGGAAAAAAATGAAAAATTAACGAAAAAAAATAATTAAAATTTTATGACTAACGCTGGCTAATAACTATTTATATCTATTCAAAACATACCTAGCGACGAACCCGAGCGAAGTGAGGGTGAGCCGCTAGTTGTACACACATTATGTGAATATGTATGTTTTAGATTGTTTACTTTAGGGTTATTTAATGTTTTTGTTTATCGTTAAGATCTAGATAAAATTTTGAAGATGTGAAATCTACACTAATATTATAAGGAGGTAAAGTTGTAAGTTTGTGAGTTTGTAATCGATAAACTAAAAATCCGCTGAACCGATTTACATGAAATCTGGTATAAAGATAGCTTGAGACTGGAAAGGACATAGGAGTTTTTATCCCGGTTCATCCCTTAAAGGGGTGAAAAGGGGGATGGGAATTTGTATGGGGAACCAATTATTTCTCGAGTAGGTAAGGGATATAAAACTCATGACACCCATATAATTATTTAATATTTACTAATATACAGTCCAACTATTCCCTACTAACCATTATAACGTAATACCATGAACGAATTAACCACTGGACTAGACATATAAGCGGACGTACCTTTATCGGTCTTCTCAGTAACCAGGAGATTTTAGGCTTGGTCGTTTGTTTTTTGCGTCAGTCTCAAGCACTTATTTGTCAGCAAAACATCTCCCAAAAATGACTAAATGTTCTGTTAAATGATGTAAAAACTATAACGGCGGAAGCAGCAGTATTTCTTTTCACTTGTAAATACATTATTTTATTATATTTATTGTTATTTATCACACAATTTAATTAAATGTAAAATAAAATGTCATATTATCCAACTATGTTAAATATAGTCGATATTTCTATGTATTGTTGATATCTGACAACCATCATAAAATTGCTGGATTATACCATTCAGAACAAATGACAAAACTGTCGAGTGAGTCCATTTGACATCAACTAGTGCTTGACAATGTCGAAAAATATATCGATATTTGACGAAATAACTAAACGAATTGTGATATTTGTACAGTACAATAACATAAAATATTTTTACCACAGTATCCTACAATCTGATGACAATAAATTTATAAAAATATTTTCTAAATCAAATAAAAATATATATGCAAAAATTATAATTAGTATGTGTACTTAATTTTTTATTTTATTTTATTCCACATTTATATACTTTGGAATATTATTCCATTGTAATAATAATAAAGATCATTTTATTTCAACACATAAATTACACAAAATCAAACAATAATGTTTTAGCACTAAACTTCTGGGTTGGCGATTTGTCATAAAACACTTTACCACTTGCACTAATTATTTTACTTTCACGATCCAACACTCACTTTAATTTGCAATCACTTTTTCTTTTTCCTAATTTCACAAATGTTTATTAAGAACTGAGCAATATTAGGACAGTGTCATATTTTTATAACTACCCGTGACAATCAATTGCCAATTAAAATAGTTCAATAACAGAATCAACAAAATCACTTTATTAAATTAAATTAGCTTAATATTTTTTTAATCTTTACAAAATAATATTTATTATATATTAATAGAATATATACCCGATATTCATTTGTTCATTAACATTATTATAGGCCAACAGAATGTTGCCATCAATGCCATCGTATTTATATAAATCAAATTAAAAAATAATTATTATTTGACACATTATTATTGCCTCTTTAATTCATTTATTTTAATTTATTAAAATTAAAAGAAGAAGAATAAATTAAAAGATGTAAAATATGATGACTATTCTAACCAATGTCTAAAATGTCATTCATTGGTTCATCGATATATGTATTTTATCGATTACGTTCAAGCACTAGAAATATTGTATTGTGTATCAGTGTTTATAATAATGTAATAAAATCTTTGTGTGCGTCATGCGTCACTTGGTTGAACTAGTTTTCATACATTTGTATTTTATGTCAGGTCCAGTCTCTAATTCGTTCATGCGTAATACTTAGAGATTTCAACTTCTTTCACATGGATGAATACTGTTAGAAAGGAAGAGTTAAAATAACTAGAAAAATATGTGTATACTAAGTTTTCTTTTGTTATGAGTGCGATTAACATTAATGTATCGAATTAACTACTACATTTCTAAGGACTAAAACCATCTTTTAAGGCCTATGCATGCACACGACTTTTTTCACGTGCATTTGACGCACACTTGTAACGCTTTTGTGTTGATACGAACGAAAACAGTTCTTTTTTTAACCGACGAAAAGAAGGTTTTCAATTCGACATGTATATTTTTTTTGTTTGACCACGCATAACTTTTTATAGTGTAATCCGATTTCGATGATTCTTTTTATATAGGATAGTTTACCTCAAAGTTGGTCCCATTTAAAATTATTATTTTTCATGTACTGAGTTTTTTAAAATACTACTAACTACTATGTCTATTTTAAAAAAGGAAAAAAACCATAAAAAAACGAAAAATAAAAAACAAAACGTAGTTACTTATTTTCTACTTTTTAGTGTTATTGAAGTCGTTCTTTATGTTAAATCCACTTAACATATTCGCAGACGACTATATACCTACTTATTCATGATACGTTGATACGCGCGTCGTCGGCGCATTTATAGCATCATGTGTACATAGGCCTTTACCAAAAAAAAAAGAACTAAAAATATAAGTAGATTTGACAATCCTAAAAAATAATATTTGCATGATGGAATAGAATGCACATACCTTAATCCTAGCTTTAGACTTGTCCACCATTTGCGCCAGGAGGAAGAAGGCCTGGTCTACATTAACGTTGTCGTGACTGGACGTCTCCACTATCGGTATTGATCCTTTAAACTCCTTCCTTTGGACCAATCTCTCCGCTTCTCTGACACCTTGCTCACACGCTTCATCATTTTTAGACGTAACTAGCACGACTGGTTTCTTTAGTTTGAGTATATTTTGGAGTATTGCTGCCAGGATTTCGTTCTACGGGTAAAAGATTAGGTTAGATATTTTTTATATGTACGTGTTTACTGTTTATTATGAAAGAAATAGTCTTTGAACAACAGAGGTAATAATACAAGAAAATACACAATTTACTATCGTATTTGCATCAAAATAACTTTAAAAAAGTTAAATCCTAAAATTTTCAACCAAATCTAATCATCAGTGTTCACTGAACAATTACCTGTTTCTCCCAACTGCGTCCCGGCACCAGACTAACATCATACACGCACAGGAACCCATCAACACTTAGCTTGCCATCTGGCATTAATTTTTGTTCGTATTCCTTTTCTATGCCCAGTTGGTTCTTACACACGTACATTAGCTTTTCGGCAGATTGTAATTTAGTCGCTATACATCTTTTCACGTAAGTCTCCGTTTTGCCCACTGCTTAAAAATAAAATTATAATTGAAATATAAACTAATGTAAGAACGTTAAACTTATGAGTTTTTTATAGTTATTCTTTTCACTTTCACTATAAAATAGCTTCATTATTTTGAAAAAGAAATATATTAAGTATAAAAAAGTTGCTGGGAAGAACAAGTTACAAAATAGACATGAGCATAGGTTGGATGGCTAATATGTAACTACAAATAAACCTTAAAACAAAAAGATTATTTTATAATTTATTGTGAAATAAATCTAACTTTAACAGAGTGCAGAAGTTATAGATTCAATTCCCACACAAATCCAGTACTACTTTTAAAAATGAACTTATCAGATTTGTAATAGTCAAAATGAACTGCTACATTGCGTACCACCACTTAATATGCAATCGAAGAGTAACTTCAATATTCATTAGGGAGGGTGAAGAAAATTGTTTGTGTAATATACACAAACAATTTTCTTATTCTAAGATTCATATCATTACCATAATATCTGTAAACTGAACCAACCTTTAAACGGCTGGAAGCACGCATCGTCTACAAACTCTGTCTGTTCCACCACTTCAAACCCATACTCCTGCTCATCTTGCTCCTTTTGAACACTGCCCCAGTACAAAAAGTGGTCGTTGTTCACTACGCGCCCGCTGAAGTCCGACTAAAAATATTTGTTTCTTTAATAAACTTAATACGACGTAACGGGAAGTTTAATAAAATCCTTACTATAAATAATAATGGGAAAGTGGTTACTGGTATTTTGGTTTTTTTTCTTATTTTGCCCATAAACAAAGCAAAGGAATAACATGATTTATTGAATAAAGCTAAAGCCGCGTTGACATGCTTAATGTCTGCTTTGACAAAAAGCTTTGAAACGAAGTTCTCTTTGATTAAGTCCAGTTTGATTAACGTCCACATCAAAATGCGCTTTCATTGATCGTTTACATGATCAAAGTTGCGTCAAAGTAGTCATCAAAACTACTTTGTCAAGGTAGACTTTGATCGTGTCAACGCAGCTTAATCTCTCTGAGACTAGACTTTAGCACAAGACGTATTATACTATTACACAAGTAAATGCTACGTGTCAACTTCGGGCAGTTACTGATAATTTCTTGACAGAATACCCCAATAACTATAATTTACAACAATAAATCTACCCTACGAGCACTGTACATTTTTGCGGAATAAAAAGTAACCTATGTGCTATTCCAGACTATAATCTATCACTGTGCCAAATTTCATCCAGATCCGTTGTGCCGTCCTAGCGTGATTAAATAACAAACATCCATTCATTCTGTTACCTTCTGTTACAAATTACAAAGTTTGCGCCTCCTAGTGTACCTAAGATATGAATTGATTTAATTACCATCTTAAACTTTATGAATTAACTTGAAAAGTTTGTTAATATTTCACATACATGTATCTACTTATGTTATATATTATAATAAATTATAACTTATAAGGTAAAGTTTTTCATTGTATGCGAATGAACATAAGGACTTCTGAAACATTGTATTCGTACATCGTAACTTTTGAATGGATTTCAAGTCTTCACTAATGAATGGAGTGTTTCAAGAAGAAAGTTTAGGTATTGATTCCAAGTGTCCAAGGTTTTGAGTCAACAACCAGACCGATGCGTAGCTTATTCGTTCCTTATTAGCTAATCTAGACTAATATTATAAAGAGGCAAAGTTTGTTTGTTTGTATGCGCTAATCTCAGGCACTACTAAACCGATTTTAAAAATTCTCTTTGCATTAGATAGCCCGTTTATTGAGGAAGGTTAGAGGCTATATATGTATTACCATGCTACTACCCAAGGAAGCGGGGCAGTAATCATAAATGTCAACAAATCGGGCAGACTTCCATACATTATTGTAAAACTAATGTTTATAATATGCTTAAGTGTTTTAAGCCTAGAAACTACCGAGCCCATTTCAAAAATGCCTTTTGCATAAAGCCAAAGAGTTTTTTTAAAGTTTTAGCGCGAGCGAAGCCGCGGGTTCTACTAGTATTATACATAAATATATGTTTATGAATAGTTTTAAAGTGAGTGAGTCGGAGTATTTGTTTGTTACTTCTTCAAGTTGATACCCCTCAATGTACGTATTTGAGTAAAATTCGGAGTGTAAATTAGCCTATATTTTGATTTAGACAGAAACCATAGACCATTTTATATTTATAAGGTACGATGAGAGTGAACTGCAGAGTTGCGGACAAAAATAGTAATTGTATAATTACTGCTGAATATTTCATTAATATATAATTAATTAATTTGAACATATCAAAAAAAGTAATTAAGAATTTACAAAAGGTCATAGGGGGGTTGGTTAAGTCCAGAGTACTAGGGCTGGTCCCTAGTATTTGTATAAGGTTATACTACTCCAGCCCGTTATGTAATCAGCCTATTAACGTTTGACAGAAAGTTGTTTGTATACTAATTGGGCAATTTGTAGAGCTAATAATATATTATTCAAACTTAGCATAAGTTTAGTTTACTCAGTCAAAGTTTAGAACTCGATAGTACATACGTACATCTATACCTACATATAATAAAATTGTAAGTAAGCCGAATCTGTACATTAAATATTTTTTGGAAAATCTTATTGAAATAGACATTACTATCGACACAGAGGCCGAATCTATAGTTTTTAGAATTTTTGTCTATCTGTTACCGCATCACGGAAAACCACGCAGGGATTTTGATGAAATTTAGTATGATAATAGCTGATTATCCGGGTCAACATCTAGGGTACCTTTTATTGTGGGAAAATATGTCATCTCTAAGAAATCTATACTAAACCTTAAAACGTAAGTAGAACGAACCCGAGCGGAGCGAGGGTGAGTCCCTAGTATATCATATATATAGAATTAAAATTTTCTTTTTAGAGTTCCGTAGGTTCGATTTAAAAACGAAATCCTTATATGTTATTCATTCGTCTGCCTGACCATCTATCTCAAGCTATTTTCTCTCCTATTTACTACACCAACGGAAAAATATCTACAATTTAGGTTAAAAAAAATTAAGGTTTATCATTTATTCCTAAAGTACGACATGGTTTGTTGAGAGACTCGAATATATTTTTTATCATTATAAACCATTTTTTATCATTACCGTTAAAATTAAAATTTAGAAAATATGTACAAAACATACAGTTATAAACTTGAATTTCTAACAATGCACAAATAACATCATCTTATTTTCTCTTCTACGCGAGTTCGACTCGCACTTGTCGCATAAATTATAATAATTAGCAATTTCATAATTAGCGAAGTTCTGTAACATGTTTAAGATAGTTCTCGTCGAATTATTTCATATGTATTAAAAATATTTTGTACAAAAATGTTAGAAAAATCTAAGTACTTAATAAATATAAATATATCTTACTTGACTCAACACCGATATGTGATCGACATTGTAATCATCGGCGTCTGTTCGAACGAAACGATTACAAAGGCAAGACTTCCCAACACCTAGCTGCCCCTTTTCTTTTTCAGTGCCTGTAAAACAAACAAAATTATGTCGTTATTGCAATAAAAAACCTTATACCTAAATACTTATATATGTCTTACTAAATTGATAATTTATTATAAATTAAATTAACATTATTTATTATATATAAAGTACATTGAGTAAATTTTCATATATACAATAAGTATAGATATATAGTATAAGTATTTTATATGTAATAAAATTCCAACTGAGTCGAATCTGTACATTGAATATTTATTGGAAAATCTTATTGAAATTATCTTTATTACCGATACAGAGGTATCTGTAGTTTTTAGAATTTTTGTCTGTCTGTCTGTCTGTGACCGCATCATGAAAAAACCACTGGACAGATTTTGATGAAATTTGGTATGATGATAGCTGCTTATCCGGGTCAACATGTGGGATACTTTTTACTCCGGGAAAATATCTATCTATGAGAAATCTATACTTACTAACCGTTAAAGCGAAACTAGGAATGAACCCGAGCAAAGCGAGGGTGAGTCGCTATTGATAGATATTTTTAGGGATTATGGGAATTTCAGACACAAATTCTATGGGTGTGCGTCTGATTGGTTAATTACGTAAGAGATATTATAAACTAACGACTCGCCTTCGCTTCGCTCGGGTTGCGCCTAGGTGATTTTTTAAATTGACATACTGTATTATTTATTAAATATGTAGCAATTAAAAACACAAATACTAAATGTTAAGTGAAGTTTACCACAATACATTAGTGAAAACCGGACCCAAATCAGATAAGTCGTTTCTAAGATTAGCGCGCACAAATGCACAGACAAATAGACAAAAAATATTAAAATCATTGTTTTGGATTCTATTTTGTTAATAAAGACCCCCATAAAAAAATCTCAAATATCTTCCATGTAGAGACAGCGATCAGTTACAGTTTTCCCTATAAAACAAAGAAAAATAAATTCTAGTATAATATTAGCTTGAAGGGTAAGAATTAACCTCTATGAGTGTCACTCACACTGAACTTTTAAGTGTCACTCTGCCCCTTTAACATAAAGTCAAATGTAGAAATAAAGTGTATAGCCACATCTTTAGATTTCACATATTTGTTTTTCTATTATATTGGTTATTTTAAGGCTTTAATAGAGAAATAAATATTAAAAAGGAAAGTACCTAGAAATATTAGTCCAAAGATAATAATAAACATCAAATATATTGATATTAGCTTGTATTTTTCCTTTTTTAATAAGAATATAATTTATTAAATCAGACACAATCTTAAATATTCGAGTAATTTACATATGTAGTATGAACACTCTTACATTAATTATTATTTAAGTGATTTAAACACTTATTACTGTTTGAATAGAGAGCATAACAACAAATTATATCTACGATATATTATAGGAAGAATATACTACTACAAATGAAATGTTCCTCAGTGTTGCTTGCTCTTTGTTTATTGATAAATAAATGTTTTAGAGGACATACAATACAAAAGGATGTTGAAAACAAGATGTGATAACATCACAATAGACTTGTACGATTGGTGTCAAGCTAAGGACCGCATTAAAAGTATTACTCATAGGGGCAAGATCATTTGTATAAACTTTAAATTATTTGTTATTTTTAGTAACTTTCTTATCAAAAATGTGTTTGTAACTGTGTAGTATTTCGAATACACTACTATAATAAAGTCTACCAAGTCTAGAGAGAGAACACAATGATAAAAATCTCAAATAGAATACTACAATTAACAACTTACAACTAACAAAAAAAAAATACAAAAAAATATTTAGTTCAAAGGACAAATTAATAGACATAATTATAAAATTCAGGATCCTCCGAACACAAAATTGTTGGAATACATAATTAACAATATACAAATAATAAAAATTGTTATTTATGTATTTCAAGGTATTTAAATATATAAATGTTGTTATGTAAAATTTAAATTATAAAATATTTTTATAGTTATATAAATAATTAATACAACCAATTTACTTAATACCTTATATAGGAAACTGAACTGAGTTAATTATATTACACCAAACAAATTGGAAAGTCAACAAAAGCTATAAGCTTATTTAGATCAATACAGCATTAACCTTGATACTCTTAAGATGATCTTCAGTCTATAGGGTACTCATCAGTTCTATAATGCTTATTATGAAGAAAATATTAGAGAAACATATAGGTCATTTTAATACAGTTATTGTTTAGATAAAAGAAATCAAATTAGTAAATAATGTAACAAATGTTTATTCAATAGAATATATTAAAAATCATCTTTTATATATCTTGACCATTCAGGCATGTAAAAAGATATAAGGCATTAATTGTAAGTAAATTAAAATATAACAACTCATAAAATTAAATAATACTTTAAAAAAGTGGCAAAAGTATGTCTAAAGTTAAATAATTCATTTACAAACCCTACTTACCAGACAACCCCACAACTGATATAGTAACCAGCTTGCCCCCAGTGTTCTCAGACTTCTTAGCCATTTTATGATCTATCACTCTAATGGGATAATAAAGAACAGAACAATATCACTTAATTCACACATCACAACACCAGGATTCACTGCACTAAACAAACAGAATTGATAAATATATATGCTAACTTCAATAAATATATCAAATCACGATATAGGATGACAATTTCGAGAGTAAAAAATACCTCAAGATTTATGGGTTTATCTAGAATTCAAGCTCTTAGGGCACTTAAATTAAGTAATAAAAGAATTTTTCCTCGCCAATTAGTAAAAATGAGAAGAAAATGTTCGACTGAGCGTAATGACTTCCAGATGTACTAATGTTTAGCAACAGCACTAAATATAGAGTATTAAATTCCACCAGACATATTACAAATTTAAATAAAATGGTAAATATTAAAAAAATATTGGGACACCCTTCGAAATTGAAACCGTAAAGACATAATTTATTGTGTTCTGGTTAGAGCCCTATAATTTGACACATCGAATCAAATTGGAGGCCCTTTTGCAAATACAAATAACGTCAATATGAATACAATAAAACTATCACATACATATTTATCCAACTGTAAAACTGTTTAAATTACATTTTTTACTGTAATCTTATAAATTTTACACGAAAACGCAATAATCCTTGATTGACACAACTCGCGTTGCTTTGTACAAATCAGAATAGCCAACGTAAAAAATACTTTCTTTTAATTTTTAAATGAATAGCAATAATTAAAAAACGACACTAATAGATGACGTAAAAAATTTAATAATAATATAATATTTTTTATGAATTTATATAATGGTTTATTCTCACTAGAATTTGAAAAATATATTAATATAATATAAACTATTGCTAGTATAAAAGTAACCTAGAATATTAAAATAAAATAGTAAAATCAAATTTGCCTAAAAAATATTAAAAATCATGAAGTTAAGTTATTATAACTATATTTATTTAATTCTTACCACTGTAATTCTTACCCGACTGCATGGAAAGGGTTATGTTTTTCGCGCCTATTTTTGTATGTTTGTTTGTAATATTTTTATTCCCTCATATGGATAGATTTCTTTAATTATGGTATCGTTAGATTAGTCTCATTAGTCCAAGTGTTCTTAAGTGACATAAAAAAATATGGGGGCTGCAGCGGCTGCTATATTTCATAGTTTAAGGAGACATTTTTTAATCTTCTTTTTCTGCAGTATGGGTATCAAATTAAAGGGCTTACCGCTCATAGCAAGGATTCCAAAAAGGTATAACATACCTGTATTATTCATTTTAAATAACAGTTTAGGTTATATAATGATTTAAAATTGGTTAACAACCCTTTTTCGCTAATTTTCCTACTTAAAAATACTTAAAAAGCTGTAAATAAATAAAAGTGTAAATACAATGTACAACATTATTATTTTGAATAAATATCTCTATATCTGACTGGTATATTTTTCTTTTATTAAAGTTATTTTTAACAAATTATAGTATATTATTTCATTATTATTATTATGTTATTAATATCGTTTGAGTAGCAACATCGAATTTAACTTTGACAGCACCTTTACGAAAACACAAGCGCATAAATGTCTCTCCGCGATATTTTCTTGAGAAATGACTTCTACAAATGATGGAAAAGACGTGAAAAGTTATCAAACAAGTGTCCAGAAAGGCAAGACATATTATATTGAACTTTATAAGGTAAGTGTAATTCTTTTATATTCAGAGATACTAAGAAATAATGTGACGCCGTTGTGGTCGTAAAGTTCACTTTACGTCCGCCATATTTGTCTCCTATGAAGTCTTGTTTTTCTATATTTATATAAATCCCTCTGTAATTACAATGTAAATACTGCAGAAAAATGTAAAAAAAAACATAATTATGTGATAATTGTTCATTAAAGTACTTTATGTCAAATTTTAAAACTGATGGAATAAATATCAGGACACCATATTATTTACCGAATTAGTAAAATATCGAGAGTTATGTGTAATAATTATTGAGAAAAGATCTTCACGATCATCTATACATGTAACGGACTCTTTCATATGTTCTTAGCATAAAATGATTTGTAAAAATTACAATAAATTGTTGCAGCTCTTTGATACATGGTGATTATTTGTTTGACAGCCATCGTACTTCTGCATCAGTCACGTACTCCATGTATTACATACCTATAAACTACCTATTTGAAATATATGTGTATGTGTTTGTTTCGCCAAGATGATATCATAATTTTGTAACTAATGTTTAGGTACTTGAACTGCATTTAGCAAAACACTGAAATATACAGTACCCATAATTTAACTTTATAATGCACATTTTAGTATTGTGAAAAACCAATATAAATAATATTGTGAATGAGTTATTGAGGTACTACTTATGTATCTAATCACTTTACTGATAAAAAAAAAAGATTTTGTTTGAATTACACTTGTTAAATATTTTCCTTATCAAATTTTAAGAAATTTTGTTATTATACCATGACAATTACACTAAACTTATTAAAAAGTATTTCAAGTTTAAATATAACCAACCAATTTTTTTTTATAAATTATAATATTAGTATTATTTTACAAATATCTAAATAAAGTATAAAGATAGATAGTTATTTGTTATGAAGAAATTTCATTTTTAGGGTTCTATACTTAAAGGGTATCAATGGAACCCTATTACTAAGCCTTTGCTGTCTGTCCATCCATCTGTCAGAGGACTGTTTCTGATGAACCCTAATAGGTAGAGAGTTGAAATTTTCACAGAGTATGCATTTCTATTGCTGTTATAACAAATAATAAAAATAAAAATACAAGAAAAGTTATTGTAATAGAAAGCATATATATGATGGCATGGAACCCTTCCTCCGAATTTGTCTAGCAGATGACAAATTTATATTTACTTTTATCGAAATCTGTTAAAGTAAGCATTTACTTGAATATACCAAGACTGGTAGACTAGTAGTATCTAGCATACTTAATAATAAACTTTCTTTGAATATAGATTATTACACAATTCATGTTTTTTGTCAGAGAAGAATAAATTTATGCAAATTATATGTGAATTTGACATTTTTTTGTATATAGTTATAATAGTAGTCAATAGTTATCATTAAAATTATTAAAATCAGCTATGTAAGAGTAATAAAATAGAATGTAAACCTAATTAATAGTTTAACTTTTCAATTATTGATATATAGTATATATCATTACCAAATAACATTTATGTCAAGCAACATTGTCAATAACTTAAAGCGACTTTGATTGAGAAGAAAGCCTAAAACATCCATAATTGACTTATTTACACAGACTTTTGAAGCACACAAATTCCTACCATACTTTGTACTTATGTTGTTAGGAGTTCTATAAGTGCTAATTAGGAGATTAGGAGCCTACATTGATTGAATGGAGTTGAATCCAATTTTAACTAATGTATTGTTTATAGTGGCTACTGTTTACTGCTCCACCCACACATATTTTTCTATTTAGATCATTTACACTAAAAATGTAACCCCTTTGTATAGTCGAGTGAGTGTACAGACTTGAGTACTTAACCTGAATGTGTGAATGTTCTCAGCCAATACAAATAAAAAACTTAGCTATGTTTTTAATCTACAATATTCACTGTACAAAAAGATTTCTTTTTTTTTTATATTATGCTATTTGTAATTTTTTGTTAAGCTGATGAAGTTAACATGGTAACACCATACTCCACTTACAAGAGAATGAACATACAAACCTCTGGGCAGTAGGCAATAATGCCATAAGGATATTATTTTAAAGTAATAATATTAGTCCCACTGAGTTTCTTTTGCTAGTTCTTCTCAGGTCTGACTGAGGTCTCTTTTTTCCAAACTGGTAGTCAATAATATTAATAATTTAATGATGAATAAAATATTTTAAAGTTTTGAATTCTTATTAATATTTGTAATGTACTATTGACGCGTCATTGATTCGTTCGGGCCCTAGTAATAAATTAGAAACTTAAATTGAAGTATTTTCACAATTTGTTCCACCGTCTTTCTTTACTTCTTACCTCTAAATCAACAAACTTTACCTCTTTATAATAATAGTGCAGAGTCAAAAGATATGAAATCATATGATTTAATGCATATTTTTTTATCGCAGTCGTTAGACGCGCGCCTCAGCGCTGACACGACAGGTGAAGAGCGCACACAAGTAGTGTGCGAAGCCTGGCGCCGCGTGCACAGTCTCTGCCAGCACTCGGCGCCTGAGACACATCCACATCTCCTCGCCTGGTTACAAAGGCACACATCGTATACTATACTACACGTAAGCAGCCATTTAATAATAGAATTTAAGCCTGACTAGATTATAATACTTTCTTAGATTTACGCGAATGTTTGACATTATTAAATAAAACTATCTTTTCGGATTATTTCGCGGATTTATTTTGATTTTTGGTTCCCGACGTTTCGAATGCTTTACAGCATCCATGGTCACGGGAGAGACTGAGGTGTTACATGTCTTAAAGATATAGTTGTTACAGATTGTGGGTAGGCTGTCTGTAACAACTATATCTTTAAGACATGTAACACCTCAGTCTCTCCCGTGACCATGGATGCTGTAAAGCATTCGAAACGTCGGGAACCAAAAATCAAAATAAATCCGCGAAATAATCCGAAAAGATAGTTTTATTTAATAATGACTAGATTATAATTAATAAATAGACACATTGATATCTCTATCAGCAATGAAGGTTTAATAATAATAAAAAAGTATTATAATTGAAAAATGTTTGTATGTTTGTTAATTGAAGCTAATAGAGTTATATGGATATGGAAGAAAATATATAGTTAGACTTTAGACTAGACTGAAGTAACACATCTGACCAGTGCCTTTAGGCTAGGTAGGCAAGCTAAAAGAGGGTAATTAGCTATTATATAATAAAAGGGTCATGAATAATAGAAAGTTTTGATTTAATATAAGTTGAAAATATTGGTTATTAATAATAGAATAGATCTAGCATTATTTCATTTACTGTGGGATAATTCTATACTATATACTATATGCGCCGACAATATATAATTAAATTTATATTAATATTGACCCATATGCTATTTACAGACTGATTGGCCAAAGGCCTCGGAAACAACACAATCAATAGAGCAACACACATGGCTGCAAGAGGCTATTGATGCCTTTATTGCTGAGTGTAGAGAGGCTATAGCACAGCGGGATGGCGTCAGTCCTGACTGGGAGAGCCAGCTATTGCAAAGGGCTCATTGGTTCCTGGCAGCGCTATCAGACCCTTGGGGGCATCCTGTTCTCAAAGCTTTGTTGAACTCCCAAGAAAAACAACTAACAGATGAACAAAGTAATTAATATTATATTAATTAGTTTTCTTCCAAATATCATTGTTGTATGTATTATGTTTGTACTTCTTAACCAGATAATGTTAGGAATTTTATCTGCAGTTCTCTTAAATCTGCAATAAATTACATTAAACATAGTATTAAAGTTCAAATGAAGTTCTTTGTAACATATTTATAATATATTAGTTTTACAAGAACTTACTTTCAAAATGATACTGAATGAGGAAGGCACTATTTGTATTCTCAATGCCTTTTTTACTTTTAAACCCTTATCAAGAAAATTGAATTGAACAATTTGTATTAGTACACTCGCGTGCAAATGAATCGACTCAAGCCATATATTGGTATAAAAGTTCTATTTTTAGGAAAATGGCTTATCCGATTTTCTTGTTTTGTTTGTTTGATAGCCTAATCTTTTCTCCTAAAAAAATGCTATCCTAATGAGAAAAATCGGTTGAGTATTTATTGATAAAATTTATTTTGACAGAAATGCATAAAAAATGAAGAAAAATGAAAACAACATAATGAATAAAAAAATATTTTTGATAAAAGTAAAGAAAATTAAAATTTTCAATTCTCTGTATTGCCTTCCCTAGCTTTTATAACGGCTTGCATGCGATTTTTCATTGATTTTATCAATTTTTGATAAAATCTTGAGGTATTGTATTCCATTCTTCCTCTAGCGCAGTTTTGAGCTCGACGATGCTTGATGGAGGCGTATCTCTATCTCGCACCCTCGTGCTCGTGAGCTCGTCCCATAAATGCTCAATGCAATTCAGATCAGGACTGAGGCCTGGCCACAACATCGTCTCAATTTGCACCTCTTGAAGAAATTGGCCAGTAACACTTGCTGTATGGCACCGAGCATTATCATGCATCAATAGAAAATCTTCTCCTATGTACCCTGCATAAGGTACAACATAAACGAGGAGAATGTTTTCTACGTTCTTTTGAACTGTTAGACCACCACTCCGACCACCACCAGGCACGAAAACAAGCTCGGTCTTCCCTTCATATGGTATTCCAGCCCACATCATAACTGAACCACCGCCATATGATACTGTTCCAGCGAAACAGCATTGCGAGAACCGTTCCCCTGGACGCCTGTATACTCTCTTCTGTCGTTGCCATGGAGACACATTCTGCTCTCGTCAGGGAACAGGATGGAGCTCCATTGCTCAATAGTTCAATTGAGGTGTTCACAAGCAAATTGAAGTCGGGCTTGACGGTGAGCTGCGTTCAGTTTCGGGCCTCTGGCTGGCCGTTTAGGAGTTAAATTGGCTTTCTTCTGGCGTCTTCTAATTGTCTACTGACTAACAGCCACTCCTCGAACCCTTCTGAGCTCCTGTTGCACATCAACGCACGTGAGATGACGATTTCTCAACGAAGTTGAGACAATGAAGCGGTCGTCCGTCTCAGATGTGCTCCGGTGTCTATTGGTTTGTGGTCTCCGAACAAAGCCACCAGTCTCTGAAAACTTTCTGTATACTCGTGAAACAGCTGATTTGCTCATGATGAGTTCACGAGCGACTTGCCGTTCGTTGATTATGGCCCGCTTGCAACAAAGCTACAACTTGGGCCGCTGTTCTGAGGTAGTGTCCATTGGATCGCGATTAAAATACTGGGAGCTTAAGGAGATGTGTACCTGTCAATATCTGACGAGTGACTGATAAGAAATATGGGTCACGTGAGCTTTTACACATGATTTAGTCTCGCAACTCGTGGGTACCGCAACGAGTAATTTCTGTAACGCTCAAGTTTGACCGTGTTTATTTAAAAAAATTGTCATTGTTTATTTGAAAATTGCTATATTTATGAAAAAAAATATGTATGTCTTTCGAATAAAAAAACTTTTACAAAAATCGGATAAGCCATTTTCCGAAAAATCAAACTTATATACCAATATATGGCTTGAGTCGATTCAGTTGCACGCGAGTGTAGATATGAATATAAACATAAGCAACAAATATTAATAGCAACACACTGCCAGTTCTAGAATGGCTGAAGGAGGAGCGTGGCGTGACTCTCGTGACGCGGCTCCGGCAGCTGGCAGGGTCGCGCCGCCTACACGAGCTGGCGTTGAGGCTCGCCTCCGCCGTCATGGACCGCGCGCGGGCCTCGCAGCCGGTTGTGCCGGATGTGGACCAGGGGATGGGTATGTATCTATACATATAATAAAACTAGCAGTAGCAGCAGTCCAAACTTATGATCCCCTAACAAAATCACCCGCTGGGCTAATCTGAAGATTACCTAAAAATTTCATCAAAATGGCTTCATCTGTTGGAGTCCATAGGAAACATACATACACATATCGATTTTATTTAACTTAATCAACAATTTCAATTTATTGCTTGGAAAACGGAGTCTTTTATGAAAATTTAGTGACACACCGACTGCAGCGCCACCTACCGGGTTTAATTGTATTTTCAAACCATACAGGAATTGACATTGAAATATACACACAAAATTTCATCCAAATCGGTCCAGTCCTTTACAATTTTAACAAACACATGTACAGAAGAATTACATATATAACTAGCAACTCGCCCTCGCTCCGCTCGGGATCATTCCTACGTTACGTTTTAACGTTTAGTGTAGATTTTGCAGAGATGAGATATTTTCCCGCAGTAAAAAGTATTCTATATGTTGACCCGGATATCCAGCTACTATCATACCAAATTTCATCAAAAGTGGGTTTTCCGTGATGCGGTAACAGACAAAAATTCTAAAAACTATAAATTTGGCCTCTGTATTGATAATAATGTATATTTCAATAAGATTTCCCAAAAAAATATTTAATGTACACCACTGAGGCAGGGGATACTTTATATACTAGTGATTTAATCCCACTTCGCTCGAATGCGTGGATTATTACAGAAGTTCTTCTCAATCTTAATACACAAATAACATACTAATAGCTTATTTTCATAGTATGTTTAAACACAAACTCATCACGGCAGGGACTTAAGTTTATGATTACAAGTCATTATGTATTATTCATAGTAGGTTTATGTAAAAGGAAATCCTATGTGCCCATTCAGGATATACGCTATCTCCAAATAGTTTTTTTAGCCTTTACGTTAAATAACGGATTTGCAATCCTTATCATTTTTATTATTGTCATATGTTTTATTAGTTTTTATCTAAAAGTGAAATCATTGAAAGTACCTGCGAATGCAATTTGACAGACAAAATAATTTATTTACTATTTGTAATGAATGATCAAAATTTTCCTACAGATAAACAAAGTTCACCTATAATGGAATCGCCATTCGTCGCCACTTTACAGAAAGAGGCCGGTTTTAAAGCGGAAGTCTGGAACCTACTTACAGATATAGAATTTGTGTTATTGCACAGTGAGTCACGATCACGTTGCATTGAATTGGTGAGTAATGGTTCTTGTATTCTTCTTAATTCTGATAAATTTAACTATGATTCTATCTAGTTTTTATACAGCTTTCAAACAGGAGTTTTGGATGTATGAATATAGCTAATTTTGAAAATGTTATTATTTATTTAAAAAGAATATAGACTATTATTATATGACTTAGTTATATGTTAGAAATGCTATTACATATATACAATAAAAGTTGTACGTAGTTTTTACTATTTACTTTTTAAATTACTAATTAAGACGACTGTTTAATTCGTCATATATTTATTTTTACTTAATTTTTTATATATATATATAGGCAAAACAAACACCACTGCACAAAGGCTACAACCTCGTAAAGCGATTGCAGAGTCGGCTGCAAACTTCGCCGCGAGACAAAAAGATTTGGAAGAACGCAAAGGAAGTTGCTACTCTTATTGCTCAGGTTGGCATATTATCATAATTTTTTACACACAGCTTGACAGTCTTGTTGGGTTGAATCTTTAAGTTATTTTAATATCTTTACAAGTTTTTATTAAAAATATTGATGATACGTCAGTACTCCATTTTGAAAAAAAAACCTACTCAATTATCATCTATTTATTTACAAGCACAGTAAGCATATGCTTCTTTCCAAGAAATATTAGTATTCAAATGTGTGCACTCTTTACTTATTACTTATTCTAAAATTCAAAATATAACCACCATATTGTACCATCAAAGTACGATATGGCGGCTATGTTTTGAATTTTAGAATTCATCTGCAAGTTATGGAGTTTAAGGGGGGATTTTTGCAGTTTCTTAAGCGTGGCAGATTAACATAATAGAGGAGGGGGGGGGGATCCTTGCACTCTGTTGAGTACCTTCACCATAATTTAAGTACTCTATATAAGGGCGCGCGTTTAGGGCAGCCGAACAAAATATTTAAAAAATATTTTGATAAGGTAGAAATACTAGAAACCGTCATATTAAGGTATGGTGGGCTAATTACATCCTGAAAAGTGTGCAATCAATTATCTGTTCATTTGCACGAGCCGAAGAGGCAAAAATCGACTATAAAGTTATAACAAATATCTAATACACAAAAGAAATAAAATGTCACATGAACATTTCTAGGTGATAATAACGCGATGCATGGTAGTGCCGACATGCTCGGGCCCCGTAGCGCTGGCGTTGGATCGGTGCGCCAAGGCGCTCGTGTGCCTGCTGCCGCCGGACAAGCTGCCCACCGCTGCGGCTGCGCTGGCGGCCCCCGCGCGCACCTCTGCGCACCTGCATATGCTGGCCACCGCTGTGCATGCTCAGGTGTGTGGGGTTGCTTTTACTATGTTAATACTAGTGTTAAATCTAGAAGTAGCTTTTTTTGTGTGTTTTTTTAAATGTTCGGGAATGTATTTACTCATACCACCTGTCGTCTGTTTGTCTAAATCCATCTAAATCTGCCCAGCTATTCTGTCAAAATTACGATATACAGCCTGATCTAGAATAGAATTTTGTGGGACAGTGAAAGTATATTAGTTAGGGATGTAATTTATGACTTTATAGTTTGAACTATGAACATTGCTTGAGCAATGATGAAAATTATATTGTGAAGGTTGATAATTTCTAGAAAAGAAAATGATCATATAGATTTTTTTATTGTTACTCAATTTTTTCGTGACTTTATATGACGTTTCCATAGAACAGTACATTCTTCATGTTTCTATTCTAACTCTTTTACTGTAAAAGCTTTACTTCCTTTAAAAGTTAAAAGTGCCAAAAGCCTTGATAAATTTAAGCTGTTATTAAAAGAATATTACCTGTCTCTTTAGTGCTTTTTTATATTTAATTGTATCTGTAACTATGTATATTTGTAGGTATGTATGTATATAAATTAGTATGTATGTGTATTGTACGTTTATATATTTGTATTGTGTGTTTAAGTATGTATGTATATTTGTATGTATGTATATATGTATGTATGTACGTTTGTATGTATATGTGTATTATGTTTATCTATTTATATTGTATGTATAATTATATCGTATAGCAAGTACACCGCCTACCATTTCTCTCACACTCTCCTTTACCTGGTAGTTGGTTGCCTGGAAGAGATCGCTTTAAGCGATAAGGCCGCCTACTGTGCATCTTTGTTAATTTTCAATTACTGTCTGTATGTTTTTTCTCTTTGGTGTACAATAAAGAGTATTATTATTATTATTAACAGTAGATTAATCAATTTATTTTAATCATTTCAGTGCAAAGAAGACCGCAAGTCGTTTGTGTGCGAGTTGTACGTACGCGCAATAACAGCTGGCATGAATGAATTGGAAACGCTCAAACTTAAGACTGAAAAGGTATGTGTTTTTATTTTTGTTATTATCAATTCAATTTTTATATTTCAATTTTAAGAAAAAAACATTTAAAATGTTTTTCCTATATTACAGTTACAGTCTATTTAGGAAACTGTCAAGAATTTTATTAATATGACTAGCAACTCACCCTCTCTCCTCTCGGGTTCGTCCCTACTTAAGTTTTAACGTTTAGTATGATTTCTCAGATATGAGATATTTTTCCGCAGTAAATAGTATCCTATAAGTAACCAGCTATCGTTATACCAAATTTCATCAAAATTCCTGTAATGGTTTTCCGTAATGTGGTCACAGACAGACAGGCAAAAATTATAAAAACTATAGATTCGGCCTCTATATCGATAATAATGTCTATTTCAATAAGATTTTTCCAAAAAATAATTTAATGTACACATACGTTAATTACAATTTTATTATTTGTACAGAAAAGCCTTTCTTAATAAATCTATATTATTTTATTTTCAGGAATCTGAAGCCCGATACACAGAACAAACACTGTCCAACTGGTTCACACAGCTCGGATCGTTATTATCAGCTAGTTCCAGATTAAGCTCCGAATGTATTCTCACAGCTTTCTCTGTGCACCCCTCACCGGATATGTACGACAAAGTCAGGAAAGCACCACTGTTAGAACCCTTACATAAGGTATTGTACATACTATTAACTAATAAGCATATTTTTCTGCAATCTAGCATATATTTCATAGCAATTACTGGAATACATTATATATACAGTAATACATGTTGTAAAAGCCGTGAAGTTGTAATTTTACTAGTGATATTATAGTTTTGTCTATAGTCTCCATTTATCAATGTCAAGGGACAATCTCACATTATAATTCCACTAAGGACATCCTTGATTAATCATTGATTAAATATATATATTATATAATTAATCAATTGTATTTACTGCATATGTTCTAATGGTTCAAATGGTCTGTTTGATGTTTTCTGTAAAATAAATTCTTCATATCTTTTAAGTACCCTGTATTGCGCAGTTAGCATTTCATTATGCTAACTCTTATAGTTTACTCTTATAAACTATACTACAACTGCCTCGATGGTGTAGTGGCTTACATGTACGGCTGCACACCCGGAGGTCCTGGGTTCGAGTCCCGGGTGGGGACAAGTTTAGTTATTGAGTCTTTCTGTATAGTAAGTCTCAGTAACAGTCCGGAGTTGGTAAGTTGATGGTGTTTCACCCCCGTGCGAGGCAGAACACGTAAAGCTGTCTGCCCTGCGCATTATCTCCCACCGGTCGTGTCGAGTAGTCGTTTCACCAGAGTATGAGAGTGACGGGAACAGAGAGTGCACGTTGTGTCTGCGCGCAAACGCGCTGCACCATAATATCCTGCGCAGTTGGCTAGTCTCAATGAGATCGGCCCCCGTGGCCGGAGTCGGTCAGGGGGACTTATTTTATAGATTAGGTACTCTTATAATACAAAAGTTTGTTGTGGTTTCCTTAGAGAGGTACTAAACGTACATAGCATAATAATACAATTTAAATAACTGCATAAGATTGAAACTGCAGTAATACATAATATGTGAGTTACTTTAATTTTCCAAAACTGTTCTTATAAATTTCAGGATATCCAAGAACCAAATCTGGAGACAAACTCTGAATATGGTAGTTGGGCAAATGACAGTCGAACTCAGACAAACTTAGTAAAAACATCTGAAACATTAAATCTCAAGTCTGAGATACAAGCGAATGTGCTCTCCACAGCTATATTTGCAGAGGGTGAAACCTTAGGTCTGAAAGCGGAGTTATGTCAAGACCTTGCTGTTTTAATATCTGGCCCTAGAGTCAAAACATTGACGTGGGATATGGACAGGTATTGAACTAACAAATATAATACTAATTTTAGTCTGCGATTCCGCCCTCGTGCTACATATTTCTACAAAGTGAAGCATCAGATTTTTCTGGGTGAAAAAACAAACATACCTTTATATTTTAACCTACAACTAACATTTTATCTAAATTTTTTTTCTGTCTGTATCATATAATTTTTATAGTGTAGAATTTTCATAGCAGTACCTAATATTCTTAAATTTCATTTAAACTTAGAAAAATACAGAAAAATGTCCCTATTGTAACAATAAGGTACGAACATTAATTTATCAAATATTGAACCCAAATGGATTTCCCATTAGCAATGTAAACAAAACCTTGTACAATAACTTTTACAATAATAAATAATAAACATTTAAAAGTTCTTTATTATTAATAACTTAAAAATAATTTTAAATAAAACTATCTTTTCGGATTATTTCGCGGATTTATTTTTATTTTTGGTTCCCGACGTTTTGAATGCGTTACAGCAATCAGCAATTTTATTTTGGTCACCGGGAGACTAAGGTTTTAGACATCCCAAATTCGTTATATACTTGTATACTAAAATAAATCCGCAAAATAATCCGAAAAGATAGTTTTATTTAAAATGCCAAATATTCGCGTAAAGCTGAGAAAGTATTATATTAATAAATAATCACAAATTATTATATGTATTTAAATAAACTAAACAATCTATTCTATGTTCCAGGGAATCCCTCCTGGAGAACTGTCGCACATACATGGAGCGCACACACGGCGGCACGCGTGCTCTTACCACCGAGCTCAAGTACTTGAACCTCGACCCCCGCTCCTTCCAACACCTGCCGGAAGAGGAGGATGATGAGAACGATGTCTATTATGGCATTGAGAAGGGTAAGTATCAATAAAACATAATATTAAAAATGCCTACTTAATATGTTGAAAGAAAAATGTTGCTTATAATAAAAGTGCAGTGCTAATTACTAATAAATATGCAATTGTATAACAGGCTATGAACACTTAGTAGAAAAGCCTGATGAAGATTTATGGGAAGATGATTTCATCTATGAAGAGCCACAATCGGATAGCTGTCATTGCACTGGTGAATCGGCGATTGATATACCAAAACGAAAGAAGAAATCTAAAAGATATTTTGAGGAGGAAGTCGATCCCTTAAGCTTCGAAGAGACAAAACGACCAGAGAAACAAGATAGACCTCACAGCAAAGAAAGGAGGAAAGAAAAGAAACACAAGATTAAAGAAGATCCACTTAAAGACACTGATCAAAGTAAAGAACACAGCCAGGAAAAAACTAAAGAAATACGAATGAAAGCAAAGAAGAAAGAAAGAAAAGAGCGTAAAAAGAAAGAAAAGATTGAGACGGTTCAACTAGAAGGCAATATTCAAACTCCACAGAGTTCTTTATCGAGGTTAGTTGGAATGAAAGTGGAGAGAAAAGAGGATGACACTATAAAAATTGATGCAAAAATATCTGATTCAGTTAACTCTAACCTGTGCATTACTGATAGCGATTATGACAGTCAAGGAAAATCATCGATAAACTCTGAGGGTAATGACCCCAATGTCTTATTTGATGGTTTGTTCTCTATGGAAGAAATCAAATCTCCAGAGAGGGCAGTACCAGATAATATTCAAAGGCCAATGCTTAATTATGAAGCTAATATTTCCAATAGTGTTCTTCTAAACAAGACTATTATCACTCCAAATGCGATGATCCAATCACAAAAACCTCATACTATATCAGTTAATACTGGTAAAGAAACCATTAGACCACTTCAAAGTAACAGCCTTGTAAAGAAAAGTATTAAGAAACTTCTGGAATTTAGAAAAAACAAAGCTTTTAATGAACAACAGAGAAAGGGACTTCCACCAACAATACCTCATCCAGTTGAAACAAATTCATCATTTAATCTAAATTCTTATCCAAATAATTTAAAGCAGAGTTCACATCTTTCAAACATGCCAAAAACGTATTTAAGTAATGATAAACTAAAGCAATCCAACGCCTTAACAGATGGGACAAGTAATGTTTCAAAGAATTACAGTCATCATGTTAAAAAAGTTGTAAATGAAACCTTTGAAAAAATTATGCCAGCTGGCAGCACTATGATTCAAAAAGCAAATCACAATGTTATAGATGGTAAAAAGCTTGTTCAATATTCTCCATACACAATTAAAAAAGGTCATCAACATGTGATTAAACAAAGCGTTGATGTTAGTGATTTAATACAACAAGTTTCCAAACAAACATTCAAACCAACCACACAAAAGTCGGAAACACCAAGTCAAAATCAATTTACAGATTATCTTAAACAGCGAAGTGCATCTGTTATAAAGAAACAACCAACCAAAAGTTGTGTCGATAGTTTAACTCAAATACAATTCCAGGAATTCCTTAGACAACAATCTTTTAATCAGTCTAGTAACGCAGAGAGATTAAAAGATCTACCTAAACAGTATCAGTCGAAAAGCTTGCAAAATTTATCTCGGCCAATTTTATCTACGAATAGTCAGATGCAGCATCAAAATTTCTTGAAAGAGCTACGAGAATCTGCTAATGCAGGTGCTACTATGGAAAAATCAGATATAAAAGCTCAGCAAATTACCGATAAGACGGGTGTAAAACAAGTAATCCAACAGAAAAAAGTCGCTAACGCCCTAAATACATTCTCACGACGCAATTACTTGCACAAAAATAAACAAAGTGACAAAGGATTTAAACCTACATTAGACCAAACTAAACAAATACTCAGTATGTCTATGGAAGATATGAAAAACTTAGGAGTAGATTATGAGAAAGTAACAAATTTACATACAAAAGGTGAAATAGTAATATCGAAAATTGACAGAGCAAAGAGTAATATTATAAGCGAAGGTACCAAGATTATGATGCACAAGCCTGAAGTTGATTTTTTCCAAGCAAGACCCACGCCTTTAAATCTGAATAAGGAATACCCAATAATGGCGCAAATATTGTCGAACAAAGAAAGTTTTGGCGTAAAGACGACGAGTAACAATGAAACGAAAAATATTCATGCAAGAAATGTCACACCAACAAGTAATCTGTCTGAGAAGGATCAAAATGACTTAGTGTTATTATTACGGCAACAATCTAAGATGAACGCAAAACTTAAGCCGAAGACTGAATATCAAAACAATAGTATAGATATAAATTCAAAAATGTTAATAAACTCTAATAGCGTCAATCCGTCAGTAAATGCTAACAATGTCACAACTGGCGTTCATAGTTCGATTAGCGATTATCCGAGTACTGACAACTTTATCTGCCCTACAAATCATTCAACAGTGATTAAAAGTAATGATACATGCACTATAGTCTCTGAACAGAAAAAAGGTCAAAATGTTAAAGTGTCAGGCAAATGCTCAAAGCAAACAGAAAAAAGTACTGATTGTTCAAAATCTGATTGGGAGAGCGTCATGAATGCTCTGTTAGCTCATAAGACACCGAGTAGAGGTCCAAATGCTCTTGATATTGTACTGAAAAAAGATTCTTTTGATAAAAGACTTTCAAGTGACTCAGCCAAAGAAAAACCCAAAGCAACAACATCAGGTTTCAACTCTAGTTCAAGTGCAGATGTTGAGAGAAATAATACGAAAAAGCACTCTGTGAATGTAAATCAACCTATGGTAAGCTCTAATAGCAGCTCCTCAATGAAGAAGACTACGAGACAAGATGCAAAACCACGGCCTGACAAAAAAGTCAACAAGGTTGAAACTTCTAAAAAGGCGCCATCCAAAGTGAAAGAAAAAAGTATTTTAAGTGTTATGCAAAATGTCAATGACCCTTTTATCTCGGGTACACCAAATTCTGACTTTGATCTTTTAGGAGATTTAATGGATGACGATTTGCGTCAGGAAATTGGGGAACTGTTAGCAGACGATGAAGCTTATGGGATACCTGTACCTACTCCAAAGCCAAAAAATATACCAAGCAATGATGTATTTTTTAACGACAATAAAACGAACATAGTGACTTCTCGTAAACCTCAAATTATTATCGATTCGCGCCAAAACGTAAATTCCCATCCTAGTTCTAGTACCATACCATACCATCATGATGAGGTGCAGGCAAAATCGAATAGCATATTGAAGCCTGTTATAAAAACGAAGTCGTCGTGTATTACAACTGTTACAAATCCAAAGGCGACTCCACGAATAATTTCCAACGATACCATTGCTCAATCTACGATAGTGAAGCCAATAACTAAACCCTATAGTAATATTCCATGTAAAAATATGATAAATTGCAATAATAATATGAATGTTTCAAATATCATGAATGTAAATAGCAATCTGGTTCTATCGACAAATAATATCAATTGCAACGCACCTATAAATGTTTCTATTAAGAATAATGTAGACATACCTAAAGTTGAAACAACTCATTTCAACATAATAGATCCGACGCCAGTTGTCCTCGTACCACAAACTACACCGAAAGTAATGTTAATAAGTAATGAATTGATTTACAATCCATTCCCTGTACCGACAGTTCACCAAAATTCTACAAATTATGAAGACAGTACAAGTTATGTGGCCCTTAATCAAAATCCGCAAAGTATTACCTTATTTCGTACGCCATCGTATCCTGTCATCTTAGATGGTGCAGTCTCTGTTCCGGTCATACAAAAAGTACCGACCAATATTTCTGTTGTATCCAATGTAACGTCAAATACACTTGCCCATGAAAAGTCACAGATGTCGACTTATATAAAATGTGAAATGTCAGAAATATCGACTCTTGAAAAACCTGTAGGGAAGACTTATGGAAAATGTGAAAAAACTGTAATAAAATCATGTATAGAACAAGCAACTGTAACAGAAATGTCAAAAACTTTAACAAATTCACATGACATTAATTCTTCAAAGCTTTTACAAAGTAATGCAAACAAGTGCTCATCGGAAAATGTTGTTGTCGAAGAAGTACCAAAATTATTTAATGGTAACAAACCAACATTACCACCAAAATTAGAACCATCGATTAGCAAGTTATCATTGAATTCAATGAGCATGAATATAGCGAATATGTCTCAGATTAATACATTGGAAACTAATAAAATCGCTGACGTTAATAAAGGAATTGTAAAAGTACCGTCACGTATTCAAGAAAGTCAATCTATTTCACCTGCTGAAAGCACAAGCTCAATTGTTAAATATTTAGAACAAGATAATAAAGAGACTGTATTAAAGGATCAACTAAGAATACAACAAAAAAGAATGCTGATATTAAATAGACAAACTCATTATTATTCTAAGGATAAACCAATTGCACTTTTATATGAACCCATAAAAGTTGTGACACAATCTGTTCAGTTAAAATCGACTACACCTGAAGAAGCTATTCTTATTAAGCACAAAGCAATTGTTACGAAAGATGATACCAACGTTGTAAAGGATATTAAAATACCAAAAAAAAGTGACAATGAAATTCAGGATAATACAGAAAATAATATGAACAACATATGTCAAGAAATTGCAAATAAAATCCAAATGAATAAAAGCAATCTGACATTATCTTGCCGTCGTATTCTATTACGATCGTCAAACAATCTAAAGGACACAAGATTAGCAAAATCCAGCGTAATGTCAGCTATAAATAATTCAAAAGAATCAAAAAGGATGAAATTGGATAAAAAAGTTGAGCGTGTAACGTCTCAAATTGAATTTAAGAAAAAAACTAAAAGCAAAGATATTACAGACAATAAATCGCGAGAATTAATAAAACTTCCATCAGTGGCAGAAACAAAAGACAATATCAAAAAGTCTATCGGCAGTGGTTTGTTAAATAACGCCCTTAACGTAAACAATACTGACACAGCAGAAATTGAAACTAAGAATCAAAGTTCATCCTGTATAGATATTGAAGAGCAAATACCACCATCAGTTATTCATAACACCAGCAAAGAAAAAGTTGAAAAGCCATTAAGTAATCAAAACACATTGATGAAACAAAAAAATACTTTACTAAATATTCCTTTGCAAGATGCTGCCTCAAAAATTAGCGAAGATCATTCTAATATTAAAGTTCAAAATAGTATAGTACATGAAGAGGATCAAAGCAAATTTCATAAAGCGAGCAAATGTAATGAAAGTATAAAAAAATGTAGTAACATGGTTAACAACAAAGTAAGTGTGGTGGTAAAGTCTAATAAAAAATCCAATATCAAAAGTATAAATAAAAAACAAACATCTCTTCAAAACGATGCCTCAAAAAACAATAAATCCAAATATGCCCTTCCAGTTGTACGCGCCAGCTTAACAGCCAGCCAGCCAGATAAACAGCAAATTTCACCTAAGCACGATGAAAAAACAAAAAATGAAGTATTATTATATAAAGATAAAATAATGTTTGAAGAATTGCCAAATATTAGTAACGATCCGTTAAAAAAGTTTGTTAGAATTAAACTTCCAAATGGAAGTAGTTTTAAAGCGACGATATCTGGAAAATTAAATGTAACCATAGATGCAATATTTGAAGAACCAAGCATTAAAGCTGTGATTTTGAGAAATATAAATGATAATAAGAAATGTACCTTGAATGTCAAACAAGTCACAGTAAAATCTCCGGCTTGTGCTTCCACAGTAACTACACATATTCAAGATATGTCTTATTCTAAATCACATGACGATGCCGAAACTATAAATTTATTAAGTGATGATGAGGATAATAACGTTCAAACTTTTAAAACGGAATTTGGTAATTTTAACTCCGCCCATTTAGATGATGACATAATTTTAAAACATCAAGAAAAATTTTCACAAAAATGTGTAGTCAAAATAATTAGATGTAAAGCTTTGGAAAAATTTGTGGAGTCGAAGTTAACCACAGACAAAACACCACCTGATGTAGAACCTGAATCATCATTACCTAACCTCATTGAGGATTGCATAGAAATAGATGATTCCTCTAATGACAGTGTAAAGATGCCCGATAACAATAACTGTATAACAGATATGAGTAACAAAGAAAATTATGTAAATGCTAAAGTGATCGAAAACGTCGATCGAGATCTATCGAAAAAAGATATGTTATTGAAAGATCTGGAGGTAATCGATAATAGTATTGATAAATCAAAATGTACAGTTAGAAATGAGGACCACTCTGATAATAAAACCCAAAATTATACTGATACCTCTGAAGCGGTAAATAATTATCATGAAGTTATACCAAAAGAATGTATTTTAAGAATAGACAGATGTGATGATCTTGTAGAAAAAATGAAAATTCAAAAAAACTCATGTTTTGTTGCTTTAGTCAGATGCGATAACATAACAAAACATTGTTATGACATTGAACTTCCTAACGATCAATCTAATGAAAAATTTGAGGACAGAGAGGAAATTGAAAAGGAAAGTGCTCTACAAATAGATTCCTCAAACATAGAGCCTGTTTTGCAGCGAAGTGAATCCCTTTCAATTTTAAATGATTTTTCCGTTTGTGGAGAAAACCAATCGACTAGATCCTCTCCATCAATTATGGATAATTTTGATATACCTTTAATATTATCCAAAGAAGTGCTTGATTTTAATGATTTCATATGTTGCGCAGAGTGGCTTGTGACAAAATCTATTCTTCGTGAATTTGAAAAAGACGTCTATAGTCCACTCCATGAATTTAATTATGGCTCAGAAAATGATAAATTAAAATTTGATGATAAATCAACTGATTTCGAGAGTGACATCGAAAGTATCATATCTACGACTCCGGTGACGATTGAAGAAAGCAACCAATTTAACAAAAAACTGAAAAGTGATATCAAGAAATCAAAATTCGATGATAAATTAACTGACTGTGAAAGTGATATTGGTAGCGATGTACCCATAGATACCTTATCTGTAGAAGAAATTGAGAAATATAACATAATGTGTACAATTAAAAATAATAAAGCCAATTTTGATGATAAGTTTACTGATGGTGAAAGTGACATTGAAAGTAATATATCTATAGATCACTTGTCAATTGAAGACAATATTCCACATAAAAAAGAGCATAGAATTAAAAACGACAAACTAATTTTTTATGATAAATCAACTGATTGCGAAAGTGATATTGAAAGTATTGTATTAGTGGATTGCTCGTCAGTTAAAGAAAATGGTCAATATAATAACAAATATAGGATATCTCAAGTACCAAGTCTTATTAAAATAGTTGTCAATTTTTTTCAAAATAATTCCGATGTAATAGATAGGTTGAAATCTATTCAAAAAAATTGCACAGTAATTTCTAGTTCTTCTCCTTTAAAAAGAAAGTTTGTCGAAAAAAGTTTCGATAAGCCAAACAACAAAATATCGAAATTAGAAAAGAGTTCTCGTATGCTTAACTTTTGCAAAACCCAAAATAAAGCATCTATTATTAATGCTATTGAAAGTACCAATACCTTAGAAATAAATATGCAATTAATGGAAGATATTGACCTGACGAAATCATCAATACGAATAAATACTGAGTCGGATTTAAAAAAAGATATAAAATTTTGCATTTATGCTACAACACCAAGGACATCTGAAGAAGTATTACAGATCATAGAACCAAAAAAACACATTGAAGATCAAGAAAAGACAGAAGAACATAAAGAAAATTGTATTATAGATAATAAAGATATGGTAACATGTTATGAGTACAATATTAGTGAAGATAATTTATTTAAAATTGAAGGAGAAACTAATTTAGATAGTCATAAATTAGATTTTGATTTAATTGATGAAGCTAATAAAGATCTAGAAAAAAAACAAAAATATCTGCAAAAAAATGTAGTAGAAACCCAGGAAACAAATTTTCTAGATATTGAAAATATGCAAGCTGCAATATCAAAAAATATTTTGAACGCTGTACATGAAACAGAAAGCAGGAACGCCTTATGTTCAGAATATAAAACAGAAGTAATAAAAGATTGTGAACGAAACAAAACCTTAATTTGTAGTGATCATATTGAAAATAAACAGGAATTATTGAATACAGGCGAATATTCAGATCGTTTTATGCCATGTAGAAAAGATCTTTATTCATTACCTGAAATAAGAAACACTTGTGAAATTAGTTCAGATAATTTAGATAAGATGAGTGATACAGAAATCCAATTTAATACCAGACCAATAAGTGCTAAAATTGATAGCCATACAATAGATTTTGCTCAAGAAGAAAGTGAAAATCTACATTATAATATAATGAAAATTTTAAGGAATAACAAAATTAGCGACGATGATAAAATAGAAGTAGTTATACCTTTGGAATACATTGGAAGTGAAAGTAATTCATCGACTGATGAAACATTACTACCTGGTTTTAATGATGATAAACATTTAAATAACATTGATAAGCATAACGACGGAACGGTATCAAGAAACGCAAATAAGGAGCATGATGTTCCAAAAATAAATAGAGATTCTATGACTGCTCCATTATTAGAATCTAAGTTTGGAAAAGTTGAAAATTATGAAGAAACTAAATGTACGAAAAATAATTCAGCAGCTCTATTGCCTCCCAACAAAATAAGTGACAATATTACAAAATCTGAACAAAACCAACTGGAAAATATTTTCCTTAATAATGATTTACGAAATAAAATTGATTGTCATGAATTAGACAGTATATCAATAGCTGACAATCAATTAAATAATACAAAACCAAATAACGAAAATAATAACACACGTGATCTATCTGGCGAATTTGATCGCTTAGTATCAAATAATGAATTGGATGAAAAAGAAGATTTTCAAAATCAGGATAAGGATCTTAATAAAACTTCCAGTATTGATACGCTGCATAAAAATGTTACGCTTATTTACAAAGGCGATTCCAGTGTTGTATTGAATGGTTCCATTTACGAAGATCCAGTCATTGGTACGTGTTATGTGTTTCCAATAGTAAACAGATCATCCTTAACGGGCGATACTAATGTTTGCGACGATGCGACAATCAAAGTTATACAAGCCATAAAAAATAAAGTTTTTGAAAATCAAAACAAGGATAATATAAATGGGGATGTAGAGTTAGAAGATATAAATCTTAACGTTATTGTACCTAAAATAACATATTCTAAGCAAACAGTAAAGTATGATATAAATCGACGTAATAGAACTAGTAGAATAAATTTGAAACGTAAAATTGACGCACATGACAACAAATTTTGTATAAAAAGATATCGTAAAGGAAAAAATATCGACTACCCGAAATTTACTGTGAGTACTATATCAGAATCGGGTTATGGAAAGGAGTATAAAAATCTTTTTGACTATTGGAGCTCAATAAAGTTTTCTTTCTCACGACCTTTTCATAAAGAACACATTGACGTATTTGGCACATTAAAATGTTGGCCTACATTAAAAGCTCGCATTGATGAATTAGATGGAAATGAATATGAGAATTTACTTTTCTTGGAAGATGAAATTAAGAGAAAAGAGCCTTTTGATCCCTTGACACAAACATTATCAGAAGAAATATCATCAGACTATATTGAACCTAAATCCACTGGTGATGAAATTAAGGAAATTAATTTTAGTATGGGTTTTGGTGAGGGGTCCGACAGAGTCATACAAAATTCAGAAGATGGAGATAAACTTTCAAAATTTTCGGCTGCGACTCTGTCGGACGTAAAACAATGTCAGCCGTTTCTATTGTCCGAGGATTACTGTATTGAAAATGATAAATATCGTGGGTTGTGTAGGTCAAAAATGGATGAAATCGAAATATCTAAACGTTTCATTACATATATTAAATTGCGAGACAAAATTCGCTCATTTTTTGAGAAAACTACTTTAGACTTACAATACAATTGGGGTAAAGATAACATCCAAAACAAAAATGATGAATATGACTATAATAATAAAAGCTTGTTTCCGTACGATGTTTTTAGTCCAGATTTTATTGAACCTGCTCCTATTGAAATTACAGTGAACGTAGTTCAGGTGGGGCAGTTGCCTGTGAGTGCAGCAGCACAAAATCCAGTGACTTGCGATCCAAGAGTAACACAAGTCACTGATGCAAGTCCTTCTCAGTGCTCAGCAGAGAATAGTGCCAACGAAGATTCGCAATCACCCATTAAGACAGAATATACTGAGCTAACTACTGCAGATATCAGTTTACCTATAGTACAAGAATACGAACGACAAATGGAATCACAAGAGTCATCGAAAGTGCCTGTTCATGATGAAAATATACCCGTAGAAATTGAAGTCTCTTCAGAAGTAAAAAGTAGCGTAAACGAAGATATATCTATTATACAGGAAGAGCGAAACAAGAGCAATGAAAGTGATAATTTACAAGTGTTAGTTAACAAACATATTAATAATATAGAATATTCATTTGAGTCCAATGACAATACATCTGTAGAAGCTTCATCCAATTCTGAAATGATATACGAATCTATGGAAAAAAATAATACAGAATATATATCACGACCAAAGCATCAAAATGGTTCAGCTGAGAAAACTGACCAAATTGCTCATGCTATGAGTGCAGCTGGTATAACGACTTCACCAGAACCTGTTATCAATTCCAGAACGCAAACCTTAGTTAATATGTTTTCTCCAAAAATGTGTCAGGATGCACAGAACTCTATTATATCGACAAATAATTTTACAAAGACTTCTATTAACACAATGACACTTCATCAAGCATTAGCTCAAATATTGCCTCCACCACTAAATCAAACAAATTCTCATGAAAATAATCAAGTGACATCGAATTCTTCAGTAACACCGCAAGTTGTACATATTGTACAGGGAAAAAATACTAATGGAAATCAGATAACTGTTGTAGAAAATACGCAAAATTCCGTAATTAGTAATCCTAACACTTTGCTACATATAGTACAAAATAAGAGTGGTAACATTAATTCAGCAACTAACTCAAATACCGTACAACATACAAATTCCTATAGTGGTCTTTCATTAGTAGACTCAGGGCTTCAGCAAGGAAATAATCAACTTTTGCACATTGTTAATACTGGTAGTCAGAAAAATAATAATACGGGGCAGTTACTTAAAAGAGTAAATCTTTTAACTAATTTGGCTAATATACAAGGATCGAACGAACAGAAGATGGTGCAGTTTGTTTGTAAATCAGCTGATGGAAAATCTATTCAGCTGAATGCACCACATCAAAGAAGTATGGTTTTAAGATTACAGCCATTTGAATCGCCCAATATTCAAAATAATTCTAAAACACCAGAAGCTCAAGACCTAAGTCCCACGTCGTCCAATAACAATAGCACAACAACAAATAAGGAGACTATAAATGCTCAACATGAAATTAAGTCTCGCTCTGTATATGAAGAAAATTACGCAAAATTTATTCAAAGCTCGACTAATAAAACGGGACCGGAAAAATCTACCAGCTTACCAAAATTTAATCAAGCTTTTGGTAAACAGGTATTTCAAGACGGGAATCAGAAAACTAACGATATTAATACCAATAATTCCCATTTAGCCTCTATGAATGCTGATTCTGATAATTCTGAGTGTCAGTCTAATGAAAATACAATAAATCTAGACCATATTACACAAATAAGCAGTCCTCCTTTATTATTACGAAAGTCACCAGCTCAAACAACGCAAACGCAATCAAATATAGTTCAACAAATTAAACAAACGATTGCTCCTATGATGCATGGCGGTGTTATTTATACTCGTCAAATACCAGTCAACATCGGAGGAGGGCAGACCATAAACTTGATTACTGTTCCCAGCACGGAGCTCGTAGATGATTCAAATCAAAAACAACAAGGCGATATTAAATTTGTTAACCAGAATGATATGGAATCACCGATAATTAAAATTGTATCTCAGAATCAAAGTAATCAAAATACAGAAATTACTTCTGATGAAAGTAATAATCATACGAATACAACGAATGAAAACAATCAAAATCCACCAACGCAGCACCAACCAGTCTTAACGCAAATGAGAATAAAATTACCAATGTTAAGTAAAACTCCTCAAATGGTGTCTGGTGCCAGAGTAGTTCGACCGTCATTCTTCCAAATTCAGCGTAATGTGATAGGCGGTGCAAATCAACCAGTCTATCAACAATTAGTGTTAACGGCGGCTCCTCCTCTCGGACAACATACAATTCGCTTACCCCACGCCCAGGCAAGGCAGGTGAAAGTTACTTCTGACAGCCAATCATCTTCTGAATCTCAAATGAGTACCTCCACTCTTGAACAATTACGAGAATTTGACATGGTTTTGGAACAAGTTAAAGAAAGGAGCACAGTTCAACCCAATTCTAATAATATCTTTTCTAAACTACACACATCGTCGTCGGACACGACAGATAGTACTTCTATAACATGTACTGTTACAGAATCGACACAGCAGGTCTTATATTCAATAGGAGCTAACCAATCACTTAACGTAGCTTATGTTAACCGAAAACCACACACACCAGCAACTACAACAACAGCAGCCTTTGTGCGGTCTCCGGATTCTTCTAGTATTATAGAATCGCCATCTTCGTCCACACATGCCCAAATTCCTCACACTGTAACAAGTGAATCTGCTTCAAATGAAGTGTCGTCTCAACAAAATCAACCCAAAGCAGCTAAAATCGGCTCTAAGTCTAAATCGCGACCCAAATCTTCACATCCACCAAATTCATTAAAAATAAATACTGTTCCTCCCAAAACATCAACTCAAAAGCCACTTGAAGATGAGCAAACAACGCAGAGAATACTTTATATTTTAGCGGAATATAAAGAACAGGTGGAGAATTCACCTGATAAGGATAAACCTGCTCCACGGAGGCGAACAAATCCTCCGTCGAATCCTTCTGGATCATCAAAACGCAAAAAGAGTTCCAGTAGCTCTCGCCGTTCAGGGGCTCGTGATAGTAGTCCTGTTCAAGGAGATGATACGTGCCGAACTATGGGATCAGAAGATAGCAGCTGTGGGACATCACAAGGCGATTGTACTGAAAATTGCCTAGAGACTCATTCTCCTCAAGACAGTCCACGTAAAGTAGTTAGAAAACTTACTTTTGAAAATGAAACCACGTCTACCACTCAACCTAGACCACAGCCGCAGCGTAATGTAATAGTTGCTGACGGCCAAACCATCACTGTAGCGAGAGGAGCTGGCGGTAAGCCTGCAACTGCAGTTCTCATGCCTGCTAATTATATCCTACCCGTTTCTATGGTTAAAGGCGGCCAACAGATAGCTATAGTGACAAACCGTGGTCCAAAGCTACTAACAGTCGGCGGAGGAGAAGGCGGCACTACTAATGCTCTATTGTTACAACGTCTAATCGGCCCAGCTGGCTTAAAACCAGTTTTAGCACGTCCAGGAGTTCGTCACGTTCGTCTGCCTACAGCGGCACTTCACAACCTCCAGCCCTTTAACTTGGCAACGGCTACGACAGTTCATCCACCAGATAGTGCGGCTTCTCCTGCACCAGCACCAACACCACCTGAACTAATCGAAACCCGAGCAAGCAGCTCACCTTGGGCCGACCGTGAATCGCAAGATGTAAAACCAGAGCGAGGTTCAAGTCCGGAGGGATCGGAGCCATGGCATTTAACGGCTGATCCCAACGACTATTCATACGAAGAAACAGTTAGGACAGAAAATATGGATAGAACAGTACTCGTAAGTAAAACATATATTACATACTTTTATTGTATTTAACCATCAGTACAGATCGTAATGTTTTAGTCAAGTATATATTTAAATTTGGTCAATTATATTAGGTTTTCGTCTAACGCTTGTGGTATCAAACAATTTAGTGGATAAATTGAGTTGACGAACATTTTGAAACTTCAGGACGCGATCCCAGATCGATACAGTCCCGATATGGAGGCGCAAAGGATATTTGATAAGATGTTCGACGTAGACTCGAAAAAGTCGTACATCATAGATTCTCAAGATGATTCGTCTCGTTGTGCATACGATATTGACGCGTCAGATTGCGACGATAAGGCCTACCACCAGGTGATCAAACCGTGTCCTTGCTAGGAAGAGTCGCGCCTTAAAAACTATTTGCGGAGAGATCTGTTTAAAAACCTTTAAAAATAACATCTAAGCCTACCTTTAAAAATAAAATAACAAATTGCTTATGACTATAAACGGATCTCTTCTAATAAAGTTAATGTGACTTTGTTTTATGAAGGACACGATATCGTAGTACTGACGCCGACCCCTCAGATTTAGAAAGCCTCTTAGTAGACATGCACGCCTCAGTTTCTTTTAACCGCTTTTCTTTCCTTCGGTGTTGATTTGCCGTGGAATTATATACGTATATAGATGCGACAACTGCTTTACCTTCTTGTTCAAACAATTCAAGTAAATAAGACAACAAAGAGTTTTTTTTACAGAAAAATGAGTCACCCTAATTCAAGCTTAACTATGGATATACATAAGTTATGCAATGCTTAGCTTGCCTTTTCTTGAGAAAAGTAAAATTTATATGCGGTGTAAATATACATATTTATAATATTGTCTGTTATTGTAAATAATCAAATTGTCGCTTCTATAAATTATATGGCATTCTACACTCGAACCAAAGAAATTCCATACTGTAAAAGTCTCATAAATGTCTTCCCAGTCATTTTAATATTATTTGTAATTTAATTTCTATACTTTTTTCTTTCGGAAAAATGTTTGTAAACGTTATCGTATCGCTTATTTTCGAATCTTTCCGTCTTTCGTATAGTCGAATTTGGATATGAGATGTGTTTAATTTTTGCATGTAGCAGTTCCTCGGTTACTCTATAATCAAGTGCGAACCGCATCATCGTGCATGTAACTCATCTTCATTTGGACGAAACTTTATTAGAACCTATGTTACGTAAATGTGTTGTATGTAGTTCAACATAAAAATCATAAGTTAAATATAAATAATATTTAAACACATAAATCATATTATTACACCGTTATTTTCTAATTTTCAATGTATCTATTAGATTGAATAGTAATAGTTGTTAAATAATATTTTGTTAAATAACTTAAAATAATCTTAAAACGTTACTCTATAGCTTTAAACGCTTTTAGCCATTATAATAACAGCGTTACCATATAAATGTTATGTAAAAGTGTAATTATTATGAAAAAATTAAGCTTACTTATGCCGTTTTCGTCTATATCGCATATAAACGATAAAATAAATATTCAGGAAGTTTATATGGATTAATTAGATTATGTTATACAGGTGGTTCAGAAAAAGGACGGTCACCGTCAACACAGACTAGCGCACGTCTCTGCCGCGGCGTTAAGACACAAATATGCAATATTGGAGCACGAATTACGTTTACAGGTAGATATTTTCTAACAATTTTCACGGCCAGAAGAAAAATATGTTTTTGGAGGAGGCAAAACTATAACAAGATGGTCTCGCTAGGAAATAACTATTTTGAGAATCTTTTGTAGGAATCAGCATTTTCTGTTCCCATCTATCCTTCCTCAAACATCATTTCACATTAATTTAACTTTATTTTTCTCAACTTCACTTACGACATATTCAATACTATTATTATAAGAACCTTTATTTTCTTAAGGAAGGTATAGTTTGTAATAATATTTTTCATATTTATTTATTGAATGGACATAACGCTGTTTTTATATTATTTCTTACATCTTAAAATATAAATCAGTAATAAAGTAAAATTCACATATTCAAGAATATCTAACATTCTAGCCTCCATCATTTATTTTTCTTTGTTATTTTCTTTTTTTTTACAATTGATTCCGTTAACATTATCTTAAGATTAATATTTAAAAAAAAACGTTTAATTAAGTAACTTGTGATTATTTATACTGTATTTTTCGTTGCTTATAAATTTTCATTTAACTTAAACTAAGTGTATTAATTTTTCTTCAATTCAAATTAATTTATAAATTATCTTAATTTCATATAAATTAGTCTTACCTAAATTTAAGTTTTGTTTTGGTTATCATATTGAAATAAAGACCTTGGCTCCAGGGTACTGGTTTTTTACAGAAATCACTGTCTGAAGAGTGCGAAGACCTCGGAGTGGACTCTCCATCGGCATCAGAACTGTTTCCTGAAGCTGAACTGCTTTTCAGCTCTTCACCTGCACACGAGGCTCAACAACATTCACATACGCGTAAGGAAAAACAATTTAATAATTTATACTACTGACACAATAAGTTTATAATATATTTTGTTATTTTAAATTTGTGTTAAATATTTAAAATAAGTGCAATTAGTCAAACATTGAAAATATACTTTTATTGATCATGAAAATCTAACAATAAAATCATACTTATTGTGTTATGACAGTTTATATTGTTTAGCTTTATTTCTAAACAAAATTATGTCATCCTTTCAGCTCAACCAACAATTCTGAATCAAAGCGGGATACCCCAACCGGATATAGATGATCAAATAGCCACCGACCATCTCCTCCACAGCGACATTGATGATCAGCAAGACCTGGGGGTGACCCTCGGATTAGATGAAGGCATCGTCACCGTCAGTGAGGATGGTATGCAAGCGACTATAGCCCTGGATCAGGAAGAGTTTGCTCGGTCACATCCAAATACAACATTCCACAGTGAGCCTACAGATGAAGGGGAGGTAAGCGTTAGATGAGATATTTTTTGTAATAGTGTCAATATTATACATGTGTCGTTCAGGTGTTTTGGCTTTTCTTGAGTATTTATTACAATGAGAGTTTTTAATTTATTCAAAGAACATGACATCCTATCTACAATTGAGGCCTTTTAGGTATGTATGGATTTATAATGTATATGTAACAAACTGCTTTCTTTTTGTAATTAATAGGTGAATTAGAGATTGTTAATTTTTTTAATTATTTTCATACTTCAATTCATATTAATTTCTACAAAAAAAAACTTAAGATATTCCTAAACAGAAAGCAATTACTTTTGAACTGATTTTTTAAATGGTTTTGATTTTTTCTTAGTTAAGAAGTGTTTTCTCATAATATATTTCTCTATTCCAGGTCCAGCCGTTCACAATATCCGGACTCAAAGGTCGTCACATCACATCAACGATATTTCACGCCGGCAGAGCTCCCGCTACGGTGCTAGTGACTGCTCCACAAACCACCGTCATATCCCAAGCCTCACAAGAAAACATACACAGTGTGAAATACGCCAACATCGACCATATTATCAACTCGTCCCAACCACATAGAAACCTGAACCTCTCTTCTGTTTTAGTGAAAGACGATGGGCTCACCAAATTCGATAACGTACTAACAGATTCAAGGGAACTACACCTATCAAATACAGCATCTGCCATAGTACATTCAACTGGAAATGCTACCCAAGTCATCCGAAGAGTCTGCTATGAAGATGATAAAAGAGACACCAGATATTTAATGGACGAATCGGATGGCCTCATAGCTGGGGATGATGCGAAGATGATAGCCGAAGACAGTTCCAGAGACGCAACCCTCGAATCCATAGCTGACGGTGATGAAGACAACTCATCACCAGAAAGACACGCTGAACTATTCTGGGAATCGAACTCTGCATCCGAAAGATCAGAAAGTCGACGACCGATAGACTATAATAGCAGTGACAGCGAAAAGTGCTGCAAGAGCCCCTTCGATGAAACTAACTCGACTGACTCCAGTGGGGTTGGAACTCACATGAGATTAGATTCGGTGATAAAAGAAGCTAGATTGATCGATCGTGCTGGAAGCGGATCATCGGATGATCATCCGCCATTGCGAACATATCCTGCGAAACGGATGTATCACAACCCAGATGGGGATGTCGAAAGGAGTCTATCCGGGAAGACCAGAGCTGGTTTCCAGGAAGATAGTTCAGAGACCCTGGAAGGAAGACGAAGAGCTTCAGGAAGAGGGGTGGTTAAGAGAGGCTGTCATTGTTGCAATGGGTCCCCGGTACCACCCAGGCCCAAGAAACCTAAGAAGAAACCGACTATAGACTTCACTAATTAATATGAAAAGACAGTTTTTAAATATTTACCTTTGAAAGGAAAGTCACAATTTTACAGCAAATTGAAAGGATTAGTACTTAAAAAACTTATTGTGGAACTGAACTTAACACTGATATATGACATACTGGATATGACAAAGAATATATTTTAAGAAAATATCTTCTAAATGTAAGGATAATTAAATGGCGATAACTTTAAGGAATAGACAAAATATATAATAAATCTTAATATATGGCTTCTTCCGATTTAAGACTATAGTGATTATTCGACTTTACTCGGCCGCGTGTCGCGCCAGACTGATCGCGATCTCTTCGTAACGAGGTTTCTTATTGTATTATAATGAATGTTGTTGGAAATTGTTTTGTATATAATAAAAATAGCCTACGTTCATATTGTACGTGTACTTTTCTTTTGTTGAAGCGTTATCGAACTTTGTGTTAAGTGACTGTCACCTATTAGTTCAAATTATTATATTTTCTACTTACTTTCTCATACTTTGACTGTTAAATTTCATGTAATATAACCATATAATATATGTAATTGATGTATTGATTGTATAAAACTATGACGTAGACTAAGTTTATAGTAAAGGCCATACTCAAATGTGAATTTGTCGTAGCTTAGTATGAATATTATAACCCTTCTATATCTAGACTGACGTGATTCTCCTTAAATTTGCCGTATTATAATTTTTATTTTCTATACTGTACTATATTAGATTTAATTGAAAGGCAACTTCCATGGGAAATGCACAAATTTGTGACGAGCTTTAACTTTGGCTTATTTTTCTAGACTCAGTTTATTCACGAACGCTTGGTTACTTTGCGAAGGGTTGGCGTTATATTTAAACGTTTATTAGAATTAATGTTAAGTTAGTGTGAATTTAAATTTAATTATCCGTCGTAAGGGTGTAAATAATTTTTGTCCCCCATTATTTTAGGGGGTCTAGTCACTATACCGTTATAGATATGTAGATTGGATGCGGTATCGGTATGTCCCGATTTTCGGCTATAAGCCTATTTCATTCAGTATTTTACCGCTTTTGTATATAATCCAGGGCGAAGATGCTCTTTTGATGGGAAATTTCGCATTGTGCGACTTGTATATACAATTTAGTGAATTTAGCAAACTCGGTCGTTCTCTAACGGTCTTATATAGTGAATTGTAACGTTTTGTGCGCTCGTAAGCGAATCGATACCATAGTTCAGGATGTTACTTCATGTAGTATAAGATAGCGTTGTTAGGTAAAGTTCTGTGTACATGCCTTTAGCCTGAAATTATGATGGGTTGGCGTATTTTTGAATGGATATCTAGAAGGTTTCGACGCCAAACTAAAGGCAAACGTCCACTATCAGGACGGTCTCCGTAAGTTTTTTGGAATTTATATTTTTTTTCTCTCTGGGAGAAGACAATTTTTTCTGCCATTTCTAAACGTAAGATTGGAATTTTTTATATAATCCAGTAAGTTGTTATTCGATATTGTAGAGACTTCGATATTACTCTTGACTACAGTATTGAGATGTTTCGTTGTTTTCCAATTAGAAGTTAAAATTTATTAGATGTAAAGGACTTAATAATGAGAGGTTCATTCATTATTTTTTATTAATTAACCAAAATGTGTTTTTTGTGATTATTGTAAACATTATTTTTAAAAGTGCTACAGAAAATGATCATTAAAACTTATCTATTAATTTATCTTTTATTTGTGTATCTCTTTTTTGTCATAGATATGAATCTTCAGGATACATGTATGCATTTCAATCTATAGTAATATTATAGAGGTAAAGTTTCTGATTTTGTAGGGGATAATCTCTGGAACTACTAAACCGATTTAGATGAAATTTGGTAAGAAGATAGTTTAAGACCCTGGGAAGGAAATATGATATTTTTATCACGGAAATATCCCTTAAGAGGGTGAAAATGGGGATGAAAGCAATGGAAGGATATGAGGAATGATGCTAGGAACGAACCCCAACGAAGCGAGGGTGAGTCGCTAATATTGTCATAAATTCATTTATGAGTGTATGCGTGCATGAGTGTGGGTGTGTGCTGTGTAAGTTATCTATACTTATAATAAATCTGTAGAGAGGTCAATTCTGTACATGAAATATATTTCCAAAATAACTATCAGGGGGTGATTAGGGATCGATACTGATGACAAAAATGCAATCAGTAAAATTTTTGTCTGTCTGTCTGTCTGTCTGTATAACCGTTATAGAAACAAAAACTACTCGACGGATTTTAACGAAACTTGGTACAATTATTTTTCATACTCCTGAGCTGGTTAAAGTATACTTTTCATCACGCTACAATCAATAGGAGCAGAGCAGTAAAGGGAAATGTTGGGAAAACGGGAGAAGTTACTCCATTTTTTAAGTTTCCGTCGCCTGTGCAACCTTAATGGTTAAAGCTACACAGAAATCATGTATGAAGGAAATGTTCTCCTTAAAATTATATAAAAAATATCCCACGATAGCATATGTCTATCTTTTATGGTTGACTCACAATAACACGTGTAACTCCCGATAGCTTAGCAGTTCGAAGCTTTCTGATTTATATTTGTCTACTCTTACGTTAGTTAACTGCACAGGGTACAACCGTCACCTCGAAATCAGAGATTCTTGCCGAAGTCGAAAAATTTTATGGGGATCTTTACTCCTCACAAACATTTCCACCTGAGTCCCACCACGCGGATGATCCACGTGCTAGACTGGTACGCCACCATGCAGACGAGCTTCCCGAAATCGACGTGGGCGAGATTAGGATAGCTCTTGGACAACTAGGAAACAACAAAGCTCCGGGTGAAGACGGAATTACTGCGGAGCTTCTTAAAGCGGGAGGAACACCTGTTCTATCAGAGCTCGCAAAGCTGTTTAATTCTGATCTTCACAATGGCATTACACCGGAGGCATGGAGCGGGGGTTTGGTGGTATTATTCTTTAAGAAGGGGGATAAAACCCTTTCGAAGAATTACCGACCCATATCACTCCTGAGCCATGTGTATAAGTTGTTTTCAAGGGTTATCACGAACCGTCTCACCCAAAAATTCGATGACTTCAAGGCGTTTCGAAAAGGCTTCAGTACCGTAGACCACATACACACACTAAGGCAAATAATTCAAAAGACCGAGGAATTTAATCAGCCTCTATGCCTAGCGTTTGTGGACTACGAGAAAGCCTTCGACACCATCGAGACCTGGGCCGTTCTACAATCCATGCAGAGATGCCTTATTGACTATCGGTACATCCAAGTACTAAGGTGTTTGTACGAAGCCGCAACGATGACCATCCAAGTACAAGGTCAGAGCACAAGGCCAATCCAATTGCACCGCGGGGTAAGACAGGGGGATGTTATATCCCCGAAACTGTTTACCTGTGCATTGGAGGACGTCTTCAAGACGCTCGATTGGAACGGATGCGGCATAAATATCAATGGAAAATATATGAAACACCTGCGATTCGCCGATGACATAGTCATCATGGCAGAGACTCTGCAGGATTTGGAAGAAATGCTGAACAGCCTAGGCGATTCTTCGAGGCGGGTGGGTCTCGGGATGAATCTCGACAAGACCAAGATCATGTCGAATTGTCATGTATCCCCGAGACCAGTGATCGTGAATGGCGCTGTTCTTGAAGTTGTGCAGGAATACATATATCTTGGCCAAACTATACAACTCGGCCGGCACAACTTTGAGAAGGAGGCCAACAGAAGAATACGCTTGGACTGGGCAGCTTTTGGGAAGCTTCGTCATATTCTAGAGTCATCTATCCCACAATCCCTTAAGACCAGGGCATTTAACCAGTGCGTCCTACCCGTAATGACATACGGAGCCGAAACGTGGACACTCACCGTAGGGCTGGTCCACAAATTCAAAGTCGCTCAGCGAGCAATGGAACGCGCGATGCTTGGAGTTTCTCTGGCAGACAGAATTCGAAATGAAGTCATTCGCCAGAGAACTAAAGTAACCGACATCGCGCGCAGAATAAGCTCGCTGAAGTGGAAGTGGGCTGGTCATGTCGCCAGACGTACGGATGGCCGATGGAGCCGAAGCGTGCTAGAGTGGAGACCACGTTTAGGCCAGCGTAGTGTAGGACGTCCTGCAGCACGATGGACAGATGACCTAAGAAAGGTGGCTGGCAGTGGATGGATGCAGGCTGCCCAAGACCGGGATGGTTGACGCTCTTTGGGGGAGGCCTTTGTTCAGCAGTGGACGGCGATAGGCTGATTGATTGATTGATTGATTGACTCTTACGTTTATAACACTCTCAGTCATCCCTAATTAAAAAAGTTAACATTATTAACTATTCCATAAAAAAGAATAATAATGAGGTACTAAACATTATGCCCCTGATGTAAAAATGTATCTTAAGGTATACCAAGCGATATATTGTTAAAAATATAATATAATACAAAAATTATTCGTCTTAAACATATGTTTACAATCGTTTTTTCAAACATAATATAGATAGATAAGAGGAAAGATTAGATTTTTTGTTTGTTTGTACTGGAGAGACTCCGAATCTACTCGACCGATTTAGATGAAAGGTAAGAAGATAATTTTAGACCCTTGGAAGGACATAGGATAGTTTTTATCCCGGAAATCATCTCTAATGGGGTGAAAATCTGGATGAAATTATGTATGAGGAGTCGAGCTAGGGACGAACCCGAGCGAAGCGAGTTCGCTAGTTATAAATAAAATACAAAAAGTGAAATTTAAAATTTATTTCACATAAAATTTTATATAATAGTTTTCTTATTTATCTTTTTTTATATTATCTTATTAAGGCGGACAAATATATTAATAACAATAGTCATAATCGACGCAAGTGCTTTAATTTACTTACTCTCACTCATAAAGATAAAAGATAGCTATAAACAAATAAGTTCATTATTTAAGGTTGGTTGTTAATTAAAAAAGGTTCAGATGGATGTTATTTTAACAACCACTAGTATACTGTAAGAAAGGAGGATATAAGACAGGAAGTTGAGACGACTAATAATAATTATATAGTTGTATGGCTATATTTTATAATTAAATCATACCTATTAAAATGTATCTACATAATATTTTCTTAGATTTACATAAATATTTGACATTTTAAATAAAGCTTTTTACTATAATTTTACATAGATTCTCGACATTTCGAATACAGCAAATACGCTTCTTTCAGTCTCTCCCTAAACATGTTTAATATTAAGGATTCAAGCCTCGAGAACCAAAAATCAAAATAAAATTACGAAAAAATAATTTTATTAAGAAATTGCAAAATATTCTTTCACTGGCACTTGTTAGTGAAACATATCATATTCTCTACTTTCTGCCCATGAACAAATTAGTGGTTAATTCGTCCATGTTTCTGCCATAACGGGCTTTTCGCGCAGCCCGATATGAACTTATAAACCTAATATTTAAAAAATCGTCCTAGACGAGAATCGTATCTTTAATCAATGACTTAACAACGGTGGTCACCCAAAAAAAATCGTATAATACTTAAATAATCATGTAACCTTAGGACGATATGTCACATGTCCAATATTTAATCAATTTTTTTAACGATTTCCTTGTATTGTGATTCTCGCAGCGCAATGAACTGTTATGAAACTTTGAAGTAATCTTATACCTACACGAATATTGTAAAGACGTAAAGTTTGCAAGTGACGAGGGGAGGGGATAGGTGGGGGGTAATCTCTGATACTACTCGAAACTACATAACTGCCGAATGTAATAGGCGTTGATGTACAAAAACAATCAATGTCAATAGATTATTTTCTATTCTGATAAAAATGTGTTAACTATCATAAATCAATCAATTTAATTTTCTTGTTTATGGCTTCAAAGCCTGAGAGTTGAGCACAGATTACTTCGCCAATGTCACGTAGAAGTCAGAAAACATACCTACCTAATACATAATTTTAATTGAACTTTGAAGTCAGAAAAAACTGGTGGTTGGGTTGTTTAATCCACATGCTCTGCATGGCAAAAGGGCCAGGGGCTGGCATGGCAAAAGTTGCTAGTATTAGATAATTTCAAAAAATCACATTGGCCATTGAAATTAAAAAAATAACAAATTCTTTTATCAGTTTCTTTTTTTACTTTTTGAATCTTCATTCTCATACATCATTAGACCATTTCCTCTCTTCTTTGATCTTCTTCATCACCGCTAGCACTTCTATCCTGAACTCTAGCCTTTCATCTTCAGAATATTTAACTACAGTCGGTAATAAAGATGCAAAGAAAGCTTCATCTTCATTCATTATTCTCGGATCGTTGCATTCATCTACTTCAACATAATCGACTTCTGATTTATCATAATCTTTACTTCTTTTTGGTTCTTCTTCACTATAATCCGATCTTCTTGATTTTTTTCTTTGACTTACGGTTTCTTTCGGACTCTCTCGTTCAGTTTTCATGAAAACAGCGCTGTCTTCAGAATTAAAATCTATGGAGAAATCTTCTCCAATAGACGCGACTTTTAAGAGAAATGTCAGGTGTTCATACAAGACATATTTGCGTTTTGGCTTTCCCATTTTAGATTTCAGTGTTTTAACGAATGTATCTCTGATGTTTGTCCATTTTGACTGTATTTGCTCACCTGAAATATATAAAATGTAACTTAATGTACCTACTTAGAATATTTTCTTTACAAGACTTTATGGTAGAAAAATGCTTGATCTACAATAGTGCCCATGATATCTATAATCTAAGGACTCAAGCGAACATATGTAAATCCTAGAAAATGTATATATACCTAATATAAGCGGGTAAATGATGCATCATAATATCTATATGTCCGATGATAGGTACACGATAGGTACATGTTTGCATAAAATATAGGAAATATTTTTATAATTAGGTAGGTACGTATGGGTATAAATAATATGCTTATCAAAATTCCGGTTGTTAGGTGTATTCAACATTTATTTATATTCGCCTAATTAATTAGAGTACTTTTTTAATTAAAGACAAACAACAGGGCATACATTGCATTACTTTCTACTCTGTATTAGTTTCATAAGAAAAATATCTATAAGTCCACTTCATTACGATAAAAGATAAATTCATACTAAAAAGATTCAATCACAACTTAATATGTTTTCTTCTGTTTTGATAGCGTAAGTAAACTAAAACGTCACGTGAAAACTCGTGAAGTATCCGAGTAAAATATTATTAACTAGGAAAACAATAACTAACCCATCCGGGTATTTGGTATATTCCGGGATAAAAAGTAGCTCCCAGACTAAAATCTATTTCTGTGCCCATTCAGATCCGTTCAGTCGTTCTGGCGGGAAAGAGTAACAAACGTACATACTCACAAACTTTCACATTTATAATATTTATACAGATATACCGTGCAAAATTTCATTTAAATCGGTCCAACAGATTCGAAGATTAGCTCGTACAAACAAACAGAGAAACAAAAAAATTGAAAAAAAAACTGGATTTCTTCTATTTTTCTTCTTACATCCCCCTGACTCGGTTTTTAGGAAATTTATATGTACAGACATCCGACCTTTACAGTTTTATTATATGTATAGATTATGAGTGCTAAAATAGATAGAAAACATGGTGAATTAAATAAAGAACATACTCGTAACCCTTTTCTCTTCTGGCGTCATATCCTCGTACCGCTCATCGAGTAGAGTGAAAACTTCATCCCAAGCTGCACGTCTTTCCACACGATCTTTATAAGCTTCTATTGTTCTATCCCACAAACATGGCCTGTCCCTAACCGCTTGGATTAAATGTACTACATTATATTTAAACTCACGCATATTAAATTAAAACTATTTTATTAATGTAACAGAATGCACTGTCTACGCTCTCTGGCCTAACACGTCACTGCGCGTCAAAATGTCGGATCGTGCCGTATAATTCTATCTCGCTCTAACATCAAACAATAGAAAGAGATGCACGAACACAACCGAGGTCACCGGGCAACGACTTTATACAGCTACGCCCGTCAATAGCGCAATGGATAACCACTTTAGTTAAATCCTTGTTTGTTAGTTATAATTTTTAAATATGAGATCTTTTAAATGTGGATTCCGAGTTGAGTCGATAATCGTGACGGCGCGGCGGCTGTTTTCATTGCGATAAGGTCGCCCACTTTGATTTTTCCAATAAATAGATAATATGAGATTAATTATAATACATATACCTACTGCTCAAAAAATAAGTTATTGGAATATTATTGGAACTTGTGATTAAATAATTAATTTTTTTTTTAGTTAATTAATAAAAATTAAATGTCAGAAAATACCGTGACTACCATTATTTAAAATCAACTGATTTTTTTCTCTTTTAAGTAAGTATTCATACAAAATAATTTATATTTAAATTGAACTCGCGTAGATAGTTTTAAATAAAACTATCTTTTCGGATTTTTTCGCGAATTTATTTTGATTTCTGGTTCCCGACGTTTCGAATGCTTTACAGCAATCATGGTCACGGGACTAATTAATATTATATAAAAATGTTTAAAGTTAAAAGTTAAAATATTGTAAGGTACTTAAGTGCCATTTTTCAATTTTTTGAATTCATTTTGGTAATTGTGGGTAGGCTGTCTGTAACATCTATATAATATCTTAGAGACATCTAACACCTCAGTCTCTCCCGTGACCATGATTGCTGTAAAGCATTCGAAACGTCGGGAACCAAAAATCAAAATAAATTCGCGGAAAAATCCGAAAAGATAGTTTTATTTAAAATGTCAAGTATTCGCGTAAATCTAAGAAAGTATTAAGAAAGTATTTCGCATAGATAGTATAAAGTTTAACCTACTATTTATTAATTCTATGTCCATCCTTCTGTTTGTAGCTTATTCAGATTTTCGTTAATAAAATGTCAAAGTGTAAAATTAGGAAAGACTAGCGAATCACACTCGCTTCGCTTGGGTTCGCCATTTGGTTCATTACCCATACAAACTTTCATCGTCATTTTCACCCCCTTAAGGGATGATTTCAAAGGGAAGGGAAGGGAAAGGTTCAAATCCCGGGTCCCGCACCTCTGATATTTTCATGTGCGTGCATTTACCACTTGCCTTACGGTGAAGGAAAACATGGTGAGGAAACCTGCATGTCTAAGATAACCTAGCAAGTTTTCGGAAGACATGTGAAGCCCGCCAACCCGCACTTGGCCAGTGTAGTGGACTTTGGTCTGATCCCCCTCGTACTGAAGGGAGGCCCGTGCCCAGCAGTGGGACGTTAAAAAGGGCTGGTATTCAGCCCTTTTGCCCATACATACAAATAAAAAAAATGTATTTATTAATCACCAGTCAGCTAAAGAAGTAATGTAACTTGTATATATATAGGACAATATATTATTTTACTTCACAATGAAGTAACACACTTTCTCCGTATCTAGATTCACAAGCTAATTCTTGTTATGTCATCATGATTCTAATGAACTCATGAACCTCAAGACTAAATAAGTAGGTGCAAATTAAATACTTAACAGTATTTTTAATGTACATTCCTATCTAGTAAATCTTTATTTTGTTTTTTTAATTATAAACAAAGACTCAATATCAAACAGATAAAATTTTCTATGTTTAAGAATTTAAGATGTACAGTCGAGACCCTCATCTACACTACTATTTTAAAGAGGAAAGATTTGTATGTTTGTAACGTATAAACTCAAAAACTACGGGACCGATTTAGATGAAATATGGTAAGAAGATAGTTGGAGACACTGCGGAGGATATAAGATATTTTTTATCCCGGAAATCATCTCTCAAGGAGGTGAAAATGGGGATAAAAATTTGTATGGGGAATCAAGCTAGGGACGAACCCTAGCGAAGTGAGGGTGAGTCGCTAGTACCATATATAGTTCTAGTTTTTGGTAACTCTAATTTATTTCTATTTCTAGTGCGATGAGAGCGAAATATGCTACTAATACAATCAATATATTTGAATCTAGTATAAAGTAGAAGTGTTAGGGCTCTGAGGGTTGAATAGCGCCTCGTGGCCGGTTTGAACAGGTCTGACTAAACACTTTACACAACCTTTACTCATAAGGCTGAAAATTGTTAAACAATGCCATACATGTACGGACTATCGATCGTCCTGCGCGCGCATAGCATACAATGTCATTATTTTGTACGTGAAAATTCTTGACACCGCCTCAGAGGTTATTTTAAAATAAAAAATCTAATTTTTCATAATATTAACTATAATAAATATATGATTTTGTCTTTAAGTTAATACTATTATAAGCGTTTCGTTCGCGTTAATATGTTTCACTGTTAGTTTCATTTCGCCGGCTTCAAGTAACATTTTGGTGAGTTTTTTAAGTATTTGTAATTATTATTGAAATTTCAGTTTTAATTTATAAGCTATTAAAGAACTTTCTTTCAACTTTCTTTTTAATTTAAAAAATACTTTTTTAATTATGTACATATACATTTAGATTTAGATTTATTTAGAGAGTTTAGATATACTTACATATGTATGTATCATTAGATCCTATTTCGGTGAGAACACCTTAAACATTTAAAATGTGAACTAGGTACCTATCTAATTTATTTTAGGCTTGTAGCTATTTTTGGGATAAAGCTAGTGGAACGTATAAAAATACAATATATATATATATATATATATATATATATATATATATATGTGTGTGTATATATATAAGTACACTTTATGACTATATTTAATTATATTGAATACTCGAGATAATTCCAAAATTTACTACCTATAAGTACTTCGTAAATAGCATTTATTCTAAAATGAAAAAAATTAAACGTAATTGCCAGCCAATAAATACGTTTTTCAATAAATTTTAGAGTGGTATTGATTGGTTAAAATTCGGTTATTTACCAGGAAAGCTAAACTGTACTAAGTTCCTGAATTAAATATCTGAGCAATATTATAAAACAGAATTTTTGCTTTTATGTGCGTACGTTCTTACTTCTTCACGCTGAAACGACTGGACATATTTGGATGAAAACATGTACACACATAGACTAAGACCTGGAGTAGCACATAAACTACTGTTAGGCACCTAAGGACGCACTCGAGTGAAGCTCCCTCACTTAGGTACATCGCTAGTTTAAAATTTCATTAAATACATCAACCATTGCAGGAGTTCGCAATAAAAAAATAAATTTTAAGAATCTTCGTCTGCCTTAAAAGTATATTATAGTAAGTGTGTCTTAAGTATTTAGCGCTATACTTAGCGAATGAACTCGTAAAACAATTTGTTATGCACAAATATCTATGCGAAAATTAAGCATTTTCTAAGAAAACGAGAAAATGTTTTAATTCATATAACGTTCCTATTCTTTATTCTTATTACCCTAAACACAAACAAACAAATATAAATTTTGATTTTCAGTATAACTTTTAGATAATTTCCATTTAAATCTTACATAAAAATGTTTCCAAAAACCACAAAAGTGTTACCTACACACATTTCGTTGTAAAAACGTCCATCCTCATGATGTAATCTATTTCCCTATTAAATTTCATCAAAATCAATTTAGGCTTAAGCGTGAAAGGTAACAGAGAGATACATCTAGGTATACTAATATTATAAAGAGGTTAAGTTTGTGAGTTTGTGAGATTGTGAGTTTGTGAGTTTGTGACGTAGTAGGGGGTAATCTCTGGATCTACTGAACCGATTTAGATAAAATTTCTTAACTAGATAGTTTGAGACCATGGGAAGGACATAGGATATTTTTCATCCCGGAAATCATCCCTTAAGGGGGTGAAAATAGGGATGAAAGTTTGTGTGGGGAAGCGAAGCGAGGGCGAGTCGCTAGTAGTATGTATAAGTACTTCTACCGTCTCTCCATATAACCTGATGTTCTATTTTCTCCGTATAACCTGATGAATCGAATTAAATAAAATATTAGAAGCGATGTTAAAGAACATAATATTAATGTAGCTATCAACAAAAAAAACCTATATCCCCAATTGCTTGTTATTTAAAAAAAAACTAAAATATTCAATTTAACAAAAATATTAGTCTTCAAATAGTCATGGTAGTCACTTACAATATTCTTATGATGTAAAACGAGATATTTACCATGTTTTTCAATTATGTTTGAGTTCTCGATAGAATATACATACCCATGGCACTTGTAACAGTGCCGAAATATCGAGAACTCTAAAAAGTAAGTTTAAAATATTTAAATAATATTTCTATCATAAGACGTGAGTCTCTATCTTTAATAAATAGCCGCAATATATAAATTGTGGAAAATTACTTACATTTTTATACTACGAATACGGGTTATATATAAAGAATACCTACTTTAAAATATAGATAGAGATATTTTTAATAAAAAAAACCGTTGGCTAAATCTCATTATTTTAATTGATTAGTTATTATTATTTTATAGACATAGTTAAACTCTACATAGTGAAACATCATGTGGACGATATGGGTGCCTGGATGGGGGGCTGTGATGGTGGCGGGATCGCTCTTGCTCTACAGCACTCTGGACGTGGCCTACTTCGCGCGTATGATGTACACTGTGGCTAAGGCCCGGTATTTTAGGAAAAAAATCTGTATTTTGGATTCTACCGAGGTGCAATGTAAGTATTTTACTCATTTTCGCAGTTATTTTCTTTTGGAGTAAATTAATCGCGTGCAGGAATCGAATTTGAGACATGCATTAGTATAGCGTTATGTGTCTTTGTAAGTTAATAATTCAATTCAATTCTCTTGTTAATGGCTTCAAAGCGTGCCAGTTGAAAGGTCATCATGTTAGTTATATGTACATTTCTTATTGAGGAGTTGTAGAATAAGTTTTCATTCGTATGACTCTACTTTTAGGGTACCCACGGCTCTTTTTTTATTACTTTACACATTTATTTTTTCTAAAATGCTTTGTATCTACTCGCCTATTCCTGTTCTAGTAGTAAGGGTGTGATGACGTGTTATCAAGCCAGGTTTTTTTTCTATTAATTTTATTGATGTAATTAAGAAAATAATATGTTTATTGTTAAATTATAATTAAACGTATACAAAGGAAAGCTTTTTTAAAATTATGAAGTAATAAGTGCATAGCTGCACATACTTTATGTATGTAGAGTATGCAATTTAGATAATAATACTATGGTATCTTTTAGTACTAAGCAACACGCACCGTTGTATTTTAGTTATTACTTTAGCCAGGCGTGAAAATTCTATAGAACGTTATATGAGACGTACTTCACTAAAATTCTTAAATTGATATAAATTTCTTATACGCTTAACAAACGTTTATCAGTAATTAGTATCTAAAAACCTTATAAAATTTAACCTTTACAAGTAATATTATAACTGCTGCTATTTTTTTTTATTCAATGAAGTCCAGTTGCTAATTTTACCAGTTATTTTTTGTCATTGTGATGACTCTATCTCAAAAATGTTTCAGTAATCTTATAAAATAAATATAACAGCTATTATATTGCTTCCAGCGTGGTGTCTCCTAAATGACATAGACACTTTGCTCTACCATATGAACAACGCGCGGTATTTACGAGAGTTGGACTTCGCGAGAGCTGATTTCTATGAGCGAAGTGGACTCTACGCAAATATTAAAGCAGCAGGTGGTTCCGTACTTCAGGCAGCCACTACTATCAGATATAGGCGGTATTTGAAACCTTTCACAAAATTCACCATTACTTCAAAGGTAATTCCTTCAAATTGTAGAGTAGGTTTGTTTTGGTCCTTAGATAGGACTTATATCAAATAGGGATTTTGTCTTAACTACATAGAATCAATTTTATTTAGGTTTTCATCACGTTCAGTGTATAATTTTTTTTATTAGTATAATGACGTGTACTTGGGTGGCAACTGGTGGTAAATAACGTGTTTCTTACCGCCATTTCGGCTGTCATATTGTTTAATTATTATTAATTATATATTTTCAAATATTTTCTTTTTGTAAGATTCTAATTAGCAAATATTACGACATTGGAATCGCGAGTAGTATCAGTCGGAGTGTGTCTTATGGTCCCACGATGGATAAAGTAATATAGCTAATTACGTATAAATTTAAACGTGTTTAGTATATTATATTGAATCAAGACTCATAAATTTTCATGTTTATTATATGTCAAATTAAGTGGGCCGATGATCTCCTACTTATGTTTATTTCACACTACGTCATATGTGATTGAACTTTCCTAACATTGAATCAAAGAAAAAGGAGAGTCAAGGCGATTCAACTCGAAGACGTCATCTACCTAAAAAGTCTTCCAAAATACTTTATTTCACTCTCATGATGAGTGACAGATTGTCAATAAATACGCCCAAGTTGGTTTACAGAATACTTTTTTAAGTTTATTACTTTGTTATATAAAATCCTCTTTTTGCATTTATTACATATAATGAAATAATTAGACGTATGTTTGTTTGTTTGTGTTATATGAGTTCTTGTGTAATTGATTTAAAAGAAACTGTCAAGAGATGAGGTATATAAGTGAAATTGCTACAGTATAAATGTGCGTATACGCCAGGGTATATTACTAGTGATCAATTTTTTTTTTCCGCCGACCGGAAATCGAACGTGTAACCTCAAAGTGAAGGAAAAGTATAAAATAACATTGACTTTGAGTAAGGTGTGATGTTAAATATAAAATGACTAACGTCTTTAACAATCAATTGACATATAAGCGACATATTGATTTATGGGTCGTTGACATAGACACAGAGCAAAATACTATATTGATAAACACTAAATACTTTTTTTCAAATAATCTTATTTTGGAATATATAAAATCTGAAATGTGATAATGAGACAGTTTTCCTTTTTTATAAAATATGTACATTGTAAGTAGAAAATTCCGTTTCTAACGGGATTTTAACCCGTAATCATTCAGATTCAAAGTACCTACTGCAATAAATGTAAGGTATATTCAAATGAACGATAACAAACTTTCGTGGTTCATGTGTGGATAGACTTTTTAAAGCTAATGATAGGGTGCATCGCATCACTGAAGGACTCTTTATTAAATTAACTTTAATAAATTATTAATTTATCTAGTACTTAAATACTCGTAATATGTTTGAATTAAAAGTTTTGTAGTGTTAAATGTTTTTTTAATGAAATATAATCTAAAATGTGTACTAAAATTAATAAGTTAACAAAATGTCATTGACATATTAAAAAACGATGAGATTTTTGTTTTTTGAAGTTTGATAAAAAGATCTATACTAATATTATAGAGGCAGAACTAAGAGCCACTAAAGAAAGAAAAAAAATAAAGAGACAGGGTTTGTTTGTTTTTTAGTTAGTTTGTTTGAACGCGTTAAACTCAGGAACTAGTAATCCGATTAGATTTTTTTTTGCATTAGATAGCCCGTTTATTGAGGCTATAGATTATATATTATGTATATCATCTCGGAAAAATGTACGGTTACCGTGGGATAGATTTGTTTTTGCCTAGGGACAAACCCGAAGCGAAGCGAGGGTGATTCGCTAGTATTTTATATATATTTACATTAGCTAAAAATTAAATTAAATTATGTAACATTAATTGTGTTATTTGACTGGTGCTAATTAATGAGCAAAATTTAACAGAAATAACTTTCCGTCTATAGAAATAGTTAGGTAAAAACAATCATTTTCGGTATCTGCGCTGATGACACTTCTATATTATTTAAATGTAAACAACGTTTAAAAACCTAACTATGGGAATATCTGGTAATCATAAATCAAGTAGGTACATTTAAATAATAAAGTATTGCATATTTCAAATAAAACTAACTTTTCGTTCTTTTTTCGCAGTTTTATTGTTAATTTGACGTTTTGAAACTATCATTAGGGTATATTAGATATATCCATCCACACTTTCTCATTTATAATGTTATGCATCTACCTCCATAGTTTTACAGCAAACATGGTCAAAGGAGAGAACAATTTTTTTGATGTTCCAAAAGTTATATTTATTACAAATGGTGTCTATCCACAAGAATATAGAAGATATTAGAAATATTTTTTTTAAATGTATCTATCTAATTGGGGTTGCCATAGTTAGTTATATAACTTAAAAATATTTTATTTGTGTTGTTATTATTGTGAGCTTAGTTTTTTATTTTTAAGTAAAAAAAACTATTAACAGTTGCTATATTTCTACAATTAAAAAAATATTCTTTAAAATTAGCTAGAATTTGGTACATTATTTTTTCAATATATTTTTTTTTTAATTTCTAGGCTATTTTCTGGGACGAAAAGACGTTCTTCATGGAGCACGAGTTCATAGGGCCGGGGGGTTTCGTCCACGCAGTGGCTTTGTGTCGACAGCGAATCATAGACACGTCGGTTGCTGCGATCGCTGAATTACTCCTACAGCTTCACTGTTCCGGTAGTTGTAGGTCGCCACCGGAAAAAATGCCTTCAGAGGTAAGCTTATTGTAAACTGGCAAGAATCTTGAGCACAAACTTTTGAATTCTGGCTGTTTGACCAAATGATGAGAGCACAATTATTAGGACGAGTGATTGGCATGATATTCCTTTACTTATATATTAAATAAATATTTAATAATAATAGTGTTAAGGTAGTGCTAGTCCAGTGGTAGCGCGCTCGATTGGGAAACCGAGTGAAACGTGTTCAAATCCGGGGATTTTGCAGAATATCATTAAAATTTCAGAACTTAAAAAAGACTTAAGATGTTTTCCATATTTTTTACCTAAATGCATGTCCTGACTGATTTGCAATCGCTTACTACATAAGTCTACATACATATATAGGTGACTGATAAAGGATTTTGTGATATTTAATCTGTAAGAGGGCAATATATTTTTAGTTGGTATTAAACAGAACTTTCTTATCCTTACGTCTCAAGGCCATTTGTTAATTATACGTAGTTAAAAATTATTATTTCTTATTATGTATAATACTATAGAAAAGTCAAGCTTACAAATTATTGTATAGCTTAACCTAAAGAAGATAATTAATTGATATTTTACATGCAAGTGAAGAAAAACAAACTATTGAATTTGATTTTTTTGAATTATTTACAGTTTTTAATATTTCTTTTACAGCTCGAACTCTGGGTTCAAAGTAATGAGTTAAGTTCAGCAAAGCTACGACCTATCGCCCCTAGCCTACCCCTAGAAGCGCACCCCCTCAGTTGCGGAGAGATCATTCCTAAAGCAGCCGAATGAAATAAGCTTCCCCCGAACGAACTACGGTCCAGGAAACAAGTGTAAGGGGTTTGGATTATCATATGAATATGTTCATTAGATACCCGATTTATATTTAAAATATAGGAGTAGGTATTTTTAATTTATTTTGCATCTGTGGAAGGCATGATATTACAATTAAAAAAAAATATTGAAAAGTTAAATTAAAACGGTTTGCGTTAAATTCGTTTAAAAGGTATTTTTATTAAAAAAAATATTTAAAGTTCACAATTAAATGTCAAAACTCAAAACATTTTTTTTAATATGCTCTCATTAAATATAAATACCTTTTTTGTATTGATTGTCCATCAATACAAAAATTTGTTAAATATAAAAGTTGCGTAATCCTGATATCTAATGACCATATTTGAAAAAAAAATATAGTGATCGTGTAAGTAAGCACTATTACACCATCACTATTGATATATGATAATCCAAACATAGTCTGAAGACTTTTGCAGTTTCGTTTGGGGTTAAATTAGTAAGTGTCAACGTCAAAATGACAGATGACAACGGTTTTTTTAATGTTAGAAGAGTAGGTATGATATTGTTGATTAAAAATTGTTAATCTTATTTTTAATAAATGAAAAGGCTGTAATTATTGTCGAAATTAGAAAGGTAGTGGCGATGAAAACGATTTGATGCGAAGTACTAAAAAGATTTCAATTCGATTCGTTTTTTTCATTAAGAGGTGATATTCAAAATTGAATTGAATTGGAATCTGTTACTTGCAAATATCATTTAAAAAAGAGAAAAATTAATGGAAATTGACTGGTTAATGACATTATAACCCTTTATTTGGAGTAGGTGCAATGTGCATTTCAGTACGGGTTAAGGGAAGTGTTACATAATTAAACCAAAACTTATAACAAAACAAAAACAGTTTTAGTCGATGGCTAAATAACTGTACATCTTAAGGAGAACAAATGTATATATTATATTATAATATTTGTGATTTTGACGATGACGCACAAATATGTAGGTATGTACTAAGAATTTTATTTTGGCACCATAGTCCTATATAGAGTTTTGAATACAAATTATTTTTATAATTTATATTATTTTATTTACATATTAAAAATGTTGTTTTCTTTATATTATGAATTCTATTCTTGTTAATTTATTAATTATGTCTGTCTTAGGATTTATGTTACATGCTTTAAATGTAAACTTAGGTAATTTTTTTGAAAAAAAAATCTATAACGTATCTACGAGTAATTATGGACCTTCATTGTTTAAAATAAAAGTAATTATTGAATATTTAATTCGATGTTCTGTGTCTATATTCTGTATCTATTAGTTGACGTTTCATTAAATCTAATTAGACACAATTAAATACATGCTAAGACGTAAAGCTTAAATGTTCGTACGTTTGACGTAAAATATTTATGTATATTCACATGATGAATCACATCTCATTGTATAATAAAAAAAATGTACATACATAATGTACTAAGTGGTCTTCGATGGCGAAATCTGAAACTGTAGAATGATGCATCTCTAATGTGATGTCAAAATAGCACCGCTTGTTTTTTTTGAGATTTTTGAGATTTTATTGCTATTTCTTAAAGTTTTGGATTCTTCATCAAAGCTCGTACGAAAATTCATGCTGTACAGTTTATATCAATAAATTCAATGTTTATGTTATAGGTATTAACATTTTTTTGTAATCTTAGTTTGTTTTCATATTGGACTGGTAAGATATTGTCTGTTTTAAAATGTTAATTAATCAAAATCAATAATTATGCCCTTTGGAAGTCGATTTCAAATTTTAATTGAAATATTCAATTTTGTCATTGTTGGTTTGTTTCAAACAAATTTTCTCTTTTTAGAGTGTACATACATAGGTGTATATAAAAATTATGAAGGGTTTTCTATTAAAATGAACACGTATTATAGCGCTTTGTCATCATGATGCTTTAAACGTAATAAAAAGGTGGAACCTTCTTGCATTTAATGTAAAATGTATAAAGAAATATCTTTCTAACTTTTCTTTTCTTTTCTTTCTAACTTCTACTTTTAAACTACTCAATGGATTTTAATAAAGTTTTCGGCAATAGATAGTGATTCAAGAGGAAGATTTATATGTATAATCATGCATATTATGGTACAGAAAAGCCGAGAAATTTATAGATTGGTATTTCATACTAACCGTTAAAATGTACCTAGGGACGAAGTCAAGCGAAGCGAGGGTGAATCGCTAGTAAAATTAGAAAGAAAGTATCTTTTGGGGAAACAAAAAATGATATCTTTCTATTATATAATTTTAATTTTTATTGTGATTAACATGAATTATGTCTGTTATTCATTTTAATATTGTTTTCGACTGTTCTTCAAAAATATTGTTTCCTTACAATATTCTAGTGAAGGAATGAATACTCAATATTTATTAAGAAAATATATTTTACGAATCGTGAATTTCAAAAGGTTGCAATAATTGAGATATGTGCAACCGGAAATAAATAAGTTTATTTACGTATTAAAATAAATATATTAAACTTCGCTTCTTAGAGCAAAGATCAATGTTACTATAATGATAATATTGTACATAGAATTTGCGGGATTAATTTAATATCTATCACGATCTAATGTAATATGGCCTTATTCAATTATTCCGTGTCCTTCTTTTTATGATGTCCAGATTTCATGTCCATACTCTGGGTTGAAACATTAAATTAATACAAATTAGCTTTTCTATTAAAGCCCGCGATTAAAAAGCATGGCGGGTTATAGCTCCATACTTTTTGATGCTTGGTTCATTTGAAGAATAATTTTTAATTAATATGGAGAATTAAAAATGTCTACGGTTGATTTTATACAGCTATTCAGCAATACCTTTCATATAGTCGTAGATGTCATTGTGAGAAACGAGAATTTTATATGAACTTTTTTCGCGCATTTGGCTGTCGAGTTACATTAATCTTCTTAAAGAATATACTTTTTCTTCATTACAAATTACATCTAGTGAGATATCTTTTTCAATATTAGGATAAAACATTATGTATAATATGAAAAATTAGCGTAAAACATGGATTTGTGATCAAATTAGCACAGCTAATACCTTAATAGTCCTAAAAGGCATTATTATATTGTTTTATGTAACGTACCTATAATTGTAAATCATTATTAATATAACCAATATAAATAAATTATAAAAGAATTTTAAATAATTTTATTGAAAAGGCCTTTTTATATCTCATCGACTTCAAGGAGGAGTTGTTTTGGTGTATGTCGATTGTTACGCAATATATATTATTTAATAAATGACACTGATTTTCGTGTTTTGATCCAACAATCACATTTTATATGATCTAATAATATTAATCTTACCCATACTAATATTATAAATGTGAAAGTGTGTTTGTTTGTTTGTTTGTTTGTTTATTTGTTTGTTTGTTTGTTTGTTTGTTTGTTTGTTTGATTGTCTGTCTTTCTTTCACGTCGAAACGGAGTGACGGATTGGCGTGATTTTACGTGTGAAGATAGCTTGAGAGCTGCAGAGTGACATAGGCTACTTTTACTATTGCGGGAGATCATTTCATACCCACGAGAAAATACGTTATAATAAAACCCAAAAAAATATTTATGATCAGAATTACTTGAAACTTGGAATTAATGCCCTTCAATACAATTAAATAAATACCTACGTGTTTTAGCATTTTCGAAATTCATCCTATAGGGGGGTAAAATGGGGATGAAAATTTGTATGAAAGCTACTTTTTATGCAGCTTTTTTTGTAGTTTTAGCGTGAGCGAAGCCGCAGGTTCTGCTAGTTACTATATACCTAAATGCGAATATTTAGATGGATGGATGTTTGTTACTCAATCAAGCCAGAACGCCCGAACGGATCTTTATGAAATTTGGCACAGAGATAGATTATAGTTTGGGATAGCACATAGGCTACTTTTTATCACTAAAAATATACGATTTCCGTGGGATAGATTTGCTTTTATATTTCATTATAAAAAAAATTCGTTATTGATAAATTAATTATTTAATTTATAAATATTAGTTTGCGAACATATCGCGACATTTGCGTCTCTTGTCGACACTAAAATGCCTTTACTCGGAAATAGATCCCACTAATAACGACTTAGGCAGCTTGTCAAAGCTCGCCGCCACTTTACCAGAAGGCTTTTATATTTTATCTATTTATATACAAATTTTAGCATTATTTCTTTTCCCACACCTGCTTTATAACCTTATCTATCAATCTGACTCCGTCTAACAATCATCAATTCTCATGATTTGTTTAATTTTTTATAAAATATTTTTTGTATTTGTTAAAACAGCATCAATTTTGCAATCGTTTTATTTATAAAGCATTGTAACATTTTAACTCGTTTGCATTATGAGTATTTTTGATTTTAAAAATAATGAGTCTAGAATAGAACCCGGTACTGTTTGTCTATTTGACTTATCTTTTTAATAGTATTATGAAAAGAGTAAAAAAGGCTTTAAACTTGGTAAATATAAGTGCACATTTTAATAACTATCTGCAAGTATCTATAAGTACCTATACTTACATGACAATATTAAACTATGTGTATATATAAATAATAAAAACTGGTTTCATATAATATCTTAAGTCATAAATAGTATGACTTAATACGACTACTCAATGTGAAATTATCTTATTAACTAACGACTAACCCTCGCTTCACTCGGGTTCGTCCCTAGGTTGATTCCCCATACAAACTTTCACCCTCATTTTCACCCTCTTAAGGTGTGATTTCTGGAATAGAAACTATCCTATGTCCTTCCCAGGTTCTCAAACTATCTTCTTACAAAATTTCATCTAAATTGGTTCAGTAGTTTCGGAGCCTATTCGATACAAACAAACAAACAAAAAGACAAGTTTACCCTCTTTATAATATTAGAATTTAGAATAGATAATCGGGCTACTATTATAAAGGCGAAAGTTTGTATGTGTGTGTATGTTTGTTACTCCTTCACTCTGAAACGGCTGCACGAATTTTGATGAAATTTAGTTTTTGACCTGGAGTAACACAAAGGCTTCTATTAGCCACTTAGGGACGCATCCGAGCGAAGCGAAGTTAAGTCGCTAGTAATTATTATTACCTACCTAAATACAACACAATTATATAAATGAAATGGTGGTACGGAACCCTCAACGTGTATCTGCCTACTCGCAGTTAATCGATTTTAATTTTTTAAATAACAAAACCATATATTGATATTGAAACATGTTTTTATAATTAGCAAAACGTTCAAGTACTTTGTATCCTGGCTTTAAAAGTTTAGCAGGTATATAAGGAACAAAAAACGTTAAAAATAGTTTTTTATATAGATTTCTGCAAAAACTTTTTGATATTCATGAAACTAGGGGAATATAATCTCAAAATACATATAATAACCATTTTTTTTAAATCGAAATGTTTATCCGTTTATTCCTTCCTTTCTTAGACTTCAAACTTCTCTAAAAAGTATATTTGACTTTGGGGGGAGGGGGGTGGGGTCATGACCCCCATGACCCATGACTTGGATAAAGAGCATTTGGCTATTTTATTTACACATATATGTCATATATGTATGGGTACAGTATAGTGTTCAATATTTTGAATGTAATACCTAATTACTAACTCAAGACCGGATTATATACAATTACATATATGCATTCGCATATTTTGCTAAATATTGCATATTTTTAAAATCATACCTACTTAATAATTATGCATATTTCTGGCATGTATCTAATTATGACACGAGTAAAAAAAAGAATTTATACTGTGTTGTTGCGACGCGTAGGTAATTAGAAATTTCACCATTTTATATCTATACATATAATAAAATTCTGAGTCAAATCTGTACATTAAATATTTTTTGGAAAATCTTATTGAAATGGACATTATTATCGATACAGAGGCTGAAACTATAGTTTTTAGAATTTTTGTCTGTCTGTTACCGCATTACAGAAAAACTACTCGACAGATTTTGATGAAATTTGGTATGGTCATAGCTGATTATCCGGGTCAACATATAGGATACTTTTTACAGCGGAAAAATATCTCATTACTGAGAAAAAATACAATAACTGTAATGTAAGAGTATACTAATATGTAAAACCTAAGAATTTGGTTTTTGGTCATCTAAACACGTTTACGCTGTAATATTAGTTTTATTTTGATATATTTATAATCAAATCCTTTATATAATAATGATAGATATGGATAGGTGATTATTAAAAATATTTACATTATTCTTACAAATGTAGCTAAGTGTTAAAAATAAGAAATATTTCTTCTTTTCTAAAATTTTCATGATGTTACTCCTTACTTTTTTTTTAATTTATTTCAAAGTTGAAAATAATATAGGTATATTATAATTACTGTCCTGATATAATTTTACTTTAAAAAAATATATGTTTATTATTTAGGTTACAAAAATAAGTAAATCAATCAATCTATGAATATATAATTAAAGTTGTTATGAATATTTAATATTGTCAAAAATATATTTCTTGAAATAGAACTGAAACCTACCTTATTAAATATAAAGGGAGAGAAAATAAAATTCATATTTAATTGTAATGTACACAATTTATTCATATCGTATAGCGTTTCTTATACAAAGATAATAAATTGTAAAATCCTCTTTCACGATCCAATAAATAAATACTTAGTATAACTCCTTCAGTCCTATCACATGCCCTTTGGGCAATTTTAGGAGCATAACTTACAATACATCGAATATTTCGATCTAACCTTCATAGGATTTGATACAAAAGTCCCTAACCATGGGCTCGACTCGACAATGAGACGCAAGACAAAATTTAATGAGTGAGAACGCCATGCGTTTCATTTCTTCAAAAATCTTAAATACTCGTAAATGCGATTCAATCGCAGCGAGTGCTCATGGTAAGGGCTTGGTTTTTCTAACAAATGTACAAAAATATTATTCAAAGGTAGTTTTAAGGTAGGTATGTATTGTCAAAGGCACTGGTACAATATTATGATCCTGATCAATACTCTGCACGATAGGATTCATTTTCTTAAAAATAGTTTGCGATTCTTGACAGCTAGAGGATCTATCATACAATTTTTTGGTTTGGAACTTAACGGGCATTCCGATCGAGAAAGACTATACATTAACATAAATAAACATCTAAGTTGGACTTAAAATTACGATCTAATACTATCTTATAAGAGAAATAGTCTTTAGCCATCGATTTTCACTACCAAGTCTTCGAATAGATGAAACAAATCTACTGCGCTTATATTACACATTATACATAGCTCACCACTAAAAATGCATTTTTTTAAATCTATCACTGAGTAGATAAGTTTTATCTGCTCGAAAAGTCTGTAAATCGAACATTTAGTCTCATACAAGGTCCACGCGCGCGTCGACCAATGCGACTATCTCTACCCTATAAATAATACACCAAGAGTAAACTACTAGGAAGGATTCATTAATTAGGCGTTGCGACTTAGCCGCGTACAGCTGCACAATATCATACAAATATATATTTCATCTCTTTACAAACGTGGTAACTTCTAGGGAGGGGCGAGACAGTTTGTACGAATATATCGACACGTGATCGCGGGACGGGCCGCGACTGAGCAGACACCAAACGATCAAACAGGACAGAACAGAACATTAGCTCGTTGTGTCCTATTTCTGCTCGTAAGAAATGAGAGCATTCCCATCAATGTAACATAAAATGCTCGAAACGTAAAACACATTAATAGAAGTAGATTGAGCATTCGCTTGGTGTTAACCCAGCTTGAGCGGTGCTGCGCGGTCCAGGCGCAGGCGCAGGCGCGGGCGTTCCGTCGAACGGCAGCGGGCTCAATGTTCGAGACCGCGCGCCTTATTTTGGTGCATCATATTCTTTAGTGTCGCCACCTCAGTAGCGAGCCGCGCGAGTTCCGCCTTTAAATGCGCATCCTCCTCTTCAGCTAGTCTTTCTTCGGATCTAGGTGGTCTGTATTCTGCACCGAGAGAAATCCCAGAATCTCTCTCGTCGCTTGAGCCCTCACCGTCCCAGGAAGGTGAGGAACGGGGCCCGGGTTCTTGCTTGATGTGTTGCAGAGACAAAAGGGCGCTGGCAACATCTTTGTCACCAAGATGTGATTTGTGACGAAGTTTGAGAGGAAGGCAATTGTTTTCTGGGGCATACTGCTCGGCTGTTTCATCTCCTGAGCCGGAGAGGGATGATAATTCATATGGCGAAGGAGCTCGGCGAGATCTTGAGAGATTTAGGACGGAACCGGGCGGTTCATAGTGTGCGGGGTGAGGGTAGTACGCCTCGGGTGCTGGGAGCCTTTCTTGATAAGGTTCTGGTGCACGTTGTGGTGGAGGAGATGGTGGTGACGCTGGTGGTACTGGTGGGGGTGGTGGCGGTGCTGGTGGGAAAAGCGCACTGCCTGATAGTTTACTCCTCTTAGTTACACAGAGAACTTGGTCACATGTTGGCAAGGTAGCCAGTACTTGATCGATGCTAATGAGATTTTCTCCACATATTCCATATTTTTCTTTAATTGCGTCCAATTGTGCTTTCAATACATGGTTTTCTTTGGAAAGTTCAACAACACGTTGTTCCAGAACCATGTCATTGAAGCGACGCTTTTCACGGGAGCGCTTGGCGGCTTCATTGTTGCGCCGCCTGCGGTCCCAGTATCCATCATCTTTTTTGCTATCGGGAATAAATTCCCTCTGCTTACGTTGTCCGAAGAACTCCTTCCTTTTTGAAAATTCATAGTTTCCGTAGTCATGAGGGTCTCCGGGGCTGCCGTTAGACGGGCAGCTGGGTGGTTGATCCATGGGGAAGTGTGGTGAGACAGAAAGTCTGGAACGCGGCGGTGGTGGCACGCGTGATGGTGTCGGCGACGGGCCCAGGGCTGCGCCTGCGCCCGCGCTCAGCAGTTGCTGCTGACTCAGAATGAACTCGGCGACCATGTTTCGGCGGACGACGCCTTGTCCGCACGGATCTTCACTGTGGTTCTGCAACAAATAAAACATTACGTTAATATAACGTTGCAATTTTCTAAATAGCCTTACAAAATACGCTTGCAAAAATGCTGTCGCAAGTTCCTGCGCAACTTTGCACGTGGATCACCTTTGTGTAACCGCGTTGCCACATTAAGATTTTTTTATACCCTTTACATTAAATCGCATTAATAAGTCACGTTTCCTAACTTCATGTTGTCTAACAATTTACATATACTATTTCCATATTATGCAGGATACATTTGTATCCTTGTTCACCAATTTCTTATTAAAATTATGTACGTATGTCTATATTTTATAATAATTAATTGAAAAGGTAAAATCGGGAGTAATATCTTTACTATTAAAAACGCAAAATAAAGTGAGAAGCCACGCCTGCGTACATGTGACGAAAGTTTACAGGTTTAAGTGCTTTACTAGCTAACAATCGTTTTTGAACAATAATATTTAGATTTCGTAATAGGCACGTTGGCAGCGACGTGGACGAGAACGCCGACCTCAGCATTTATTACTTTAATGATATCTATCGGTACAATGTCGACGACCTTTACGTAACTTCGATTCCTAATTTTGTCTCGCGCAAACATTTTACTACTGTACCGAGTTTCCTATTGATTATGGTTAAATTAAACAACGACAGGAAGTTTGGCAAAAAACGTCTTAAAGCATTGTTATCAAGTGAGGATAACAATAAAAGAATGAATCCTAAGCACCTATTGTGGAAAAACCATAAAACTAGTTAAGTTTTTTTCTAGCTGTCTAAACTATCGAAAAAAAGATGCTTACGGTCACGTTATATCGCACGCGGTGAACTCTTGGCAACGTGAGAGTTCTTTCTTAATGTGAAATTATGCGTTTCCGATGACATTTTCATGTGATTTTAACTATTCCAGAGGTCTGGACACGTGCTCTTACCCGTTTATAAGGGATTTTACACCAAATCTCCTTATGAAATTCGAAAACAATCAATAGGCGAACGCCGCAGCTTTTTAAGATGTTTTTGAATGCTCTCATTGCATTCGGAAAGCTTTATATAACCGTTTCCTATTCCAACCCTTCAAAATCATGTATGCGAATACACAATTTGTTTTAAGTCATTCAGTATCAGAATTATTCCGGCGTTCATCACTAAGTAGTATAAAATGTACATAAATGTTTGTAAACCGCAAAGTAAAGTAACCGTATGAAAGTGAGAACTAGTTATGCTGACATCGCATTGTTGTAATTAAACGATAACGTAATATTAGGTTATAACTATACTCTGGGTTTGTGGTTACTTCATATTGTAAAAATGATAACATTCTACTAATGAATATAAATGATTATTACTTTATAATTTAATTGTCCGTTTGAAATATCAAATCAAATCAAACGTTCAAAAAGTAAATTCACTGAAAGAAATAAAGTCATGCTACATTGTACGGAATCACGAGTTAGCGCGCAGGTTTCCAACGGATTGTTGCGGTTCGGTGTTAGTAGGCCGCTCTAGATGCGCGAGCGCACCCGTTACGGCTAACTGTTTGATTAAACCAGCTCTAATTGGTTGATGTCAGTGGGCCTTTTATACGCTTCTCTTTTTAAGTTACGTATTTCTTAAATGTCATCTGACTCGAGCATGATATAATATTTTATTATTGTAGTAAAATGTTAAGGAAAACTGTAAAAAGATTTATGTTTGGGTATCCGTTGAAAAAATTACAATAATTTTGTTTTTGATATTCATCATTTTGGTCTTAATAAATTATAAATACTTGTTCAAGAATTAATTAGGTAGTATTTTTATATAAAAATGTATGAAACAACGTGAATTACTATTTTCATTATCATCGTTGTATGTATTAATTGTCTAGACAATGTCAAAAAACATAATTCAAGGTGATTTTAAAAAGAATATTGTTTAATTTATTGTAACTAAAATCAGTTTTCATTTTTATTTATTGAATATTCACTAGCAGTCCTCAAAATAACTGCTTTATTTAAACCTAAAAAAAGTATCCGTTAGGTGACGGTTGGCGGCACAAACGGTTAAACACTGCCTTAATGAGTAACGGACGTTATAACAAGAATATTGATTTATTTACATAATATATAAGATAATACAATGATTATATTTATGCAAAATTGAAATATTTGTTTCCCGCCATTTTATTTACTGATGTCAGTTAATCTAATTAAAACAAATGTATTTCACCACACAGCCTACAATAAATTTATTATCTATGAATATTACTTTTAATTAATTTATTATTTTTTATTAAAAAGGATTAAATTATATTTTTTGTGAATTCAGAAAGAAAAATAACAACACAACTCGCATTAGGCAAATAATTACACGAGTTATAAAATGTGATAAATTCAATATCGAGCCTGTATCTAACGGTGTTGAATAACAATCGGCATTTGGACAGTTAGAGCTAATCACGTACTTTCGTTTAACCGTTAGCCAAAAACTGGCACTATACGGTACCACGCTTTTTATGCTCATGCTCATCTCGTCTAAAACTCGTTATGAAATTTGTATTTCGTCACCACCAAGGTTGGCTTGGGCAATGGTGTTGGCCTGATCCAAACATTGTAATTTGAAGTCAGTATTATCTTTTTGCATACAATTTTTATAGCATGAATTTAAATACCTATCAAATCGTAATATTTGCATATGAAGTTGTTTGTACAAAATACTAATAAGAATTTTTGGAAATACTTTTGGTATGAGCCAAGTCTTTCTGTTAAATGTTACGCATAATAAAAACTTAGGTATGTGAGTGAGCACTGGTTAGGTTTATGTTCTAACAATCCGATTGAGCTAGGTTGTGTTCGAACGACCTTCGCATTGAACTACTAAGTAAATGCACACGCGGGCGGCTCACGTTGCGCGTTCAGGTACCGGTCACGTGGGTGGAGGGCATTATTGAATAGTGGGAAAGCATTTACCAAAATAAAAAAAACTATCAAATATACAAATTTAGCTGAAAACTTACATTAAGGCCTTTCAACTATTTTTAAACTGTACATTAACCTTTTAACTTGGTTTCTCAAATAAATGGCTTCACCTTTCTTTATCAAAAAATTATCACAACGCCTGATAAATATAAATAACCACGTAATTCTTAATATATATCTGACTCACTGATAAAAACAAGACATAGTTAACGTCTTACGCAATTTTATGAGTATAACAGACGTGTACTGCGACCTATCTGATTTTTATTCCTCAATTACATAACTTTGTCTCAAGATAAGTACTATATATTATAACGTTTATTTCACGTTACAATTTTTCTTGCAATCTATAGATAGCATTCGTCCGATATTTTTCTTATAAGCAACACCTTTCTGGAAAAGTAATACTTATAATAATTTCTACAATTATCCGTAATTAGTAAGGAATAGAAATAGTCTTGTAGATAAAATTAAACAAATGCATATATATACATTAAATGCGTTTCTTTTTTGCAGGTTAATTAGGTTGACATTTTTTCATTGTAAGCAAACAATCGTGAATGCAAATTTGTAACTGATGTGCCCTTTGTAGTAAATAGGTTATTTAATTTAATAGAATAATGTTGTAATTTTCATTCATTATGACAAGGTTAAGATGGCTTTGCATTCCTTGACTTTGTTTTTTAATAAACGTTTAATTTGTGTAGTAATGAGTAACAATTTATAAACAGTTTGGATGATACATAAAAAGCTTCGTCACTTCGCGTCTCTAGGTTCCATTATTTCGTGGTTAAATACAATGTTACATGTTTAAAAATCTTTTAACATAAAATAAGTTTACAGAGTTTAACATTGCAGATAATAAACGTTGTTAGATAGATATTTGTGCAGCAGTAGCAGTGTATTAGCGGATAGTGGATTAGCGGATCTTTCAGTAGTGGTCCTGCACGTGACCGTGAGGCGATCACGCGGCCTCTGACACGTGCTCTTGAACTCACGTTGCTTGCGTAACACCGCACGTTCTTCTCCAAACCGTTATAATATAAAACAACGTGATCATTTGTAGCTAATTGTCGCCCTCAATCAATCCAACACAAGGACACATATCTTCTAATATCTATTGAAATAGATTAATCGCCATTTACTTAGTATTTACATGTTAACATTAAATATCCATTAACTACTACATATTACTTTATAAAAAGTTTACTTTGATAAATTTGAATATAATCGTCGTGTAAACATACTTTCATACGTTTTGATGCGCGCATTATTCTTGGTCTTGACCTACTCAAGACAATTACTAACTCACATCAATGTTCATAGACAATATCAGCCATCTTGGAAAAAGTAGAGAAAGTAGTACAGTGGTAACTTTCCACACGTTCGCCGCTATTGCGCGGGAAAAGTAGGCCGGTCGCCATCTTTCATTTGACATTTTACCGCCTAATAAAGGTATTCACGCGTAAAAGAATGAAAAATTAAAATGTTTAAGTATGTTTGTGGTCATAGCAGTTAGTAATGATAGTAAGTGTTCGCTTTGAAGGTCAGCAGTCTGTGTTACTTTAGCCCCAGCAAGCTTGCTATCTTCAAACGATGCTTACACCGTATTTTCAAGATGGATATGTTATGAAAACATCCGTTACTATATTATTATTACATTGTGCTAGACTACACATTACAATTTACAGTTCTTACAATAGCAATTTTGTTTTACCTCAAGAGGAGGATCATGAAAAAGGTCACATTTTTGGTTGAGTTTCAAGCATTTTTCTGCTGAAAAACTACGTATACTTGACCGATTTACAGATTCGCATTTAGCGAAGGCCCAATTAAAGAGCACGCTATTTTGGGGATGGCCTCTCAGTCTCCCGATAGTAGTTTGGTGTCAAGGTTGCTACTCGGCTGCGTTATCGGTGACATAAAATGTGCCAAGGCCCTCTCCCTAAATGTTTCGGTAAAGGATTTCCCTATCTGATAAAAATAATCCTTTAACAAATACGTTTAGACGAGACAAAGACAAACCTACTTCGCGCCGACCTTGCTCTACACAGTTAATTGCTACATTATTAAGAAACACTTAACCTATTTTCATGCACTAGATTCAACGAATTTAGCTACCCACCTCAGTTTCTTGCGTTATGTAAGCGTTCTGCTTCTAGGAAGTGTCGTAAATAAGGCCAAGATCTTAATGACTTAAAATTTCCTTTACAGCTCTTTATGTTATTGTTCACTGTAATCTACATACTGTATATGTTTGGCGCACATATCGGTGAACCAGTTTTGCTATGAGTCATTGGGAATTCCCGCTAATATTTTCATTGTGCAACTTCCGTGAATTTAATTTCAGATAAATATGAAAAATAAGGAAGAACATTAAATTCTTATTAGTAGTAAGGTCAGTGTGGAAGTAAAACAAAACTATTTTATCGACTTTCTTTGTACGATTATGTCGTATCGTTTCAATTTGGTTTAAATTTGGATTCTAGGACTTTTATAAGATACGGCAATAATTGGACTACGTTGTCGCAATTGATTGTATACTCACGTGCAAATCAGTAAGTAGGTTACAGTTACGCGAGTGAGCGAGATAAAAAAATAGGTCAAGTTATCTTTATTTGTCCTCGTACCGATGAAATTATCGTCGACCGTTGTTATTGCGCGTGAAAAAAATGTGACTTACGTAACATGCATACATTGGACTACGATGTAGATCTTTTTGTACTAGTTTATTTAAATACAAATATTGACAGGACTTGTTATTTGTGTTAGATAATACGTATTTATTGATCAGTTTAGACACACAGAATTGGCAACATTGTAACAAATGGTGATTAGCTATTTGGATGATTTCATCGCTGAGTTTGATAAAGTTATAAAAACAGACTGATTACAATACCATACATTTGATGGAATTAAAATTCATAGCTAAGTGTAATGCGAGTCATGATGCACGAATAAATGCATACGGGTGACCTTACGGTCTTATAATACCTTCCGGACGACCTTGCTTTATACTTCCTGTATTACATCACTTATACCAATAATGCACTTCATACTTGAACACTTCTTTGTGCGACTATTATTAGAGTGGAAAGAGAACAAGTTAACATTGCCACGGTCCTAGTTTACTATCGTCTTGACGTTAGTGCATTATCTGTGCAGTCTTGCAGATTGCGCAATGCCGCCCTAGGGACATTGCGTCATACGTAGATAGCTAACTGACCTTTACGCGATCGATTCAAGTCTCGTGTTTGTTTTTGAACGGTTTTGTTTGAACTGTTTTAACGGTTTAGTTATTTTGAGATCATCTTGAGGAGAAATGCGGGGGCGTCTTTGTTTTGTAAATTAAAGTTTAATAGTTCGCTTTATATAACATTTTTTTCTTAACTAGGTAGGTATGTAAATATATTTATATAGACGATATAAAATATTATCAATGTTTGATTAATAATAATTAATGTTAAAGACGAAGAAATAATCTAAGATTTTTACATTTAGATGAAAAAATATAAGATTTTCTATGAACCAATTATACTTTAGTTCCGTTCATCCGCAGGCGAGTGCACGCTGGAATACAACCTTGAACCAGTTGTGTAAGCATTTACAATGGCTTACGAGTTACGACAGAACCGTCGTGCCAGGCGCCGCTTACGACACTCAAATTAGTTGCTAACAATCGCAACCCTACATACTGAAATATAACTACGCGACAAAAAATTTGCATTTGTTATTTCTGATAGTAAAAAGATGCCTACAAGTCTTTAGTGGACTTATAGATTTTTTTTATTTTAAAGGTAGATTAAAAATTATGTTTAAAAAATATTAAGTACAATTATTATGATATCGATTATTATTCAATAAAAATATTTTAGCATAAACAAAGAAATCGATTTCCGATTAGAAAGACAAAGAAATATTCAATTAGATAAGTACTAAATCTATTGATGATATAACTGGCGTAAACAAAGATAATAATAATAAATAAAAACAATCGTATTATTTTCGTATATTCGGAAACGTAAAATTTAATAGAGAAAACAAGATAAAATAATGATCATCGTGTAGGTATCAAAGTACATGATAGATGCGAAAATCTTTTGGCACGAGACTTGGCGGGCATGAGTAAACAAATTTTTAACGCCGATGTCAATGACATTTACAAACATTTCTATGAAACCGCGAACTCAACAGAGTTGATTGACTCAGCTAATTTGTTAGTCATTGTAATATATTGAAATTAAATGGAAATTAAACTTAAAAAATTAAAACTATTCAAATTTGCCTAAATTTGATTTGATAATAGGAAATTCAAATGCGAATTTTCTGGGAAAACTTTCGTCCTTATTTGTGGGAAAATTTTATGAAATTTCTATCAGGGAATAAAAATAAAGTATAAGTAATATTTTGAAAAAAAAATATAATTTGAAAATTAAATTGAACCTTATAAGAATTTGGAAAATTTTATAATTTAAAAATTAAATTGAACCTTATAAGAATTTGGAAAATATAATAAATTAAAAATTAAATTGGATCTTATAAGAATTTGGAAAATAAATTATATTTTCAAAGTTAAACACAATATCATTTATTTTAAATTTCTGACTACCGCCTAAAATAAAATAATATAATAATATGCAAAATAAAAATTACAAACACAAAAACAACAATTATAAACAAAATAAACAATTAGTAATACTTACAAAAATATTTGCGGTAATATTGCACTCCTTATCCGGAATTATCCAAATAGTGAGAACAATGTCATAATATCACTAAACAGCTAAACACAAAACCGTCTTCGGCGTAGTTTTTAGTGCTTTAAATTGTACAAAATACACTTAGCACGTCCCGAATGATTTTGCCACTATCACAAATGTTATGACGAAATTCACGAATGGCGTAGTACTCCAGTTACTTGAGCTCGTCTATCCTCTGCGAAGTCTAGAGTGCGACTAAATTTTGTAGTGGGGTCGACCGACTCACGGTCTGCCACACGCACACACGCGTGATGATCGTCTCTGTGTGCGTGCGGTGTGAGTGTGTGCGTGTTTGCGTCTGTGTGATGTTTACGTAACCCGACGGTGTGTAATCACTTCAGTCGGCGCTATTGACTCAATGTAGTGTCCGATTTTTTAGCCTAACGCAATTGAGTCATGTATTTGTAGCGTTATGCTTCTACGAAATCTAATCGATTGATAAGCGCTCGTTTTTGGCAACAATGGCGTAATTAATTTAAATGTGGCCAATTTTTCGCTAGTTTGTCTTTGTAAGATTGTAATCGACTGACGAAAAAACTATTGAAATTTTGTGTTAACTACTGATTAATGGTATAGGTAATTTTATTTTTATTTTTTTATTATTAATTTTCAAAGATTGTTTCATCAGTCTTTAACAGTTTTCAGTTTAGTATTGCCTTTAACTAATTTTAAACAGTAGTTAAAAAACGATCAATTGTTATTTTTCAGTGATTTACCAATAAATTTTCGAATTTTCCTTTATAAAGTAGGAATTGCATGGTTTGTTTCATACGAATCTATTGAAATATGCGGAAAATGACTTATTACGTGTGGTATAATCTATTTCTATAAAACAATTTAATTTTTCCCACATTTTATTAGCATTATACTTTGTCATATGGATAAAATACTTACCCGTCTCCTAGCAAACAGTTAGCTATTTACTGTTAATCCATTTTCAACTTTACTAATGTAAAACAATTATCGTTAATTAAAATTATTTAACATAATTTTAATTTAAGTTTGTAATATTCAATATATATTGTATAAGTCAACATTCATTCATGTGGTTTATATGCGTAGGAGATATATAAATGTAACGTATATATAAATACAGCAGGTTATGTCAATCCAGATATAAGCTATCATTTCTTTTACCCAAAGTCGTTGAAGTTGTTCCATTGTGAAGGAGTAAGAAACACACTTACACACTTTCTATTTTTATTCAAAATATTATTGTTTTTTTAATTAAATTTGTTAAATGCCGTACAAAACAAAATTTATAAATAAATTACTACTTTTAGTCGCACACCTCTATTACGGAAAAGTGAAAGAAGAGGGCGCTACTGAGCACATTCGTGAAGTGTTGTTGATAATTATTTATTTATAATGTCATTATTTACAACTGTTTTTTATTCTATGTATGTATAATTGTTTTAGAAAATAAGAATATTAATAAAAAAATGTATCTGCTTTTTTAAATTAACCTTATTCTCATTTATCTACTAGGTATTATGTGGTATTAGGTGATTTGAAAGATTCTAAAACCATAAGCTTTTGACTACAACATGAAAGCTTTATTTTTTGTATTGTTATAAAGTTTATCTATTTTAGAGAAAAGATGAGTATAGTATAGATAGGTATATGTTTATTGTATACTATAAATTACTATTTTAAATTTTAAATTACAAAGTTGTAAAATTACTTTATACTAGCATTACCCGCGGCTCTGCCCGCGTTCAAATGACCGAAAACCAAATAAAATAGCGCTATTGTTATTTCTTTCAAGATAAACTATTTTTAATAGTTTTGGCTTTATTTAGTATCTTACATTGCTAAAATATAAAAAGTATCATCGTGGTTATTCTAGCCAATTTTTGTATTTTTTTTCAGAAATGAGATATTTTCCTGCGGTAAAAAGTATCCTATATGTTGACCCGGATAACCAGCTATGACCATACCGAATATCATCAAAGTCTCTCCAGTAGTTTTTCTGTGATGCGGTAACAGACAGACAGACAAAAATCCTAAAAATTATAGATTTCAATAAGATTTTCCAAAAAATATTTAATGTACAATCCGTCATTGAAAGAGGGACAAACAAATAAACAAACAAACACACTTTTACGTTTATATTACTAAGCATGGATAGCAAAGAGCATAGAAATAAATATTTTTTGAGTTTTGGCGACAAGTTACATTTAAGTTTTCCGCGAATGTCAAGGTCGTGGCAGTCGCATGTTGAATATATAAACGAGTCAAGGTTGGAATAACTATGGATGTTTATCATACAATGGAAATGATTGAAACTATTTAATTTAAATAAATATATAAACATCTGGTTGCTTGTCTCAGTTACAAGGGGTGACAGCTAAAGTAATTTTGATGAAACTTTACATTACGATTACGTTATGACTTATGAACTTTTCAAGTTATAATTTGATGCTGATAAGCTTCTATCGAGTAGTAAATGACTAATAAGGCAGGAGTGATTTTTCTCGCAAACCAACGGGTTTGATTACCGATTAGAAAAAAATCTAATGATACATTTTTGGTTTTATACAAATAAGCACGCGACTCTAGATTTTTGCTCTTATAATAAAATATTTTTGGTGTGTAAATAAATAATTTAAATTTTAAATTGCTTTCTAAGTATTTTACAATAGTATACAATGCTATGGTGACTTTACTGCTGATGCCATAAACAATATTATGTGGTTGTTTATTTAGATATGAATATTAACATTAATAAAATCAATCAAAAAATCGTCAATATTTTTATTAATGCCAATGTTAAAATTACATATTAATTAAAAAAAATATTCCATACATTATAAAGCATATGTACTTTTTAAAAGCTTATAAATAAATCCATTTTGTAATGTGTTGATAAAAAAAACGGTATTTTACGTTTACGTGTGTTTGTTTGCTTGTTTGTCCTTCTTTCACTTCAAAACGGAGTGACGGATTGGCGTGATTTTTTGTGTGGAGATAGTTGGAGGGCTGGTGAGTGACATAGGCCACTTTTTACCGCGGGAGATTATTTAATTCCCACAGGAAAACACAAAAATATATGTATGATCAGAATTACTTTAATCTTGGTATTAATGCTCTTCAATAAAATTAAATAAATACGTGTTTTAGCACTTTTCGAAATTCATCCTATTAATAGGGGGGTTGAATAGAGGATGAAAGTTTGTATGAAAATACCTTTTTAGAGATTTTTTGTAGTTTTAGCGCGAGCGAAGCCGCGGTTTTTGCTAGTAATCTATAAATATATAAAACAAAGTCGGGTTTGTTACAACACTTATTACTTGAGAACGGCTAGACCGATCTTGATGATCTTTGGTGTGTTAGATTTGTCTCCGCCCCTAATAGCAGAGTAACTATTAAAACATCGGAAAAATACAAGAAAAATAATTTAAAATTTACATGGCTAACGCTGGATGATAACTGTTTGTATCTATTTAAAACGTACCTAGGGACGAACTCGAGCGTAGCGAGAGTGAGACGCAAGTATGTGAATATATTCGGTAAAATTTTTGGGTACCACCACAACGAATTTTTGGACGTGGTATGATTGTAGTTAATTATCTAGGTATATATAAAACAAAGTTGGGTTTGTTACAACACTTATAACTCGAGAACTGCTGGACCGATTTCTATAATCTTTATTTTGTTGCATTTTTCTTCACCCCAAATAGCAGAATCTATTAAAAATCGAAAAAAAACACGAAAAAAAATTGAAAAAATAATCTATACTACCTAGGGACGAACCTGAGCGAACACGAACGAAGTGAGACGCTAGTATTTTACCGATTTGATACTGCTTTGTGTACGAATACTTCGAAAGGATAACTATCGATGTTTAGCCGACTTTAAAACAGGACAGTGCCATATCCAATATAATTTAATTTGACATAAGCATTATTTTCGAGAACATGAGAGAAAGCCACTGAATTCTACCAAAGTTTTACAAGTTTGTTTCATGTATACTTAAATTACATACTTGATATTTAGATTTTTTGATTTACGTCCACGTGAAATGATAATCGTCTCTTGTTAAATCCACGTGATCAAATAAAAAGTACTCACTACAAAAAGTGTGCGAAAAATTATATAATTACTTTAAATGTTAGAAGTATATTATTTACGTAAATTTAGAATAACGTTGTAAGATAAGGCAGTAGGAAGTTTTTCGTCTATTTGGATTTTTGATATAGGATAGTGTTAGAAAAACCTTAAACATAAAAATATAATGTGCTGAGTTTATTTTGCTACTTCTCCAGTTAGGTATAATATAAGACAAATATTGTTCTAAAACTAATATTGTAGATGTGCCTACTCGAATATTTGACACTTTAAATCCATACTATATTATAAATGTAAAAGTGTGTTTGTTTGTTGAGTTTGTTTGTCCTTCTTTCACGTCAAAACAGAATGACGGATTGGCGTGATTTTTTGTGTGGAGATAGTTGGAGGGCTGGAGAGTGATATAGGCTATTTTTTAACTCGGGAGAAAATCTAATTCCCACAAGAAAACAAATTATAATACAATCCAAAAAAAAATTATGATCAGAATTACTTGAAACTTGGTATTAATGCTCTTCAATAAAATTAAATAAATACGTGTTTTAGCATTTATCGAAATTTATAGGATGAAACAGCACTTCAACACATAAAGGGAGTAAAACAGGGGTGAAAGTTTCTATGAAAGTACCATTTTAGAGTTTTTTTTGTAGTTTTAACGCGAGCGAAGCCGCGGGTTCTGCTGGTAAACTATTTTTTCGCGGTTCTATTTTAATTTTCATGCTGAACTAGGGACTTACCCTCGCTTCGCTCAGGTGCGTCTGCTCCTAGGTACTCCTTATAACATGAGCTACCAACAGTGAAAGTCCAGTCAAAATCAGTCAAGCCGTTTCGGAGATTAACCGGAACAAACAGACAAATAAAAATGGTGTTCTTTTTTTATAAGTACTGTACATAATTTCATTTGAATTTGGTGAAAACCTGTTATTTTAACATTACAAGTAGACACTTCAGTTTATATAGAATATTTATCTGTATAGAAATCATTTACATAAATAAATTATGTCATAAAAATATTTACGTCTGTAGGTATGCACTGCATTTATTCAATCCTGAATATTTTTTAAATACAAAATCCGAGGCAAATGACATCATTTTATTATGTAAGCTGCTTTGTCTGAATAAATTAATTTTTTATTTGTAAATATATTTTTCCGGGAATGATGAATTCAATTTTGTTTTCTGGAATGTTTTATAACCTTGAACTCTAAGTCTTATGTTGCTCTTATATAACTTAAGCGGGCTTTACACAATATGACAGAAATTAAACTATAATGTAGAGAATTACAAAGAAACATGATTTTTCAAATTATTATACTTTTTTGATACTTATTGAGGAATAAACGATTATTAAATTCGGTTTTTCTTTGTAACGTACTTATTTTCCGCTTTTTGCTATGTTGGTACCGATACGCCATAGTATGTACGTATACGTATTAAAAATAATATACAACTTTCTAATAGATAAAAGAGATAAAAAAAGGAAGAATCATCCTTCAGGGTGATGAGTGTTATATTCACTCATTACAGCCAATATAAAAACATATTATATTTTAAAAAGATAAAAATTACAATAACAAAGGTTTGACTATTTCTTTTGACAGTTCTTCTCAAGACTGTGGCTTTTTTTTCTGAAATGTTAACCGAATTTTTGATAGACAAATTTTATTTTACTTTAGCTTATAATAAAAAAAAATTAAGGTGCACACTCGTTTTAACCATTATATGGTAACAATTTGATGTTATTAAAATACTTTTAGCTATTATTTCTTGCGTATTCAATAAATTCTAAAACAATATTATAAGATATTTTTATAGCAAAAAGGACTCCTTCATATTATCTTGTAAGTACTTACATCATATGTATCGTTTGTGTTACAGATGATGAATAAAACATAATTTTGGTTACATTTCCAAGAATGTCATGAATTTCAAATAAAATAAAAACTAAATTTTTAACATATGGCCTACATTGCTTTGTTTTGACTGTCAATAGTTGTGTTTGTGATATCGAAAAATTTACTTTATGTACGAATACATAGAGCATGAGTGGAAATGAGTAAAAAAAACTATAAATATATATGTAATTTAGT